AGGCCCGTCGGTGGGTTGGCTGCTGTTTCTGCTGTTTCTGGATGAGGGACGGACGTTGGATGACTATTGGGATGACTTGTGGCTTCAAAAAAAAAACGTAATTTGAAGATCTTTTGTTGCTTATGACTTACCCATAGGATCCATGTATGCTATATATGGTAACATTTACCATCAATATACCCCAAATGTTAGCATATATATCATACATGGATCCTATGGGTTATGACCTTGGGCAGCAGTGAAGCTCCAGTTGACGTCTTTCTGGGAGCCATACATACACTTCTGACGGATCTAATATAGATTCTAATTAGGATACCTGTGCCATCCCTTGCCCATTTTCTGGCATTTGGGTGTTTTTGAAAATGGGGTATACCAAATGACAATCTTCAGGGAGAGTCCGGGATCACACTATCTCATAGTCCATTGGAATTGGGTGTTTTCACGTATTTTCAGACAAAGCCAGTTCAATTCACTTGACACTCTCTAGCAGTCAAATGTGGCTTGCTGGAAAATCTACCATTTAGTTCGATGATTTTCCCATGTAAATGAAATTTAAATACCCATTTCGTTGTGGGAATTCCCAGCTAGCTATGTTTGAGGACACCAGTTCCGGAAATTTTGGGAGTGTGCAACTGCAGCCACCAACTTGGGCTGACGCCAGGTCAGGCTGTGGCATTGCTACGATTATAGTGGCTCCGGTGATGAAGACTGGGCTGTGGCATTCCCCAATTTTTAGAACTGTCCGATCTTTCTGTGGGAGAAGTTGAGTTCATGGTTTTCAACATCACCTGTTGATACGTGTGAAATTTGATTCCCTGCGGCGTTCTTTGTGCCACCCAGGTCGGGCAGTTGTTTCATCTCCTTCTTGGCCGTGGGAGGACAGGTTGACTGGAGAACCAATTGGATTGTATTCTTTTCTTGCCAGAAATGGGGGAGATATCTACTATGTTTATCCATAGTATGGGTCACAATATAATATAAGATTGGGTATCCCAAGAATTGGATGGCCAATACTAAAAATACACTAAAATTCCCATATTGAAATGTTTAATTTATATATATATATATTTATAGAGTCCTGCGGGGCGGACGTTTGCCCAGAGTTTCATTGGGGAGTGAGTTACTTTGGGGTTAGTCTAAATTGTCTATTTGAGGTTGGTTTAGGGTCTATGTAGGGTCGGTTAGGGGGTTCCAGAGGGCTTGGTTAAGGTATATTTGGGTTTTGTTCAAGGGTATTTGGGGCTATTTAGGCTAGGGCGTTCTTAGGGTTGTTTTAGGAGATTCAAAGTTTATCCATGGTTGATTCAGAGTTGGTGTAGTGTTTCTTTAAGATTTATCTAAGCTTTCTTTAGGGTTTATTGAAGTGTTGGGTTAATTTGGTGTTCTTTTGCAGGCTTTTGCGGATTGTAGGTTCGAAACACGGTAAACTAAGAGAATATGTTTCAGACATGGTTCAAGGTGATAAAGAGGCACACGGATGCACACGGACATTAGGTAATCACACGTAATCACGAACATGTGACCAGACGCAGGCAAGATCACTATTGCAGTCTATTGCAGTAAATTCCATGGAGTGCGGACCAGCACCAGCCCCCTAGCGGCCCTAGCGATATATCTAAATGTAGTAACCAGCTAAAACAGTACAAGGTGGTGCCCCATAGTTAGCTAAGTTGGTTTATAACTCCAGTAACTATGGTTTATGGCAGATATAACTATAGTTAATGGGGTTTATAAACCAACTTATAACTGGGGGGCACCATCCTGTAGTGTTTGCAAGGTATCTAAGAATGGGACTGAGAGCTGGACATGCCAAAGTCGTTTTGTGTGAGGAGATTCGCCAAAGGAAAACATCGGGTGGTCACCAAGGTTGAAGATATGGAGAAACCGCGTCTTTCCGCCACCTTCTTCTTCCAGTGACCTGAATATATCAATTGTTTCCTGTTGTCTGTGTCAGCACTCAGCAATACTCAGCATGAAGCCTCACGACAGGTCGGAGTCGATTCACGTACGACGTACGAGGTCTGAAAGATTGACATCACTTCTGTTGCCAACATGGATGATCTGATGAAATTTTCAACCGAGGCCCTCGCCGGAAGCCTTACTGATCCCGCTGGTGCGACAAAGAAAAGCCACGGCGGAAGTGGAACCGATACTCGGCAGCCACGTTTTTTTTTTTTGTGAAGTCTTCCTCTCATACAAATTGTGCAATGGTTGCATCGTATTTCAATGTATTTCATAATATTGAATATATTTTGAATATTGTCCAAAAAATCAGAAATAATATATATATAGCCATAGGATCCATGGTGCTGGTATATATGCTAACATGACTGGGGTATATTAATGGGATCCATGTTACCATATATAGCAGCACCATGGATCCGTCATGGGATATGTATTTGTATGTATTTGTGCATCCTGTTGCCCGAAAAAGCATGACGTCAAGTCTTGACTGAAAATTTCTCTTCTTATGGAACACATATCATATCTCAGTTTTTTCTAATCTGGTTTCTTTAGATATGGGGGATGGATCAAAAAGTTATTACAACTTTCATATTTGGGGTACCCTCTGGCAATTTAACATAAGCTATTGAACATGACCATAGAAATAGTGGATTTACCCATTAAACATGGTGATTTTCCATAGTTTTTTATAAGTTTACCAGAGGGTACATCTGGGGCACCAGTGTGGTGTGAACATCAGGACACCGTTGTCGCGTTCGGCCCTGTTTTGGCACCTTCAAGGATCAGCTTTCGCCAGCGTCGGCTGCGGAGCTACGGCCGCTTCACGCGTGCTGAACCTGAATGGAAAAGTGATGACGGCGCATCAGCAACACCTGAGCGGTTGCTGCTAAACCCTAGTTGATTGATGATTCTGAGTTACATACTACCCAGTACACTTACATATATATAATATATACATATATATATATATATTGGGGATTATCACAATCCATGAAATTCCAGAGAATTCCAGATACAGCGACCATCTATAAAAACCTTCCATTTTGATCTATTTTACATGCTGGCGTCGCCAATGTTTCGCATCCTAAGCCTAAAAGACGATCCCCCAAGTAACTAGTGGTGGCTGAGGGTCCCTCACTGTGATGTCACTGGAATGACGAGGAAAAACGAGAATTATTAACAAATGGGCCATATTTCAGCTATTTTCAGGTCAGTGAAATGTTTTAGCTCAGAATACAGATTGTTTTCCTTTGGATCCTTTGGATTTGAGCGGTTTATAGCGGATCCCAGAAATGAAGAGCCATGAAGAGAACAGGCTTCGAGAACGCATGCCATCTTTTTTTTCGGGTCAAGTGTTGGATCATTGGAGAATCATTGGAGAATCCAGCATTCCGAAGAAACAATTTTGACCTTTAGCAGACCAGGTAGTGCCCGGCCCATGCCGTTTCGAAACATTTAAAACCAACTAATTATATTAAATCACGGCCTATAGGAAGTTTTGAGAATCAGAAGCAATGAAGTGTTGAAGTTGCGATGTGCATCAACGAATGAGCAAATGGCGGTTGAGATGCCAGTGAAATGACATGAAGAAGTGACTGAATAAACCAATGGACCAATGAACCGATAAATCAACGAATCAGTGTATGCATGAACACTGAATCAATGAATCAGTGAACCAATGGGCCAATGAATCAGTATGAATCAATGAATCAACGAACCATCGAATCAATGAATCGATGAATGAGCGATTAGTGAGTCCATGAATGAATGATTCGGTGAAACAATGAATCAGTGAATCTGTCAACCATTGATTCAATGAATGAGTGAATGAATGAAACGATGAATCAATGAACCAATGACTCAGTGAATCAATGAATCAACGAATCACTGATGATTCAGTGAACCAATGATTCAAGGAATCAATGAATTCAATGAACCAATGAGGCAGTGAATCACTGAACCAGTGAATCAAGGAATCAGTGATTCAATGAAGCAACGCAGCAATGAATCAATGAACCATTGAAGTAGCGAATCAATGAATCAATGGACCAATGGTTCATCAATGATTCAGTGAACCACTGAACCAATGAATCAGCGCTGTGCCAATGCATTTTGTAAAAGGCGGTTGCAAACCCGCATAGCAGGAGCGTCGCACCAAATCGACCAACGTTGGCGAAACACGGACCCTACTTCGGCGACCCCCGGAGCCACATGCCCGAAAAAACACAGGGTTTCGCGCCGGAAAGTGTTCTTGAATTCACACGCTCCCGGACTGTTACACCTCCCAACTACTTGATGATGAGCTAACCTGACCGTCGTCCGTAACTCATGTAACTCGGAAATTTTCCAAGTCAGTAAATTTCCCTTGATTTTTCCCAGCCTTCCACATAGATCATACGGTTTCTGACTTGGAAGGATGGTATGGTTTGTTATGGAGGCTTCATCCACTGCCAAAGATAAAGTTGCTCGAATTTACCTTCTGTCAAAGGCTACTTGTTTGTTGCTGTCGCCGTTGCTCTTGTTGTCATGTTGTTTCTTCTTAAATTTCTATATTGTTGCCACTGGTATCATTTTTTTGTTTTAATCATTTTTTGTATATTATTTTCAGTAATGTGGTAAACCCAATAAGAAAACTACCAAACCTGGGAATGGTTGGAATCTCACCTATCAAAATGGTGATGACTTGGGGGTGGTTTATGACATTGGTTTTATCACACTGTTTAAATCAACTAGCATGTGGCATGTATAACTACAATGTGCCATTCCTGAAGAGTCATAATACTAGTGAGTTCCATAGTTATGTGGAACATCCTGGTATACCACCAGATAATAACATTTTTTCAAGATAGATGCCAGGATATTGTCTAAGAAATTACCCTCTGGTAAACTAACATAGCTATTGAAAATCACCATTTATAATGGATTTACTTTAAAAATAGGGATTTTCCATAGCTATGTTAGTTTACCAGAGGGTATGGAGACAAAGTCACGTCACGTTGTCTTCGTGAAACCCATGTAGAAACTCCATCCTTCAGGGCCTTGCACTTCGCAGAACTGCCAGAGTGCCAACGGAGCCGTTTGGGTTTGGGGGGAACTGGAAAATCCCGGGGGGACCTGGGCAAAATGGTCGAACTAAAAAAGTCGAATATGAATATATATATATATGAATATATATATATATATTATATTATATTATATTATATATATATATACATATATCTTTATATACCGCTATATATATATACTGGTTGGTGGTTTGGAACATGACTTTTATGAGTTTCCATATATTTGGAATAATAATCCCAACTGACTTGCATCATATTTTTCAGAGGGGTTGAAACCACCAGCCGGTCTATATACAGGATACTGGGATAGTATTGGAATAACAAGAAGAATGAGAATAACTAACTAGATCCCATTATAGTATATTATAGTTATTCATAGGAGAACATTTATTTCCCATTGGGAGAAAAGACTATATCCGTTGATAATGAGGTACCTGGATTTGCCAAAGATCTTGGGGAATCATGAGGATTTCCATCCTTTTTCAGGCGTTCCTGAAGGAAATCCAAGCATAGTGTAGAATATGAATAGGAACATTATATGGCTATGGATCAATACCTATTAATACCATTTTTAGGGGGATGAACATCCATAAATCCCAGCTATTTTGAGGTTCACCAGGTGTACAAGGTTTTGACCCATCCCCATATAGATAATTATCGGATCGTCTTGCTGAATAATCATGGATCATTCGACCGAAATTCGATGAAATTTGGACAAATTTGGTATATCCCAAGGTGATGTGAAGCACCCCAAATGTTTGGTTCGTCGGATGGTTTATGGCGGGTTTGCGACCAAAATGTGTTTGGGTCGTCCCAGCTGGTTGATCAAAGACATTTCGATTGGTGTCGGCGTGAACACTTCCACCCAAAAGGAGGATGGTTGCATGTGTTCAAACTAGCTGTGTTTGATTCAAGTCTTCATCAACTGCCTTTTCTTCTCAACTGATTTCAGGATTGAGATACCCTGTTGGAGACTGGGACATGTCTTTGATGCATCAGACAGAACATTTGATTTCTGGCCTTCTGTCGTCTCCACAATCCAAGGGCTGTTGTACGGCTGCCGTTTTTTGCTATTCGAATTCCTGCTGCAGTCATTTCTTCCATTCCAACCCTTGTGCATTGCATACGATCGATTGCTGGGGGGAGTCGCTGGAAATGCATACGATTGACCTGTTAATTGAGTACCGTCGCGCGAATACCTAATATAAAATTCATATATATAATAATTATAACATATATTCATATATATATATATAATATTCATACATATTCATATATATATAATGCTCGTATGTATGTATATATATATATATACACATGTATATGACTGTAAATGTGTATGTATACATATATATATATGAATATATATATATATATACATATAGACATATACATACATACATACATACATATATATATATATGACATCATATGCAATTACACATCTACAAATATATTTTTTGCACATTCCCAGATATGCTCATCCTGGCTGACGCGGATCCCGCAGGACCTTCCCTCAGGATGGATGCTATGAGCCATCTCCATGGCCAGCAGGTCGTGGGTAATTAATGCTGGTTGCCAAACGTCATGTTTTTCTTATCCGTTTATGACGGGAAAAGATGAATCCCACATCAACCCACATCAACATACATCAACATACATCAACATACATCAACATACATCAACATACATAAACGTGATGAATCCCATTTCGTTTATGAATCCAATGACGTTAATTATACCATGGTTTGTTATGAATCCCCATGGTTTTCGTTGAATCCCTCATCAAACCATCCCCAGATCCCAGGTTTCAGGTCCCCTGGTGATGTGTAGCAGGGGCTGCTGATTCCCTAAAACCCGAAAACCTTTGAATTAGAAAAAACCATAAAAACCATAATAAAAAACCTAATAAACCATAATAATTGGTCCACAACATGGTCCATATTGGATGCGTTTTTTTTGTCACAACTTGAGACGCCAAACAACGGATTTTGGCGAGTTTATGGCCGGTTTTTCATCATGTTTAACCTCCCCTTTTTCCGACAAGGACATTCTTGGCTTATGTTGGCATGTGAAAGGCTCCATGAAATTCCATGGAGGTTACCGAAACGTGAATCGATGTCCACATTGAAGAAGCATCAGGATATGTGTCAGCGTATTACTGTATCGGGTCAAAAAAACAAATGTTACAATATGTTACAATAATTTACAATATGTATTAATATGTATTAATATGTTACAACATTCTCCATCCATGTCGACATGATGTCGACATGATGTCATGATGTCAGAAATTCCAAAAGCGCGAGATACGGAGCGTGAGAGATTTTACAAACCCCGGTGAGTCACAGGATGCCAGGCTGATGTCCACGTTTTTTGGAAGATAGGAATCCTGTCCGGCCCACTCTGGAGACTCTGGAAGATATGTGAAACCTGTTTGGTCCGTCAGCCATTTTTATCATGTTTGGTTTCAAGATTACCCTCTGGTAAACTGTCACATAGCTATGGAAAATCACCATTTTCAATGGGAAAATCCACTATAAATCACCATTTTCAATAGCAAACTGTTAGTCATAACCAGAGGGTAAAAACTGGCCGTGCCAGGATATGTGCTTAATGGCAGCGTTTGGAGCTGCGCAGAAGGCTACGTAGGAACGCCCATTGAGGCACGGAGACTAGACGCGATGGATTGAGTCCTGGATCCTGTAGAAGACATGGGTATGTCTGAAAATGGCTATACCATAAAATGGCAATCTTACAAGGGAAAATGATGATAAATGATGACAAAACATTATAAACCGTCAATTTTTTTGGGGCCCATTTTTTTCAGACGAAACCAATTTTCTCCTTGGTTTTCCCTTGGTTATCCCTCTGTACAGCCTCAAGAAAAGCATCCAACTACGTTTAACTGTAGTTCAACTTCCAAATCCATGGGCTAAGTGCGGTTTTGGCTACAAGATTTCACAATTTGTGCCTGTTTGGTGCTTCTTTGATGGGTGGAACAAATGCACCGGAACGAATCCACAATGATTTCACAAGTCTTCAACTACAGCACGTCAGCGTGTCAAGTCCCATTGATGCCATTGATCAGATCAGGAAATTATAGTTCTCATTGTGCCAAATTCGTCTAGATGCGGAGAAGACATTCCAAGTGACAGGGACACAAGAGATCTTCCGGACAGTGCCCGCCAGACCTGTACGCCGATGGAACCATGCGGACAGCCAACACAGCTTAGTGGATGCCAAGCGACTCTTGGACTGAGGGAATGAGGGTGTCATGTCGAACGATGCTCCGCAACCCAATTGAGTCCCAACTGTTGATCATTTTTGTCAAATTGTCCCCCCATGCATCAAAAATGCCATTTACCCTCTGGTAAATAAACATGTTGACCCTGAAAATCACCAATTTTTAATGGAAACTAGTCTTCCAACCCCGATGACTGCCAGGGTCTATGTTAATTTACCAGAGGGTAATGTGATGAAGATACCACTATTAACAAACCACGCTGCAACAAAAATTAAGAGAAAAGATACACAGCCGAATGTCGGCGGGGCTTTGAACTGCGGGCCTAGGGTTTGATGCAAATCAACTCCCCAATGCACCAAACTTAGGACGCAGCTCAGAGTGGACAAATGCTCGACATGAGGGAATCTATGGCAGTAAGAAGTCTTGCAAATCCAAAAATCTGCTGGGGTCCCACAAAGTTTTCTTTGTTTTTACCAAGTCCAGGCTCCAGTTTGAGAATGTTTTTCATGCAAGAGTTTGTTTGGTCGCTGTCAAACTGGTTTGCAAGCGCTTATGAATTGTCCACTTCGTTTCGCCCCTTTCCATGAATCTACCTTTCGTGTTCCCTCTTCTTAAATGAACTCTTCATCAAAAGGGAAGGGTTTCGTCGAGATTTCCAGGGCACTGAGTAGAATCGCCCAAGAGAGAAGGCTGACCAGGCTGACCACCCCATCCACATCCATCTACAGCTCTAGGAGTCCAATTGATCGCTAGATGGTGGTAGCAACTGATCAACACCATCCTGGAACTGGTAGGTCTTTTAGGTATTCTTTGGATATGGAGACCTTTCCTTTGTGAATTTTGGGGAAACGTCCTTTGTGATTTCTTGGGAAGGTCCAAGATCTCCGGGTTCTGCCATCGCCAAGGGAACAGCCCTGTGAAACTTTGCTCTTGAGCAGTTGCCGCTATGAAGCCATAGGCCGCAGCGGCCTATAGTGGAGTCATGACATGTCAATGGTCCAAGTGGCTGTGTCTGAAAATAGAGAAAACCCCTAAACCCAATGGTTTTGCTGATCATTATCCCTACTAAATGGCTATTTCATTGGGGGTATACCCTATTTTCAGACAAACCCAAGTGGTCCTTTCATGTCCTTCCTTCAAGTGTAGGTAACCTACCGACTAGCGACTTTGCTGAATTCGTCTCAAATTCTGTTGGATAGATCGGATAGAACAAGGTGAAGGTCTCATCATTGTACGGGGAAATATGGGAGACAAAAACGGTGTGACTGCATGTCAAGATATATGATATATATATATATATGTATAGAGCTTATATACACATATATTATATATAGAGCTTATATATATATATACATACATATATATATATATACATATTATTTGTTATCACTCCAAACATTTAGATTTCCAGGCAGGATTCACCCATCTAAGTCATTGAAGATGGCGATCAAGGCGATCACTGCTTACTGTGGATGGTTGCGAAATCTTGCACCACCTGGGATGGTAAAAAGCCTATAATGGGATAAACCACCTATTGACTGGTGCAGGATTTATTTCTTCCACCCACAATAGTAACTCCTTAAAAACCATGACATAACTATCATTATCTGAGATATTCTGAGATTCCTATTTGTTGATAATTATAGACTGTTTCGGAAAGCCCATTAAGTAACTACGTTTTTTTATGTCGTTCCTGTACGGTCCTTAGATGTTTAGACTCTTTCGTCCAGGCTGTTCCGGCCTGATGGGTGGGCAAGCCTGCCAGGACCTGAGAGACTCTGGTGGAAGCCAGATGCGAAGCATGGTGCTGGAAGATTTACCCTCTGGTAAACATACAAAAAACTATGGAAAAACACCCTTTTTAATTGGAAAATCCACTATAAATCCCATTGACTAATGTTTTTCCCATTGCCCTCCGGTAATTTGTTACGTAGCTATTGGAAATGGCCATAGAAATAGTGAGTTTTCCCATTGAAAATGGTGATTTTCCATAGCTATGTTAAATTACCAGAGGGTATACACCAACATGACTGCCCTTGTCCAAAATCACCCAGTTTTGTAGGTAAATCTACCAGCACCATGCTTCGAAAATATGAGTATATTTTCTGAAGTCATGATGAAAACGATGAAATATGATGAAGTATGTTTGATGATTCGATGATACTTGGAATATGTTGGAATATCGGATACTTGGACGTTGGCCTCTAACTTAGGAGTCCACTCCTTCGGACTCCTTCCCTTCGAAATGCTGGATTTGTCAGACTTGTCAACTGGATTTCATTTGTTGCAAACCTTCGTCACTTCTTGGAGCTAAGAAAATTACGTATAGTCTTACCGTAAGCTTCTGCATACTCCGATGTGGACACGGACTACCCAATCATCACAGTCAGTCAACCTGTAACCTTCTTGTTCAGGATTGGCACAAATTCAACTGCCTCTCACATCTGTTGGGGTAAAACAATGCCATAAATATATATAAAATTATATAAATATAAAAACCATCCCGCAAATCACCATTTTTATAGGTGGTTTATGATTGTTTTATCCACATGACGTTCTTTGCTTCTGCCCTTTCACCATTTTCCAGTGGCCTGGATGGGCTGATCAGGTGAGATCCGTTGCAAGGCACCTGCGGAGGGCGCAACGGTGCTGGCAATGTGCCCGGAGGAGAATGTGGACCCAGACCAGGACGCCGAGATCTTTTTGGATCGGGTAGGATGAGGATAGACTACCCAGCCTGGTAAACCTTTACATAGCTTGCTGGAAAATGGCCCATTTAGTTTTAGTTCGTTGATTTACCTATCAATATTGGTGATTTTCCATAGCTATGTAAACGTTTACCGGACCGGAGGGTAATGATGATTAATTTGCACATTGTGACGACTATGAATGAGGATAGACTAAGAAATCATGAGATCAACTCTAATGTGATCTTGCAACTGAGTTTCTTCTTCAACTTATATAAGATTGATTGACCAAAATAGTTGAATGGAATCGATGTTGCTATGCAAACAGTTGGGACATGCCACATTACATATGTATAGAATCCACTACTCGTCGAAGAAAAGAGGAACTTATCATGATAGAAATTGTTGGCAACGTAGATTATGGTGGTACCATGGAGTGTTGGTGACATACTGTACGCATTTATGTTGGTAAACATCATAAGAGATACCCTCTGGTAAACGTTTACATAGCTATTGAAAATGGCCCAGTCGAAATAGTGGATTTTCCCATTAATAGCACGGTGATTTTTCCCATAGTTGTGTAAACGTTTGCCAGAGGGTATTCAATATCATAGCACATTACTGGGTAAATAACCATAGTTGATATGGTATGCTATTAATATTGTCATTATATACCCCTAGAATTCTTGGTTTTTCTATGTTACCTGACTGCTTTGCTACGCCAGGAGTTGATTTACAGCCTCCCAACGTGTACTATTCCAACATGCCCAAATCCGCAGCCCATCACCACGGGTTACATGGAGGAAGAGAACGAGGACGCAACCAAAATGAAGCGCAGGTTATTGGCAAAGGGGAAAGTTGTGATAGGAATTCCTAGGAGATGTCTCGTTGAGAGTGATGAATACATGACATTTTCATGACTTTTCTGGAACAATCATTATGGTTGCAACTTGCAACCAGGAGCAGATATTGAGCCTTTGCATGTTATTGGAACTGGCAAATCATGCTCAGTTCCCTTTTTGTTTCGTAACAACCATGCTTTATTGCACAGAGCATTCTCATGCATTTTTCCCACTTGATGAGATGCATGTGGACATGGAATGTGCATACCGTTCTCGTAATATATATGTGCAGTACTTGTTAGTACGCATGTACACTAATCACATATATACGTACGTATATATATATATATATTATTCACATTGTAATATTGTAAACAAATCATGGACATATTGGATAAATTACCAGTGATATCTACATAATTCTTCACCATACATGCATGTGTAAAGGTTTGTAGGCTTGAAGTTTTCCATATAGGTATATATCTTGAATCATTTACGCGTTTGTGAGTCTTTGAATATTGGACATCATGTTTGCATGGACATTTGCTGAACATGTCCATGTCAAAGCATTTGTTCGAGGTTACCGGTTATAGTCATATACGTATTTCCTCAAAATCGTAGGAAATTGCTATTGCTCCCAAGTTAGAGTTTCAATCGTTTGAAGCATGTTTGACAACGTCTGAAAACCGTGCGATCTTTTGATTGTTACATTCTTGTGTTCGCAAAAAATGCACACTGGAACTCGGTGAAGCAGCCGGAAGTGTCATCCTATACGGTTTGTTAGAATCAATTGCTATGCAGCATGCATATGATATGAAGCCTGAATCTCATCCTGTGATTTTTTCGAAGATGGGCCTGTTAGGTTGGTCAAGAGCTCCTTTCTCTGTTTTGTTGTTCCTCTGCAGAATGGCACTTCATTGACATGCGCTGAGAAGTTCGCTGGCCAGCCTCAGGCTCTGTATGACTCTGGCTGCTGAATTTTGAAAGGAGGAAGGGATGATGAAATCCCTTGGTTCCAATCATAGAATTGGATGATGGGAAAATTTTAACCGGAAACCCCTATATTTAATGGTAAAAACCCATGGGTTTCCGGTTCAGATTTTCCCCCTTAAACCGATCCAATGATCCAAAACAATTCCAAGCTTCAACATGAATCGGCAATGTTTCCCGGTTTTTCTAGGCCATCTTGAGGCTTGGACTTGAAAGTTGCGGATTTGCAGCCAATGATCATACATGTAGCCAAAAATCACAACCGGACAAGTCTTTCATTCTCATAGTGGTTGCGCACTGTACTGCAAGTATACACTAGATTATAACAGTATAACAGTATAAACAGTATAACTCAGTATAACAGTATATATATATATATTATTATTATTATTATCATCATTATCTTATTATATTATTATTATTAATTATTATTATTGTTATTATCATTATTAAACACTATTATGATGATTATATATATATATACACACATAGTGACATAGTGTATATGATAGATTACAATGGTATAATAGTATCTTTGTACCTGTATAACAGCGCTTTGTTATTGTTACTGCCTTCCTTGTGGTATAAGCGACATTTGGATTACCCTAAAATCCACGGGTTCATCGTTGTGTCATGTTATTTCTGGGTAAATTTCATCACGACCTCACTGTTCTCCCGAAGCCTGGAATCATGGTTTATGTTAGGGAAATCTTCCCCATGTGAGGCCGCAAGATTCAGATGAGTGACATATGATAATTTACCCAGATTATTTGCATTCATTCTCTTTCTCAAACTTGCCATGTGGGGCAAACAAGATCAGAAATTAAGCCATTTTCAGACACCCCCGAACTGGATCTAGTTGGTTATTTCAATGCGATTTTCCTCTCGGATTTCTCTTCATATCCCATTAAATCTCAATTATTCATGATTGAATCATGATATGTTGTGTTATTGTATCTGGGTAAATTATAACGACCTCACTGCGACCTCACTGGCATCATGGTTAGTAAGGGAAATCATCCCCAAATAGCCTTAATTCAGGTTAGTGAAATATTGTAATTTACCCAGATTGTATGATATTTTCCCAAAAAAACATCCCATGATCTTCCATGAAATTACCTTCTTTGCGTCAGGTGGTGTGCATTTTCACCAATGACTGTCAACCACTGGCGCGGCTGGAAGGTTGTAATCCATTGGTGGCGTGTGTTTGGGTGCCAAGACACTGGGGGACTTGGTACAAACTCGGACCAGGATGGTTGAAGTAATGATGATAACAATAAGGCTAGGAATATTACACTCTGGTAAATAAACATAGACCCTGATAATCTCCAATTTTTCATGGAAACTAATCTTCCAACCACTATCTGCCAGGGTCTATGTTAATTTACTGGAGGGTAACCAGCGATGGATTGTCATTAACAGTAAGAGGTTGAAATGGAGGACTACAAATAAGAATACTAATAAACATAACCGTAAGAATAAGAATAGGAATACTACAAATAACCAACACTAACATTATAAGAATAAACATACTGTTCATGATAACCAATAAGAACATTCAGAATAGGAATGCTATAAATAGTAGTAAGAATAATGCTAAAAAAGAATATAATTTCCAACACTGATATTATAACAATAATGATAAGAAAATAATCTTGACAATGTTCAACCAACAGTCAATAACAACCAACAATAACATGACAAGAAAATAATTATCGATGATGAAAGCAAGATTAACAACGATCATTATTTAAAAGTGTTAAAACAAAATGAACTAATGATGAATCGTAGTGTCACAATGATCAACAATGATGATCAACACTCATGATGACGAGGATGATGATGAAAGAACAATATTTATTAACAATGTTAATATTCACAACAATAATAGTCATTCATAATACCAACAACAATAATAATAAGCAATCTTAATTATTAACAGTAATGAACAATGATATACAGACAGAAGTATCCGGAAAGACTGCAGTGCCTCCCCGGAAATACAGACAAACCACCACATCATACCTTTTCCCGTCTCCGGTCAGCTCCTTACAATAATATTAATGATATTGATAGTCTCTAGGTCAATCTTGGATGGGTAGTTTAATCCTTCAGTCTTTTGGTATCAATGGGATTATCTGCCAACCAGCTAATAAGTCATTGTTTGCATCTTTTGCAGGTATCTAAGATCGGCATAGATTGGCCATAGTCAGTAATAGGAATTGCATGATAATCAATCAATAGTAATAATGATAATCAATCAAGAATCAGTAATGCTAATAGTAATACAATGTAAATGGATGACTATGTGGGGTATCCTAAACCCTACAAGTCCAAAACATGCCCAGTTTTAAATGAGGTCATCTGAACACGATCAAGTTCAACTGGATGAATCATGGATAGTGGATAGCTATTTGAATAACTGGTGGTTTGGAACATGTTTTTTTTTCCATATATTGGGAATAATAATCCCAACTGACTTTCATATTTTTCAGAGGGGCAGGTATACCACCAACCAGGTAGGGTCCCATACTATGTTAATTACCGTTATAACGGATGAACTGTTCATAATGGTTATATAATCGGTTAATCCCCATTGGTGGCACCGGAGTTATGTTTATGTTTGTAATAAATCTGTGCAAATGTACGTATATATATATATATACACGTATGTATGTTATGTAATGTAATGTTATGTTATGATATGTTATGTTATGTTTTGTATATAACATATACACATATATTGTGACCCGCCTAGATATGAAGCAACTGACCTATCTGTCGCTGGCGCCTGCAAAGGTGGGTCCTGCTGAGCTGGACCAGTGTATGTTTGGGTAGCCCAGGTCCACACCTTCAGAAGTATTCAGATCAACTCAGTACAAGTAGATTCAAGTAGATACAAGTAGTCTGGATAGGAAGAGGCTGCTGGAGATTTTTTTTGTTTTTTTTTGCTGATGATTCTGTTTCATATCGATTCGTATCTGTTTATCCGTCGCAAACTTTACGATGTTGTCGCCTACGGCTCGCAAAGCATGTTTCTGTTTTTGCTTTTTTGGTCTGCCACCACCTGTCATGTGTTTCATTATCTGATATTATTTATGTTTGCATGTCATCATGTTTAGCATGTTGCAAGCATCATGCTTCGCTTCTGAACTTGCACACGCAGATGATTCTGAATTGGGCTGGAAAGCCTTGCGATTTTGTTCAACCCCACGGAGGGTTTTGTTGAAAGCGCTGGAATTCGAAACCATTTGTTCAAGACAATGTTGATTCGGATTACAGGACGGTTCGTAATGTAAAACATGTAAAACGCAGTCGATGATGATAATGATGATTATGATGATGATGATGATGATGATGATGTACTTTCTTACGTGCCAAAATGCACACGCCCTTTCAGACCCGCTAGGATGTTTATGATGCCAATATATGCCTATCCTCAATTCGGCAGTTTTCATTTTAGTGCGTTGATACCATGCAGAGCACTTTGCGATTGAGATATGTATCTATATGTAGATTAAATATACCCATATATATAATATATATATATGATAGAATAATAGATGCACATATATGTATATATATATACATATATACATATATATATACATATAACCTAAACCTCTTGAAGATTCGTGTTCTACCAAGTCATGTGAAGTCATTCTCAAAAGGGACTTTCCTTTGGAAGCGCCAAGGTATAGCGTCAACTTGTGCGAGGCAAGCTGGAAACAACCACGTAACGAAGCTGGTGGGTATACTCCAAACATTTCCAAATCAGGCGATTCTTGCAACACTGAACATGATGAGTAACCATGTCATTCATCCCATTTTTTTTGGACCAACGGCCGTGGACTTCCGGACTTCCGTCGACTTCGGGCTTGGTGTTGGAATTTCTCGAAAGTGTGGAGCGTGGATACTTGTGGAATGTGTTTGGCCGATGCTAACAGATTGGACAGATTTGATGTAGCACTTTTATTAATAATGACTAATGATATTATAGACTAATAATCAATGGTTTATTGTAGATCTATTAAATATACTATAATATAGTCTAGCAGCATATTATAGTATACTATAGTATATTATAGTATATTATAGTTATTATAGTATATTATAGTATATTATAGTATATTATAGTATATTTTAGTATATTATAGTATATTATAATATATTATAGTATATTATAGAATATTATAGCATATTATAGTATAATATAGTATATTGTAGCATATTATAGTATACTATAGTAAAATATAGTATATTGTAGCATATTATAGTATACTATAGTAAAATATAGTAAATTATTGCATATTATAGTATACTATAGTATATTATAGTATATTATAGTATATTATGGCATATTATAGTATATCATAGCATATTATAGTATACTATAGTATATTATAGTATATTATAGTATATTCTAGTATATTATAATTATTATAGTATATTTTAGTTATTATAGTATATTAAAGCATATTATAGTATATTATAGCATATTATAGCATAATATAGTATATTGTAGCATATTATAGTATACTATAGTATATTAAAGCATATTATAGTATATTGTAGCATATTATAGTATAATATAGTATATTGTAGCATATTATAGTATACTATAGTATATTATAGTATTTTATAGTATATTATAGCATATTATAGTATAATATAGTATATTGTAGCATATTATAGTATACTATAGTAAAATATAGTATATTATAGCATATTATAGTATATTATAGTATATTATGGCATATTATAGTATATCATAGCATATTATAGTATACTATAGTATATTATAGTATATTATAACATATTATAGTATAATAACGTATATTGTAGCATATTAAAGTATACTATAGTATATTATAGTTATTGTAGTATACTATAGTATATTATAGTATATTATAGTTATTATAGTATATTATAGTATATTATAGCATATTATATTATAATATAGTATATTGTAGCATATTATAGTATAATATAGTATATTGTAGCATATTATAGTATACTATAGTATATTATAGTATTATAGTATATTATAGCATATTATAGTATAATATAGTATATTGTAGCATATTATAGTATACTATAGTAAAATATAGTATATTATAGCATATTATAGTATATTATAGTATATTATGGCATATTATAGTATATCATAGCATATTATAGTATACTATAGTATATTATAGTTATTATAGTATACTATAGTATATTATAGTATATTATAGTTATTATAGTATATTATAGTATATTATAGCATATTATAGTATAATATAGTATATTGTAGCATATTATAGTATACTATAGTATATTATAGTTATTATAGTATACTATAGTATATTATAGTATATTATAGTTATTATAGTATATTATAGTATATTATAGCATATTATAGTATAATATAGTATATTGTAGCATATTATAGTATACTATAGTATATTTTAGTTATTATAGTATACTATATTATAGTATATTATAGTTATTATAGTATATTATAGTATATTATAGCATATTATAGTATAATATAGTATATTGTAGCATATTATAGTATACTATAGTAAAATATAGTATATTGTAGCATATTATAGTATACTATAGTAAAATATAGTATACTATAGTAAAATCTAGTATATTATAGCATATTATAGTATATTGTAGCATATTATAGTATACTATAGTATATTATAGTTATTATAGTATACTATAGTATATTATAGTATATTATAGTTATTATAGTATATTATAGTATATTATAGTATATTATAGTATATTATAGTTTAATATAGTATATTGTAGCATATTATAGTATACTATAGTATATTATAGTTATTATAGTATACTATAGTATATTATAGTATATTATAGTATATTATAGCATATTATAGTATAATATAGTATATTGTAGCATATTATAGTATACTATAGTATATTGTAGCATATTATAGTATACTATAGTATATTATAGTATATTATAGTATAATATAGTATATTGTAGCATATTATAGTATACTATAGTAAAATATAGTATATTATAGTATATTATAGTATAATATAGTATATTGTAGTTATTGTGGCATATTATAGTATACTATAGTATATTATAGTATATTATAGTTATTATAGTATATTATAGTATATTATAGTATTTTATAGTTAATCCTGTTCTCCAACCTGGTGTATTTTTCGCAAAATCCTCAAGGCTCCAGCATGTTGGCCATTGGTTGATTCAGAGTAGAAGTGACATGAATTCAATCTAATAGTCTCATAGTTAAAGTATGTTATAATATGATATAGTATGCTATAATATTTTAATTATCATAGTATATTATAGTATATTGTAGTATAATATAGTATTTTATAGTATACTATAGTATAATATAGTATATTATAGCATATTATAGTATGTTAAATTAAGTTATAGTTAAATGAGCCGTTTTATGAAGCCCTCATTTTTTTGAATAAGCCGTGTGGTTCCAACCAGCGGATCAGGATGGACCTCTCGAAGGCGTCCCAGGTGGCAGTCGGACACCTAGCCGGAAAAACCGGGCAAATATATAGGAAAACCATAGGAAAACCATAGGAAAACCATAGGAAAATGGTGGTTTAATGGGATTTAATGGGATATACCCTCTGGTTATGACTAACATAGCTATTGAAAATGGCCCAGTCGAAATAGTGGATTTTCCCATTGAAAATGGTGATTTTCCATAGTTTTTTGTATGTTTACCAGAGGGTACATGTAATGACAATGATAATGATAGTGATAATGATAGTGATAATGATTATAGTAATATAACAATAATAATAACGATAATGATACTGATAATGATAGTGATCATGGTAATGATAGTGATCATGATAATGATAGTGATAATGACAATAATTATAACAGTAATGATGATGATGATGATGATGATGATGTTAATGATAGTAATATAACAATAAGGATGATAATCATAGTGTTAAAGATAATAATGATAATGTATCTCTCCTTCTTCATACAATGCCATATTCTCCAAAATGTGATCAGCTTAGGCAATCAGACAGTCACTCTGACCTGTGCGCACTAAGATGATGGCTATCAGACAGTGAAACCCGGGGGTCATTGTGAAGTGAGCTGTCGTGGTCGATTTGCCGGGGGGCCCGGCGGGTCGGATGGGCAGCCCCCTTGGAGTTGGAGCTTTGTTTTTTTTTTCAGAAGCCTACGAGTTGTTTTTTTCCAAAACTTGGTGGAGAGGAGCAAGATTTGCCTTGAAGAATTGAATGTTTTTTGTATATTACCCTCTGGTAATTTGTTACATAGCTATTGAAAATCACCATGCTATTAATGGGAAAACTCACTATTTCTATGGCCATTTTCAATAGCTATTTTGACATAACCAGAGGGTAATGTTCTTTTTGCAAGGTCAAAGCTGGTTGATCGCATCAGTCATTTCCTTTTGTGAATCGACTGGTGAATCACAGCTGTATTTTGGTGGTTTTCCAGCCAGGTGGGAGTGAGCAGCTCCGGTATTTGTCCGCTGATGCTTGGGCCGACCAGTGACGACTGGTTTTTTTTTAATGGCCGGATTCGAATGGATCAGTCTGTAATATTCAGTATATACAATATATTCTAATATATATATATATAATGTATGTATTTATATAGTGTTATATTAACTGATATTAACTAGTATACTTCCCTAGTATATTTTACTATTATATGTCCTGATATTGATTAGTTGGTCCCTGAGATCCATCTATCTCCGTGCGACCTCTTGACACGCGCTGTGGCACCTCTCCAGTTTGAAATTGCCATGTGGGTCATATGATGTTATATGCCCAATTCTCAAGTAGCATAAGTAGCACACCTTTCAGTTTTTTTCAGCGCACTGATATTCGATTACATTCGATTCACGAGCTCTTTTCATGACCGATGTGATTTTTTTGCGCTCAAATTCAGAGCGAAGGGGAGACTTGGCAAAGTTCTTTGGGTTCCGTGGCTTTCTGATGAAAGATCCCCTCTGGTAAACTAACAGTTTGCTATTGAAAATGGCTAGAAATGGTGGATTTGATTTACCCATTGAAAATGGTGGATCTTTCCATAGTTATGTTAGTCATTACCAGAGGGTCAGCCATTTTTGCCAAGGAACAACACTGATCCATGGCATCGGCTGATTTTCGTTTGGCCCCCCAGATAGAACTCGGTCTTCGGGGGTCATCCGAATCATCGCTTCCAAAGGTCAGTCAGGACTGGGAAGGCTGACAAAGATGATACACAACTCGGTAATCTAACATAGCTATGGGAAATGACATGAAAAACATGAGCCTAATGACCATGTATTTGACATATTTTGACATGATTAATATGGAATTAATTGGAATATATATATATATATTAAAAATATGGTGATTTTCCAAGACAGGACTGTTTCCCACAGTGTGATGTTTCCAAGTCGCGCCTAGGATCCACCATTGCAATGTGATTGCCCGGACGACTTGGAAGAATGGCCAGAAGGCACCTGTGATTGGCCGTTGTCCCAATGCGAAATCAGGATCTGGGTCAAAATTGGGGCATTGGATCGTTACTGATAAACTATACCCTCTGGTAATTTAACATAGCTATTGAAAATGGCCATTTATAGTGGATTTATGTACCCATTGAAAATGGTGATTTTCCATAGTTATGTTAGTTTACCAGAGGGTAACAAAACTGGTTGGTGCTTTGGAACATGACTTTTTTAATGACTTTCCATTCAGAAAAGGGAATGTCATGTCATCCCAACTGGCGAAGTCACTCCAGAACATTTTTCAGAGGGCTAGGGTAGGTAGGTTGAAACCACCAAGCAGATAGCAAAATCGACATCCCAATCTCTGGGGTCCACAGGGATCCACCCATTCCGATGAAATCCAACTGAGTCAGGTCACGTCAGATCTGTCAGATGCTTCGCATGTTGGAACTTCGGAACTTCGACGTCCGAGTCCACTGAAAAAAATGGCCATGACTCAGGTTCCGATTGATTGGAGGTACCTACCATATATAAGGTCAATGTAAGGCCTATGTGAGGGAATATCCCCACAAAATATGGTCAAACATATAGTACAGTACCTCAATTTTAGGTACCTGAATGGGCCATTGACTACTTCCCTGCTGCTAGGCTACAATCAAACAGGAGTGCCAAGCTCAGCTCGCCACCTCCCGGCACGCCCTCAGTAGAGATCTGGATGGGAGAAATCTTGCATCGCGTTGGGGGTTGACTTAAGTATATATATGTGTATATATATATGTGTATATATATATACGTATATATATATATACGTATATATATATATACATATGTATATACAATTTTGTTGACCATTTATGATACATATTTTATGACCTACATGAAACAATGTCATGTTCAACTTAAAGTGAACTGTTCAGAATCTTACACAAGCATTTGTATACAGACCCCCTGATTGACATGAAATCCCAAGCGTAAGAAGAATGTGAAAACTAATACTTGGAAACCATATGAGACCATGATGAAGCACCGGGAAGTGTATAATCATTCTTAACCATGATATGAAAATGCACAATAACCATATAGTATTATTATAACCATTATTATAACCATGACATAACCATTATTGTAACCATTTTATTAATTATGATATCACCATTATACATAAGGATATAATGCACAATTCAACCATTGGCAAATGTATGGTAGTTTCCTAAAATACGGATAGCCATGGATACCCCCAAATCATCCATTTTAGTAGGATTTCCCCTTATAAACCATCCATTTTTGGGTATCCCCCATTTATGGAACCTCCTCGCCTTTGGAAATTTGCAGGTGATCAGCAATACTGGGCCCTTCCAAGCAGCTTAGCTGGAGATTTTGGCCCTTTTTCAACAGGGTCCAGCCTGGCAAGGATATGATAGGTCAACCCCTGGATTAATCAATCCCTAATTAGGCTGTTGAATTGGGCGGGTACCATGTAAATATTTTAGATTTTACCTATTTGGGAAGTCCCCCTCTATAAAAAATCAACCCTGGTGTATAAATCATATAAATCCGGGGTTGACATTATAGGTCAATAGCCACAAGGGTTGGATTATAGCCTTTAAGAATCCAATGGCTGGCAATGATAGTTAAGCCCGGTAAGCCATTGGTAGCCATGATCGCCGCAAGGGTGTGTCATCACCCCCGGCATCAAAAACTCTCCGCTTGACGCAGGATGGGAACACCGAGAAACATAGCACTAGTGAACAACGTAGATGTATCAACTAGTATCTATGTAAAAATAGGATCTAGTTATGTTACTATAGTTATCAACTAGTATCTAGATGTTCACTATTCATAGTTACTAGTTGATGTAGTGATCCAGCGTATACATTTGCTGCTGTTCGGTGTCGGGATGTGTTGTTTCATGATGTTCCAAGTATGGCTGGCAATCCCTTTTTTGACTTGTGTTGTTTGGTTCGATTTTCCAAATACCCTCTGGTAATTTAACATAGCTATTTTTCCATAGTTATGTTAGTTTACCAGAGGGTAGTTTCAAATCCTAAATTTGGGTGGATGATGATAGATGTAATTCATGGCAGTTCCTTACTGGGATGAATCAAGTTAATGGAATCAGATTTTCTGCATGTAGATGTACCCTCTGGTAAACGTTTATAAAAAACTATAGAACATCACCATTTTCAATGGGAAAATCCACTATAAATGACCATGTTCAATAGCTATGCAACAAATTACCAGAGGGTATCATCAATTTCTGGTCCTCTCCATTTTCAACACTTTCTCACCTTTCTCGTTTTTCTTGCTGCTGTCTGTGTAAGTCATTGTGATCCCAGGACATTGAAGCCTCATAGAACTGCCCGCCTTCCTGTTGAGATCGGATGTTTTGATTCGCCCACACCAAGGAGGGAGATTGGTACTGTGAAGAAGGTTATGGAGGAACTCCTCAGGTTGCGATTCCCGATGGTTTTGAAACCAACAAGCCTTGTTGTTGTTGATGTCGGGGATTCTATCCGATCCAATATATAATTATTGTCCTATATTATATATAATGATTGGGGATGATATTATATATATAATATGTGATTATTGGTTCTACTATCCAATATTATATATATATATATCTGGTTGGTGGTTTGGAACATTTTTTAGTTTTCCATATACAGGAAATGGTACCCCCAACTGACGAACTCATATTTTTCAGAGGGGTAGGTATACCACCAACCAGATATATTCCTGTTGGAGATGATCAGAATCCATAGGAATGTTCCTATTAACTAACCAGATCCAGCCAGTAGAATGGACTGACACGTCACTGCTGGGGGAAGATCTTCATGGAGTGAAAGGAAGATGTCCACATAAAGACCTTTGGTTATTATGTTACCATTTGGTTATTTGACATAGCCATGGAATCACCATTTTGTATAGGTAAACCATCTATAAATGGCTCATATATGGGCCATCTATACCATGGCTATGTTAAATAACCAGAGGGATCCAGAGGCTATGTCTTTTTATTCACCTGGATTATCGACATTTCGTATGTGTTTCCTGATATTCACAGCAATCGGTGTACAGTGTACATTCTTCACTTCACCAGGAGGAACTGAAACCTACCAAACTTGGGGATGCTTTGTAGCACCAGCATGATGATTTGGGAATGGTAAACATGACAACCAGGGTGAATCGCACATGATTTGTCCAAAGTTGATTGACTCAAGTTGATTGACCAAGTCACTCTCGATATCTCGAGAGATGGTCGTGTTTGGAGGGCACCTAGGGATACCGCAAGCAACTTGACAAAGCCTTCAGCTTGCTAGGATTCTTCCAATCCTTCTAGCATCCATTGTTGTGTCAAAGTCTGTCAAATTCACAGAATTCCAAAGATGTTTTTAGGTCGCCAGATTTTTCTGGGGGCCGACTGACCATTCTCCCAATTTACACGTCGCACAACACGTCGTGACCGGGCGACACCGCAGGTGACGTGTAGCGTTTTGACCGGCTGCGTTCCTTTGTTGGTCTTCGAGGGCTGTGCGCCTTTACAACGTTGTCGGTCAACTGGCTGCAGCTGATGCAGGGGTGTCCTCTGAGAGTTCTGTAGTCTCTGATAATAATGTGGTAAACCCTAAACCCTACACCATCCCCAAGTCACCATATTGATGGGTGGTATAAACTATCACCAAATGGTAATATTGGATTGCCAACAGTATTTTGACGCGTTTTTTTGCGGTTGATCAGTGTTTCATGATGTTCCACCATGTTTTTTGCTTCATGATGCTTCATGACATTTCATGCAGTTTCAACCCCGCCTGCGAACGGAATTGCGATTGATTGTAAAAGATGCAGGTGGGTTTTCAAATATATTCCAAGCCATTTTGCATTCATCCAAGACATACCAACACATGGAACCCTCATTGAAACCTCTCGTCGGGGACGGCCACGATCTGATCAGATGTTCCCATTGTTCCCAGGCCCATGAACATGTCGAACCCGCCCTGCCAGTACGCCAGAAACTGAGCGTCCATATTACTGCACTGGACCACAGTCTTTTGATCAGGGCGAAGCACCTGTAGAAGATATTAACTTGATATCAGATAATGATTATCATTATTAACTTGCTGAATGGGATAATATTCTTGTAATATCAATGATTAATGGGTAATATCAGGGCAAACTTTTTTTGTGAAACCTGCAGAAAAATTGAAACGCAGACCAACCTGTCTCTATATATGGAACATGATGGAACAATTCCCAGAAATCCTGCGAGAAATTTCTTCCTGTTGAGTAGATTTGATGCAGCTCAATCCAGCTCTGTGGATTTTTCACCACATGTGGTCACTGGTGCCATGATGTGTTTTTTTTCAAGGTTTTGATGTTTGATGATACCAACATATACCAACAACATGTGGCTGCAATGTGGCTTTTGAAGTTTTGCTGTGTGCTAAATTGACGACAGGATATCTCCTTGTGCAATCGAAGCCTGGATGGAGGAGAGAACTGTGAGGTGCCCATCATTGGGTTTATCCTTGGGGAGTAGCTATGAATTGTCCATCATTTTCCATTGATGACTCCCATTTTCTCTGTATCTATCAAGATTATCAAGCTTTATCAATCTTTGATCAATTGTCCATGAGTTTATATCATTTTCCATTGATTCTCTATACCTTCTTCCATCATTTTCCCATCATTTTTTCGCTTGCCGCGCCTCACGAAAATAGGTTTCCTGCCGTCTGCCGGCCGTTGGCTTGCCCGTGAATGCCAGCTGTCCGGAAGACAACACGGTCGCTGGATCGGCAGCTGTGTGAGGATGGGCGGTTGTCTAAAGAAAAGGTCTTTGCCCATGAAATGGGCCTGGAAATGGGGTATCCCCATTTTTTGGGGGAAACATGTGGAAATGAACCCTTGGGTTTAGGGATACACTATCCGACAAAGCACAATAGCCATTAATGAGAAAGACAACGATGAATCATGACATCTGACAGTATACATTGTATACATGGGTATACAACCAACAACACGGTTTTAGGTCTGTATAAATGGGGGATATCTCACACCACTGGGAACCTGAATGGGGAAGATTGTGATTAACCGTTAAACCATTGTATTTGGGGGTGTTCCCAACATGTTCAGACAAAACCCATGAATGGCCCGCTTCTTTGAGAAGCAAGCGATGGAACTGGAACCCCTGATTCACGGGGCCAAGGTCTCAAGAAAACAAAGGGAGGCAGCCAGTTGGAGCTACTAATTGATTTTTTAAAGAACACACTATAAATATATATATATATATACATATATATATATATATATGGATATATATATATATACATATATTATAAATGAATATTGACATTATTGCGTGATTGCACGCAGAATCACAGAATTGGTTTCTTCTGTCTTGTTCTTTTTGCTCACAAGAAATGGTCGCGTCCGCAAGTGTTTTGCTTCATTTAGCGGTTCACGAAATGTCACAGTCACTTTTTCAAGAATGCCTCCAAACGGTGAGCCCAAAAGGGAGGAACTGCTAGGTGGGAATGCTGCGTGGTGTCGCGCCCTGTGGTCTTTTTTTCCAGAAATCCAGATATATCCAGATATATCCAGATATATCCAGATACTGTAAGCTGGGAATGCTGTCTGACATTGCTAGAAAATGCTAGAAAGAGATGCTTGGCCAAGGGTCATTAAATGTCCCCATTGAACATCACCCAACCATTAGGTATATGGTCTACTAGATGGCTACTATAAGGTGATGTCCAATATACCCAAAATGGGACAGTTACCAACCCCTGCCAAGCTCAGGTACCTAATCAAGAACTTCAGGTTGGATGCCCAGTTCTCTGGGGGTTTTTCCAGCCATGATTGCCATGTGACGGCTCGTTTTTAGCGGAGCTCATCTTGTTTCACTGCTATCGCTATCCCTTTAAGGGACCTGGTGGTAAGGATTTGTAATGGATTAAATGTTGTTAAATGAATATTATCTAATGAGTAAAAATGAGTAATGACTCATGACTCAGGTACTTAGAAGTTAGAATCCCAGATTTCTTCAAGAAAACTATGCAGTTGATCATTGGGGAAACCAAGGAAACCAACCATGCTAAAGAACTTACCATTGGACATTTGGGACTTCTGGATGAACAACAATGCCACATGATCCTTGAGAATGCCCTGAAGATTACCCTCTGGTAATTTGTTACATAGCTATTGAAAATGACCATTTATAGTGGAGTTACCCATTGAAAATGGTGATTTTCTATAGTTATGTAAACGTTTACCAGAGGGTATTCCCTACATTGGAAATGTGGATCTCTACTTCCATGTCTTTTCGAATTAGACGAGCATTGTATGTCTGGTATCGATTGATTGCTTTCCTTCCAATCGTTGAAACGGGTTAAAACCACAAGTGGAAAAAACATGAAAAAACAAAACTAAAGAAATATCAACATGTCAACAAAAAAAGTTGGAGAACATGAAAACCCCCCAAGTCTTCTTGAAATTCTTCAATTTTTTTGGAGAGAAAATGGTTGTCTTCCTGGCGCCCAGACCGCAGAGTTAGATCCTTTGACCAACTTGCCAGTGAGATACAGGCGGCAGAAACCTTCGGTTGCATGTTGGGACTCCAGCCGGACTCCGTTTGCATCCGTTCGCCTATCTTCATAAGGGATAATGAACAATAAACAATCACCACCTCTACAATGTGGTGCCCCCCAAGATAGCTAAGTTGGTTTATAACTCCAATAACTAGGACTTATGGTAGATATATCTATAGTTAGTGGGATTATAAACCAACTTATAACTGAGGAGGCACCACCTTGTAAGGGATAATGAACAATACACAATCACCACCTCTATACTATGTTGAACCGGATAGAACAACTTCAACTTGTCATCAGGGATGACTTCCGCGGCCCCCTCTGAAGAATAGATTATTGACTGGGACCGGGATACATACTTTCACTTATCTTCACTAGGGATCAAAGACGCCACCCCCTCTGAACAATATATTGAACCGGATATGCATATATATATATATATCATTATATATATATATACGCATTTCCTACATAGATATTTGGAAACCTGCAACCATTCCACTACTTTCAGCTAACATGTTTTAACATGGTACAATCTAGGAGATACCAGAGGCAGGATAGTTACTTGTCTTTGTGTTCCAACTAGCTGATTTTTATTCGCGAGGAGGCAAGATGATGATACAAACGAGCGACAATCTCCAAACATGCGTTCTAAATTCTAAATCTTTCTGCTCTATTCATTCTTTGACAAAGCCATAGATTTGCACTTTGAAATTGATCATAGTTATTGACTAGCCGACGAGCCAGCCTTTAGCCAGATAAGCAAATCTGGAGCGTTCTGTGACGGTGATGCTGGGTGATTCATTTACCCACCAGAATCCACAAGGTGGTGCCCTAAAGATAGCTAAGTTGGCTTATGACTCTAATAACTAGGACTTAGCCCTTGGACCTTGTTAATTTTGAGATGTGCCATTTACGATCCCTTGGAAGGGTTGCAAATTTCAAAAATGAGGCTGTCCGAAATGGGGGTATAGGATTTGATTTTTTTGCGTCTTTAACATGTTGCACATTGCTGTTGTATGATCATCAGGGGGGTGGGGGTGGGGGGGTGTATTAACGTCCTTGACGAGCACTTCCCTTACGTTACGGAACACGTTGCCGTTGTTGACATGTTGCACATGCTTTCTGACGCGCTTTTGTTGGATTTCTTGCGCGAACCTATTTTGGTACCAAGGGTTATCCCCACAAAAGATTCAAGATGGCCCAAGTCAACCACAAACAACATATCTTTACTAAGACTTATCATTTTCCAGGTCGTTTGCGGGGTAAATCCTATAGAACCATTGTTGCTGGTACTCAACAAATAGATGGAACATGGAAACACCCGACCTGTGTCGATGCTCCACAAAGAAATCAACAAGTGTACAAAAAAAGATACACTTGCTCCTACTTGTACAGCTGGACATGGCGTCACAATGCTGCCTTGTTGCAGTCTTTGGCTTCTGCGTTGCCACAAGCGCTCTGGTACTGAAGTGTCGAGAAGAGGAAAAAACTGGATGAGTGAATGTCGGCCTGATATGATTCGGATGATTGAAAATCATGGATTTCTCATGTTTTTTTTTTGACTTTTGAAGAGCAAAATCGAGTCACCGTGCAGGCGAAACGCAAATTTTCACTCTTGAGTCACACGCTTGCCAATCGAAATGAATGTTCATGTTGCAAACATTTTTTGACGACTCCTGCAAATACCAGCATTTTGTCTCTTAGCCTCAAAAATCAGAATTTCAAATTCGTCACCCTTACAAGGGCGCCGAGTCAACCGGTTGCCTAGTTATATCTATGGTTAACGGGATTCTTGACCAACTTCGAGTCCTGTGAAAGTACAACCTTGCACCAACAACTCCTCCATCAGTCCATCCGCAGGCCCTTTGAGTTTCCTCTGTGTGAGACTCCAAGCTTTTGTCCTGAGCCTTTTCTGTGGAAACGTCAAGGGTTTGTCGACGTGAATGGATCGGGATGCGAAACGTGGGGAATGTAGAGCCAGTAGCAAAACTCCAATCTTGGAGGGCTAAACTACACATTTCTGGTGAATTTTGAAATAGTCTAGTGTTGTTTCTACCAGAATAGTTTGTTGTGCATCTTGATTAATTCATGCCAAACTCGTATCAATAACCCCCTTAAGTAAGAGTCCCCCCAATTAAAGAATAAGGTTTGTCATACATTAAACAAAACCAACCTGCCTGCCAATGGGTCGAGATTCTCTTTTCAGTGGCAACCTCCTTCCCAATGGGCTGGGATGGTGAGATTGGGCATGGGACATCCCTTGAAGACTTCATTTTTTCAACAATTAAAAAACAATTAGAAAATAAGTATATTTCCTGACTACCACAAATTAGGATTTCTGAGCAGGGTCTTGTTTAATGGGTGCGGTCGCACATGTTTGTTAATAGGAAAGGAACCAACCCTTAAAGTGGCTGATGAATTCGGCAGCGCGGTTCAGCCAAGGATCCTGTGCCCATGGAAACAGGCTACAATAGGCGAGGCGGAGCTGCTGTGCTTCGACCGTAATATCATGTAATGAAAATATCACTGATATTTGTATGAACATGTTCAGAATGTTTCACACGTTCATATTCCGCAACTGGGGATGGGAATATGTATGTATATATATATATTTGATTAACTAATTATATTTCAAAAAATATACATATATATAATTATATATATATATATATGTATACAGAAAAAAACATCCAGAGTCATGAGTCATATGACTGGGTTATTTTTCGCACTTGGCCGCCTTTGCAAGCACCATTTTGCAGGACAGGAGTGGAAGGTGGAGCGGCTGAGGGGAACTATGGGTCCGAAGCTCGGAGAATCCGGAGCTGCGCCACTATCATTAATTACTGGTGGTTTAATGGGATTTTGGTGTGGTTTAATGGGATTTAATGGTGGTTTAATGGGATTTTGTGGTTTTGTGGGATTTTAGCGTGGTTTAATGGGATTTTAGCGTGGTTTGATGGGATTTCCCTTCTGGTAAACCAACATGACTATGAAAAAGCACCATTTTTAGTAGATAAATCCAGTATTTCTATGGGCCATTGTCAATAGCTATGTAAACGTTTACCAGAGGGTAATGTTGGTTCCTGATTAGTGTGAGGCCCCCCCCTCTAAACAATATCTGGATTCTCTTTAAAGTGGAAAGTCAAAAATTTTCTTCCCAAGAGAAAAACAAATCCTCACTTAAGTAAGGATTTCAATTGGCTGCAATTGAAATCTAATTAAAGCTGTTTTTGCGGATGAACTTGTGGTACTTGTAGTACTTGTAGTATTTGTAGTACCTGTAGTACTTGTAGTACTTGTAGTACTTGTAGTACTTGTAGTACTCAGCAATTACAGGTTGTTTCTTGTCCAAAAAAACGCTATCCCAATTTTTTTTGCCACAAAAGTGAACCCTCCAAACAATACATGGGTTTCAGAATAATTTGGAAAAATTGCCACAATAGCGAACCTAGCTACTAATCAGAGACCAACATTAATGGGATTTAATAGATCAATCATGGAATGTCAACAAAATTATCTATTATGGGATATTCGCGGGATATGAGATAGGTAACCAAATAGAAGCAACAATTCATGGCTGGGCAGGTCAGCCGCTGCCTAGGTGCGACGAAGGCTATTCCAAAGAACCCAAAGTCAAAAGATCCTGCGTGACGCTGGCATGTTTTGACCCTGCACTGACCACAGCTACGTTTCTTTCCAGTCCACCCAGTGATCGAACAGTATTACATACTATTACATTTTTAGGGCTATATGATATGTATATATGTATATGTATATTTGTACATGTCATTATTTAATTGCAGTATATTTATATATATATATGTCATTACATGTCTAATGTAAATAACATCAGCTTAACATATGAATAACTATGATTCCCCAGGAGATGATGAACAATACAGAGCCTGGAGTGCTTGCGTCGGCTGGCCCCGGTGAGACGCGGGGGACGGGCATTCTGGGAAACATCGGGAATTCGTGGCTTTGAAAAATGGGATTTTATGGGGAGAAGATTCAGATTTGGATAAGTATAGATAGAATATTGATAGCATACTCAGAGTTAAGATTGGATTTTTTGAATGGGAATTCAGATTTGGATATATATTATATAACTACTGCAAGTTCGGACTAGGGATATGCATATAGTTACACATACATTCATTATTTCATACATAAATAGTCTATTCCAAAACGACGCAACGCGTGTTGTTTTTGTTTTAGGCCTCAGGTCCCTTGAAAAATTCGGGCAATTCGGGGAACTCAGGTGCCTCCTCTATCCCGTCTTCGAGGGATGTTTGCCAATTGTCAACTGCACCGGCATTGATGAGCGCATGGTGGACACCTGTCGCCCCTCAACGGCGATGGGGATTCCAAGGATCCTGCCGTGGCGGAGCCCATCCCAAAACCGAATATTCAACACCCTTCTAGGCCCTAAACGAAACCATGGTTTAGGGAATTTCCTCATAATTGGGACCATAGAAATGGGGTGTTTAATATATTTTAATTTTAGGGTGATGGGATTAATCAATGGACTTTGGGGTTGTCTGTGTTCTCTGAACTTTGCAGACAGACCAAGATGCATTTGTATCTATATTTCCTGAAGGGCATGACACCCACAAATATGTCACCAACTACACGGTCGACTACAATTTACATATATAGTAAGATGGCTGGGTATCCAGACATAGATTAGGCACACAATATAGAATGACATGTTTTTTTATATATATATAATATATCTGATGCACTGTACTTATATAATACATATATTAATTCTAGATGCAGTAATAAGCTTGCATATGTGAATACACCCACATACATAGTAGCAACGCCCTTTCTTTATTGCTGCCTTTGCCAAGTAAATGTGCTCTCCCTACGGATAGATCTGAAGAGTTTGATGACGATTTTCCTTTACACTGAGATTTTTGTTTGTGTACCACTGGATCACTGGTAGGATATTGACATATATTGACATACATTTATTTACGTATATTGACATGTTTTGACATACATGTATTGACATTTATTGACATTTATTGACATTTATTTGCATATATTTACATATTGATATTTATTGACATATATTTACATATTGTCATTTATTGACATATATTGACATTTTTTGACATGTATTGACATTTATTGACATATATTTACACATATTGATATTTATTGACATATATTTACACATATTGACATTTGTTGACATATATTGACATTTATTGACATATAGTGACATTTATTGATATACATATTGACATACATTTATTTACGTATATTGACATCTACTGACATACAATTATTGACATACATTTATTGACACATATTGGCATTTATTGACATCTGTTTACATATCTTGATATTTATTGACATATATTTACATATATTGACATTTTTTTGACATATATTAACATTTATTGACATATATTGAAATTTATTGACATACATTTATTGACAGATATTGACATTTATTGACATATTGATATTTGTTGACATATATATATATACATGTATTGACATTTATTGACATATATTGACATTTATTGACATATATTGACATATATTGACATACATATTGACATACATTTATTGACATATATTGACATTTATTGACATGAATTTACATATATTGACATTTATTGACATATATTGACATATATTGACATATACTGACATTCATTGACATTTATTGACATTTATTGACAAATTGACATTTATTGACATATATTGACATTTATTGACATACATTCATTGACATATATTGACATCCATTTATGGACATGCATATTAACATATATTGGCATTTTTTAACATGTATTGACATATATTGACATTTATTGACATACATACTGGCATATATTGACATATGTTGACATATAGTGACATTTATTGACATATATTGACATTTATTGACATTTATTGACATATGTTGACATATATTTTCATTTACTGGCATATATTGACATTTATTGGCATACATATTGACATACATTTGTTGACATATATTGACATTTATTGACATATATTGACATTTGTTGACATACATATTGACATATATTGACATACATTGACATTTATTGACATATATTGACATTTATGGACATATATTGGCATATATGGACATTTATTGACATTTATTGACATTTTTTGACATATATTGACATTTTTTGACACATATTGACATTTATTGACATACAATTATTGACATATATTGACATATATTGACATATATTGACATTTATTGACACATATTGACATTTATTGACATACATTTATTGACATATATTGACATTTATTGGCATTTATTGACATGTATTGACATATATATATATATATTGACATATTGACACATATTGACATTTATTGACATATATTGACATATATTGACATTTATTGACATATATTGGCATTTATTGACATACATTTATTGACATATATTGACATATATTTACATACAATTATTGACATTTATTGACATTTATGGACATATACTGACATTTTTTGACATATAGTGACATATATTGACATATATTGACATATACTGACATTCATTGACAATTATTGGAATATATTGACATTTATTGACATATATTGACATTTGTTGACATACATATTGACATATATTGACATATGTTGACATTGATTGATTGACATATATTGACGTATATTGACATATATTGACATTTATTGACATAAAAATTTCATACATTGATTGACATATATTGACATTTATTGACACTTATTGACATACATATTGACATATATTGACATATGTTGACATTTATTGATATATGTCAATATATGTCAATATATGTTTATATATATATATATATTGACATTTATTGACATTCAGTGACATGTATTGACATTTATTGACATATATTGACATATGTTGACATATATTGACACATATCGACGCATATTGACACTTATTGACACATATTGACACATATTGACATGTATTGACACATATTAACATATAGATTGAACATGGAAGATGTACAGCATGCGAGGCTGCAAACGCAGTAGATACACACTTGCCTCCTAAAAAATTGGATGTGCGTTGTGGTTTTTCACTTTGCAATGAGTTTGTTTTTTTTTAAACAGATTTGCGATTCGCAACGGAGGCGATATTTCAGGAATTTCCTATACTCCCAGTTCTGATATGACAGAAGATCAGATTGACGATCACGGATAACGAAGAGGTCCAGGACTAGGTTGGAACGCTTTTTCAGGTTCAACAAGAGACCATTTTCCATGCCAGCTTCATAGACCTATTTCATCAAGAGTATGAGAGGAACATATATCGTGGTTCCCCTCCAGCCATTGGGGAAAACGATGATTAGCCACTGGCTAGAATGCGGTATCCTATTTGGGAACAGTTATGTTGTATAGTTGTTGCTAACTCCATCTACAGTTACCAATCACCACAAGTCCTAGTGAAATATTTCATATACTGTATGCATATATACATACATACAGCTGCTCTGATTTCACATAGCTTCGGAAAATGATTTTTTTTCGATGATTTACTCAAATTTAGGTGATTTGCCATGTTCAATTGCCAGAGGCTAATATCCATTAGCAATTGTATCCACATTCGTGGATATGACATGATATTACTAGTGTTATCCAATGGATATATCATGTTTCCAGCACTCAGAAGCTTCGGCTGCGGCCTGCTGATCCGCTTATGTTTCGACGTAAAACGAGGCTACGATGTCTCCAATTGTCCTGAGACTTTTGAACCTGGTGAAGTTTGTGAGGCACGGAAAAAAAACAACTGGAGATTCAAAGGGAAAATCAACCCATGTGGGTACCCTCTGGTAATTTAACGTAGCTATTGAAAATGGCCATTAATAGTGGATTTTCCCATGAAGAATGGTGATTTTCCATAGCTATGTTAGTTTACCAGTGGGTAAAACAATCATACTATTTTAGGAAACCACACATTATTGCTTTATGATTGTTTTACCCACATAGCAATAGTTGATTTTCCTATTCATGTGTAAACAATCATAAAGCAAAATCATTTGTGGTTTCCTAAAGTAGCGGTACGCAAAATCATCCAGGTATTAATAGATATTGATAGCCATGAGTTTGGGGTGTGGTTAAAACAATCATAAATCAAACGCAAAATCACCATGTTTATAGGTGGTATGTAGAAAACATTCCCAGTCATGGGGTGGTAAACATGATAATTATTGATTTACCCACATTATGAATTGTGTTTTTTTCCAGCCATGTTTCAGTACCAAAGGTTAACAGTTTTTGAGCTTCATGGAATTTTTGTGGGTACCCCAATGATGGAACCCCATTATCACAAGCCTCCCATACTACGCTCATAAGAAACCCTCATAAGAAACCCCGATAGCATGGGAAGTTTATGCATCATTGGGGATCTCTATATATTCCATGTCGGTGATTCGTGACAACATTCACTCAGACCCAGAACTGGGAATATTCCATAACTACGTTACCATGGACCAGCACTCCCAAATGGATCAGATTCAGTCTGACTGGATCACATTAGATTATCTCTACATGTATGATGCGTACAAAAAATACATATTTCATATGTATTACCCTCTGGTAAACATACAAAAAACTATGGAACAACACCCTTTTTAATTGGTAAACCAACTATTTCGACTGGGCCATTTTCAATAGCTAACTGCAAACGTTTACCAGGCCGGGTAAAAGTCATTTGAGTTGGGATGGTTGTTGCGCAGGTCCGCTGCAGGGAACCCTTTTACACCGGCACTCAGATGGCCTATGCATCGTGCCCAATCGCCTCTTTGGTGTGCAATGTGAGCTTGGATGGTAGGATATATATATATATACATATTTAATGGTTGGATATAATATATATATATTATATATAATATATGCGCGTATATGTATACATATGTATATTGTGATGAAAGACAAATCTACACTTCCAGTGAATGGAATGGATTCCAGTGACGGCAAGTGCTTGCCAGCTGCAACACCAATCTTTTGCCCAGGCCCAGGCCAGGATTTTCCGTAGGGTGCAAGACTGCATTGTTTACTTAGCATCTCTCAAGATAGAGCAACAAGGAGGGACATTTCTAGCCAGATTTCGGCAAATCAAAGCCTCCATGGAGAAGTGGGCTGAAGTGGAAGTGAAGTGAAGTCCACTTCTGCACATTTGCCGTCTGATGTGTTGAGAGTTCCCTTAGTAGTTTTCACTGCTGGAGCTTCAAGAGTTGCGTATCACATTCCTTGCGCTCTTTTGCACACCAGCATAGATGAACATGAACTTTGGGACCCAAGACCACGCACTGCGTGTTTCGCTTGTCTACAGGAACTGCAGACATACAGTTTGTGAATCCATGAACCTGTAGGAAATGGAGTTACCAAAAACCATATCGAGTATGTAATATTAATTAATATTATATGTATAAAAATAAGTATTCATAAGCAATCCTAAGTTAAGCTGCCATGGTCAAACCTGGTGGATTTCCAAAAGGGATTGCCATCCCTCTATTTTCAGGGAATCCAAAGTGAGACTTGGCGACGTTTTGAGTCAGACAGGAAACAACCAGTTGAATATACATACATGCGTACAATATACACACATAGGTGAATATAAAAATATAAATACATGTATATAAATTATATATATATAGAGAAAGCTATCATCTACAAATCATATGTGTTAGATAACTATATTTATCATGCTTTGAGATTTCTAATCCCCTCCTTGGGAAGATCCCCGAATTTTTGGTTGCGACAAATCTTGGCCAAGGACAATACCGATCCTGCTCGACAAATCATTGTCGCCGCAGCCGAAGAAACCTGCTGGGATCCACAGTTTTCCAGATAGGTCGCTAGTTGGTCTAGCGGATCGTTGGTGCATAAAAGTGGTCACAAATGGGTATAAATTTATAGTATACATATGTATAAACATGATAATTATGACCCCGGAAGTAGGCCCAAACTTGCTGCCAGATATATAGCCACTAAAATAAACAAGTAGCACTGCACCATTGGTGGTGCAGTAGCGCAACCAATCAGATACTGCAAAAATCTGGGACTGCTTGGCCTCGCCTTTGTTGGCCGCGGGGCATTGTTCAAGATTTCACAAAGGGGAACAACCAGGTATCAAGATGAGTGAATCCTGCATTCAACATGACCGTAAGATACCAATCTGTTTGGTGGTTTGGAACATGGCTTTTATTTTTCCATAGATTGGGAATAGTAATCCCAACTGACTTTCATATTTTTCAGAGGGGTGGCTCAACCACCAACCAGCAATAAATAAGTTCTTTTCTGAATCTTCAGTGGTAATGCGCCAATCTTTTTTTGGGGGATCATGAATGGGTCAAGCACCATGAGCCACGCCATCTGCAGGTTGGTTAGAGTCTTCTCTCAGGATTTCTCAGGATTTCTGGATCTTGAAGTGTCAACAGAAACTGCAGATTTTCCATTATTTGTTGATTGTGTATAGGATTTTCCACAAATCTGGAAACTTTTCCACAAATAATACACTGATTTTCCACAAATAATACACTGATAGGATTTCTCAGTGCAGAATCTTCGTGTCAACAAATACAACTGCACTGAGTTCCATTGATTTTTCCAGCATTTTTAAGGGCATTTTAGCCGTGCCCCGGCCTTTCACTGCACCACGTGTTGTCGCCGACAGCGGCTCAGGTGGCAAAGCTTGTCCCGAAATGGATCCAATTCCTGGTTACGAAAAGGCGGCGCTCACCGATGGTGAGGGCATGATGTGGCATTGTTTTACATATTGAAACCAAAAAGTGAGGGAAAAGATTGGAAACCTCGTGGCAAATATAGTACATTTATATATACTCATAGAACATGTTACAAAATTCAGCAGTCTATTGAGTCTGTTTGGGAAGATATGTGTTTTCTTGGAAGGCGGGTTTCACTTCTTGTGGTCCGCAGGTGAACGGCCAATGGCAGTGTAGCGCTGGATATCTCGGCACCGCAGTCGCGGATTGTGAGGCAGGGGTTTCATGATGGATTTCAAATGGGTTCAAGACTAAAATGGTCATTCATGACTTGACTGATTTGGGGTTAAAATAGGGGTAATTACCCCGGCAAAAAAAAAAATGCCAAGGGGGGTAAGATGTGGAAACTCAAGTTCAGTTGACCCTTGGTAAGGACTGTTGATAAGAACTTTTGATATGATTCCTCAGGTGTGTTCATCATGCTCATGACCCAAACGTGAAGCGTGTTGATCACCTTTTCTGTTGACTTGAAACCCTGATGGCTCGTTTTTTGCAGTGACGCCATGGAAACGAAAGCAGTGCAGTAAACGCATAGAAAGGTTACTTCAGAGACAAAAAATCATGAAACGTCCACTTTTCCATTTTATAAATTATACATTGTGACATATTGTGACAAATATTTGTTTCCAATTTTTGCATCCTTTTGTATCAAATGTTGGAAACTACTGTGTTTTTGTTCTGAAACTGCAGTGCAGCATCCGCATCACTGCGGCCAGGTGGTGTCGATTTTCTCGAGCGAAACGCGCAGCGCAGTGTGCGAGGAGCCAGAGTTCAAAAGTTGAGAAATCAGGAAGTATTACCCTCTGGTTATGGCTAACATAGCAATGGAAATGGAGGTTTCCAGCTGGGAAAATCATCTATTTCTATGGGTCATGGCTTCCATGGCTATGTTAAATAACCAGATGGTACTGCTGAATGGTGGTTTGGAACATGGCTTTTATTTTTCCATATATCGGGAATGTCATCATCCCAACTGACGAACTCATATTTTTCAGAGGGGTAGGTCAACCACCAACCAGTACTGTACTATACTGTACTTGTAGGATCTTATTATAAGTGGGTGAGTGAGAACTAAGTGATACTTAATGATTGTACATAGCATTTAAGCATACATTCAAGATCATTCAAGTATATCAAGTATGCTATAGTTTCACATCGGATTTTGTTCATATGATTTGCATAGCTACCGAAGTGTTCATTCCGAGTGTCATTTCTGTGACTCGAGAGATGCAAATCCCATGGGCTTTCCATGGGGCGTTTTTCAATCGGAAATTTTTGGGTGATCAAGATCTTTGGATCTTCGGGTCTTGGAGGATCATCCCACTTCATGTTGTAATGTCAACCCTGGATGAAAACAAAACATGATTTATTAATCAGGTACTCCCCAAATAGTGGTAATCCAATACTCAAATGGTACCTCTCCAATCAAATAGCCGTTTAACATTAACTGGTTAGTGTTTAAGTGCGGTCTTCCAGTTCATCCCTGTACACGGCATAACCTCGGGACAAAGCGGATTGAAAAAAACTGGATCACCAGAGGCCCACAAAGCATTTACGATTCCAGGGATCCTCGATCCGTAAAACTCATTAGATCCTGAGATCCTAGGAATCCTGTAATATTCCCATTAAAACTCATTAAACCACCATTAAATCATATATTAAATCCCATTAAACCACCATTAAATCCCATTAAATCCCATTAAACCACCAATAAATCCCATTAAATCCCATTAAACCACCACTAATAATCCCATTAAATCATATTCAATCATCCAAGATTCATCAAGATTCCAAGGATGATGCCCCGAAAACCGTGCGCAGGCGCGTGTGTCGTTGAGCGGTTGCGAGCTGATGTCCAGCTGCCTACCTCCTACCTTAGATCAGTCGGAGCGCTCAGAATTCGCCGCCATGTAGGGAATAGCCTCTGGTAAACAATGGTACCCTCTGGTTATTTAACGTAGCTATTGAAAATTGCCATTTATAGTGGATTTTCCCATGAAAAATGGTGATTTTCCATGGTTATGTTAGTTTACCAGAGGGTAAACAAAAATGTCCTTTGGTAAAAATAGGTTTGGGCCGGGAGCTGGTATACCATCTATCACCAATGGGAAAAGGACATCTACGACGGTAAACATACAAAAAGCTATGGAAAATCATCATCTAACTAATGGATAAATCAATGTAAATCAACTATTTCTATGTACCATTTTCAATAGCAAACTGCATCAAACTGTTAAATTATCAGAGGGTACCCTCCAGTAATCAAACGAACTATGGAAGAAATCCCGTATTATCCACAAACTGAATGGAAGTTTCTAGCTCGGATGATTTTCCATTGCCATGTTTGATTACCAGAGGGTATAGGAAAATTATATGATTGATCATCAATTTGTGGAGTAGTCTATTTTCGCAGACAAAACCAAATTGAGAAGTTCTTTGGCGCATGTTCCACTGTAACTTGGGTCTTTTCAGCTATAACTTGCTGTGCAAATGCAACTATTAGAATTTCAAGAGTCAATAAGCAATAATAAGCCGAAGACGCAACAAAGTCAACAAAGTCTCACCACAACGCCCCGAATCATTCCATCATTCTTTAGCATGTTTGGAGGATGTCATTCAGCAAATCTGGTTTGTCATTACTCTTCTACGGCCCATCTTCAGCGGAAGAAGATCCGCAAGATTTTGGAAAGCCATGGAAGTCGTAGGCTGCTAAAAAGTCGGGTGGCAAAGTCAGTAGTGACTCTAGACTTGTAACATTGCGTGGCATGTTATATATTATATTATATGTATATACATGCAATTCTTACAATGTATTGATTCATGTATATTGCAGTTGCATATTTTTCCATGAATCAACTTCGCTCCTTTTTTTTTCGAGTCTCATTTCGCTACAAAGAACGCCAAGATTGCACCATCCAGCCATTCCGTTGTGGGAAAGCCATTAATGAGGTGCATCTATGACGTGTCTGACTGCATTGGCGTTGCGGCCTGAGCGATGGACACGCGTGGTTTTTGGGGTATTGAAAACAGAGAGTCGATCCAAGTAGCTAATTTTTGTCTTTTTTCCAGGATGGGTACGTTTCAAGTCCGTGCACGGACTACGCAGGGATTGGCCAAAGTCCGTGCTCCGATCGCCAAGTGTCATATCCAATTGTTTGTTTAAATTCAAATTGTTTGGCTGGGCAAATATATATATATATATAAATATTGTGTACGCATGCCCTTCGCCAAATTAGCACCCTGATGACCCTGAAAATAGATGAACAGTTTGAGTGGTGACTACTCTTCCCCCAGTTTGGCAGGGTCGTCATGTGGCGCCAAGGTCCTTTCAGGCACCAACTGCTCCATTCGCTGTCGTAGTCCTCCCTATGAGGACGAGAGAAATCACGCGTCGCTGATGGCGTTTGGGATGGCAGTGCATGTGCGATGATTGCGATGTCAGCCACCATGCAGCCAATATGCATAAATATATGTGTATATATGTATATATACAATTATGTATGTATATATTATATATATATATATATGTGTATATGTATATATGTGTATATGTATATGTATATGTATATGTGTATGTGTATGTGTATATGTATATATGTGTATATGTATATATGTATGTGTATATATATATATATATTGAGGATTGTAATTGTAATAGATCATGAATGATTCCAATACTTGAGAGTATCATCCAGCGCGTGGTCCTTCAAAGATGTGGGGCTGGAGTTGCGTGGGAAGATTCATAGCCTGTAAGCCAGCTGAGCAAATCACTGTCAGCTTTGTACAGGATGCTTCAATCTCAGGATCCCGTCTTAGGGCTGAGATTGTTGGTTCAGAATGACGAGAAGATTTGGCACGATATGGTATGGTTCAGATGCCAATCCGTCAGTAGAGATTTGGGCTTGTCCAAGTGCTTTTGCAAATGATTTCTTGGATGTGAAGATGATAATAGGTGTATTTATGTACAGACATGTTGATAAATTTGCAGCAGGGAGCTACCCGTATCAAGCAGATTGAGTTGACGAACAGTTAGTTCATTTGTCAAGAGGAATCATATTTAGAACCATTCCAAAACAGAGAAGCACCAATGACACTAGTGCATGTACCGTCCGGTCCTGGCAGGGCACAGCTTGGAATGCATCTTGCCCTAATGGCAACTTGGATCCTTTGAGGGTGGTCGTGTGGAAGCCCAGTTTTCAGGTTGCCGAGTTGCTGTGGTGAACCACCTTCTAGCGGCTGAGAACAGACCAACCCAACGAACATGGAACGTGGTGGATTTTGGTGGAATTTGATCTCAGATCATATCAGATCTCTTTGCGTGGTCAAAAGATTACCGCAGCAGCCGACTGCTTCTCACTGGCGTTTTTCAGTTATATAAACTTATATTATATATATAATATATATATATATATCAGATGTGCACGTGATGGCACGTGATTTGTATAATCTATTTAGATCTATTTAGTAGGATGTTGGTTTTCTATCTTGATATCTTTAGCCTGAATATGATACCTAATTTTACTATATACTATTATTTTACTTGCTATTAGTCTGCCGCTGAACGGTAGTTGTTGGCCATGTGCTCACCACGTCTCTGCCCCGTAATCAGTGACATTGGCCTATCGCTCATCACATGCTTGTGTCATTGGATTCCTAACATTTCCTACCTTTCATACTTGGGTCTACATACCAGTTTGAAAGTGGGTAATACCCCACACAACAAGGAAAAAAACAGTTTCACATAGTTTCACAAGGAATATCACCAGTATGTGGCTTGTAAACAACAGTTTTTAACCGGAAGCACATCGTATCTCTGAAGGATTTTTTGACTCCAGGGATCCATTTCGGTCACCTTCGGTGACAGGACTTCCTTCCACCAAGCTGTAATTTGAGATGCCCACCACCAGCTCAAGAGGACCTCGTAATGGTGAATTCTTTAGCCATGCCAACAGCATCTGCTGTTGGCTGCACCGATTTAGTCAATTGGAAAGTAATAGAGAAAGTATATATATATAATATTTATATGATTATATAATATATAAATATATATTATATATAATATATATATAATATATAATATATATATATAATATATATATAATATAATATATATATATACATAATATATATATATATACATAAGTATAAACAGAAAAAGGTCGGTTGAAATGTGTCTTGTGCACCCTCATGGAATCTATCGACCATGGCTGGACGTCTACGCAAATCCCTTCGCTGATGTGCCGTGCGCAGGACTTGCCCAATGGCTACAACTACACCGATGGCCTCTATGTTTGTTTGGATGGATGGTTTGGCACAGCCGCTGCGGAGTGCATCGTCGGCGAGGAGACGACTACGACCAGATGATCTGGAACATTCATGAACATTCAATGTATCATTTTCTTGAGATGTTTGTTTTCACATTCGAGATATTCGAAACACTTGAGGGAATTTGCCAATATGATCAATATGTCAGTCTGGGTTGCAACAAATCACATGGGCCATTTGAACATTTAACCCGGTGAAAAGGCGAGCCAAACCATCCACTGGCTACTTCAACTCCTGGAGGTTTTTCAGATTGACATGTCCTGGGAGGTTTGGGAGCCCTGGGAGATCAGAGGACTGTACCTTTGGTGTCTCCCTGACGGGTTGCGGACAAAGCTCACCGTGTGTTGGCTTGTGGGGAGCCCAAGGGAGCGATGGCACTTCGCGAAAACCATCTTCTTTCAAACAGTCAGCTTCATATCAATTATTATTATTATACCACATTATAAAATATCATATTATACCATTATAAACCATATAATGATACCATCTGACCATACTGAGCGCTAGCTACGTCTGAGGAACGAAAGTGCAGCTGCTGGCAGCTGCTTTTATGATGTCACTCCACAGGCGCGTCGACCGTCCTTCGGCGGCCGATCTGGGCGGACCCGATCGACCCGATCGACCCGAAAGCCTCAGCCCATTCGCTCGCCGGCCAGGCTTGCAGCATAGAGGACCGGTGGAGCATCTGGAGTTCTAAAGCCCAATATACTCGCTGGTTATTAAACATGGCCCATAGAAAATAGATGGTTTACCTATTAAAAATGGTGATTTTCCATGGCTATGAATAGAAAATAGATGGTTTACCTATTAAAAATGGTGATTTTCCATGGCTATGAATAGAAAATAGATGGTTTACCTATTAAAAATGGTGATTTTCCATGGCTATGAATAGAAAATAGATGGTTTACCTATTAAAAATGGTGATTTTCCATGGCTATGAATAGAAAATAGATGGTTTACCTATTAAAAATGGTGATTTTCCATGGCTATGAATAGAAAATAGATGGTTTACCTATTAAAAATGGTGATTTTCCATCACCATGAATAGAAAATAGATGGTTTACCGAACTTAATAGCATGGTGATTTTAACCATGGCTATGTTAGTCATAACCAGAGGGTAATAAGAGCATAAAGGCGAATTAAATAGGCCAAACATCAATAACCCAATGCATGCCAGTTGCATGTTTTTTTTTTGCATTTTCCAGCCAATATTTTGGTCCCCGCACTCTTTGGATGTGTCTGATTTCATGGGATTTCTCGGATTTCCCCCCAAATGATATTTTTTTCATAGGAAAAATGACAGATCATGAACATCAACGGAAATTGGGATAATTTTTCCATGTTCCATGAATTTCAGACAACCCCAGATTCACAGATGATTATACCGTGGCTGTATGATTGGAATGTCAAATGCAGCAGCGCAGCTGTGAAGGCGGCTCTGGTCAGGTCCCAGAGAAGTAGCTCCATGCAATTTTTATGCGTTTGATGTTTTTTGCACGAGTCTTGGCTTTGACTTTCTAGGTTCAGAAAGATCCTGTGTTTTACCATTCACTTCAATTAATCGTAATCAATCAGAACTAATCCTTATTGATCCAATTATATAATCATAATTAATCACAAGTGATCCATATTGATCCACATGAATCCAGATTAATCCCAAAACCGCTGAAAAAAACCGATGGACCAACCCCCCTGCCGTGCAGGATCCGACATTTCCACAGGCCAATTTCGGCCGCGGTCCTGGTGGAAGCTGTACGGCCCGGACACTCATCATGGATCCAACAGGGGTCGGTCCATATCGATATGGCTGGGCAGCTGGCAGGATAAAGGGGTAGCCACCAACTAATCCATTTTTTTGGGCGGATTTTCAATGGATTTTAATTATCATGTTTTATGAATGATAAACCATCCAGCTATTGGGGTACATGACCATGGAAACCATTGGAAAGCTACATATCAGGATGTCCCATGATATCCTTAGGGACTCAGAATCTCCAAAGCTGGAGCAACCGTTCTAAAATATTCAGGTGATATTGACATATCCTGAAATATTCTGAAGGTTCGTGCATTTGTATTGTTTGAAGGGGCTTGAGGGGCTGAAGGGGCTGAAGGGGCTGGAAGAGTGCAAAGCTGGTGGCTGATTTCTTGAAGCCTGTTGCTTAGTGGAAGTCCAATAGTCCTATTTCAAGACCTTGGAAATCCCTTGTCCCAAGGCCAAACGCTTTAAAGTTCAGATTTTCCATGATTTTCCCAAAATTCGAAGCTCTGCGGCCAAAAACAAAAACCGTTCGCTACGTATACATACCTTGGATCATCTTGGTACAAGGGGGCCGAAAAAGAAAAAGGATAAAAAAGGTATGTTATGTACCAACCTGATGAACGTAGCCGACCAAACACTATGCTGAACGATCAAAATCGCTGGGACCAGGTTAGCTGTCGTCCTCCATGCTCTCCTCAGGAGCCCTGGAATGGATATAAAAAGTTGGCTCAGCAAAGGGAAATGCGCATGGTCCCATGGTATGAAAACATATGGAAAAAAGCATATGACACATGGGTGTGTCTGAAAATAGTGTATCCCTAAACCCAATGGTTTTGCTGATCATTATCCCTATTAAATGGCTATGATTGGGAATATACCCTATTTTCAGACAAACCCACATATGAAGTAAATATGTTGAGTTGAGTTTGCGTAATTGACAGTGTAACACATTTCAACAGCTATTGTGTTTGACGTAATTCTGCTGTTTAAGAATGCTTGGTGTTAGTTTGTGCTCTGGTAAAACAAGATCCTTGGAAGGTTCTTCGGGTTCAAGATCTTGAACTTCAAGATCCGTCGCGCCACAGGAGGGGCAGCCCTTCTATGAGACGTTGATTTGTCCTGCTTCCAATCTGAATGCTCAGTTGCCTCTGCAGGCAGGGTGGACAAAGGCAGCAAGGGCAGCAAGGGTAGCAAAAGCAGGGAGCCTATTCTGTTGCTAGGTGTGTGATCAAACCTTGCAGCTTAATTACAGATATCCAGTGAAGAGCTGGTATAACATGGTATAACAATAAGAATTGAATGTCTCTGATTGGGCTATCATTGCAAAATCGGCGTGGTAAACCAAATATATAGTTAAATTAAACATATCATACTATTCCCATACCATACTGGTACCCAAGTTTACCAGAAAATTCTGGCTGACGTCCAAGAACTGGAGGTTTATGACATTAGGTTTACCTCATGTCTGTGCACTTACAAGGTGGTGCCCCAGTTCGTTAGCTAAGTTGGTGAACATAACTCCAGTAACTATGGTTTATGGCAGATATAACTATAGTTAGTGGGGTTTATAAACCAACTTATAACTGGGGGGCACCACCTTGTATGGCACTTAATGAGTACAATATCCTTCGCCCCGAGATGCGGAGCCTGGCTGGGCTCGCCAGGGGACTCTGCCCAACTGTTCCTTCGACTGTGATCCTTTGGATCGTCAGGGTGGATACTCTAAGGCAGGGAATTCCAGGGGTACCATGGCTGGGAAACTCCCAATTCCCTGAAGCAAATGGAGGTGGGAAAATCATCGAATGGGAACTGTCCAAGCATGTTTGATTACCGGAGGGTATATGAATTTTGCTCACATGTTCCCTTTATGGAATCCAGAGAGACCGCCAGAGTTCACTCGGCGAGGTGGCGCCATCCAGTGGTGTCTCTCTTTTTTCATTTTTAAATATGTTTAATAGATTTGATATGATATAAATAGTGAACTCTTTTTTTTGGCTTTTGAGAGGTCCCATTTTTTTGGGGAACACATACCAATCATACCAATATTGGCGACTGATGCTCACGCACTGCATGACTGGCTGTAACAATGATTTTGAAAGCAATTTGTGCATATGTTTTCTATATACATGTTACTACAATATACATATACATCTGGGCAAATTATAACGACCTCACTGCGACCTCACTGGAAATCATGGTTAGTAAGGGAAATCATCCCCAAATGGCCTTAATTCAGGTTAGTGAAATATCATAATTTACCCAGATATGTGTATGTGTGTTTCTATATGTTTTCCATACATCTCCCCAGATGTGCAATTTTTTCCATACGCAGGACGCTGATGGTGAATGGACTTGTGCTGCAGGTTTTGCTGGAGAGGCTGGATGAGCTAGTTGAATGCACGCTTTGCCATTCGTTGCCATCATTTTTTTCTCATCAAATATGGGAGGTTCGAAGAAATCCCTAGATTTTTCCGGGGAAATCCGAAGTTGGATTCTTCTGTTGCTGGTTTGAGCCATCCAATCTCATTCTTTGTCACGTAAACGCTTGGGGTTGAAGTGGTTGGTTCGCAAAGTCGAGCTGGGCTGCCGTTCTTCGTTGGTCATTTGATCCGTAGTAAAAAAAAATGTGACCTTACGGCTTTGAAAATGCAGGTAACAACGAAATAGACTTGGAATGATCAAATCAAGAATAGCAAAAAACATAAGATATATAAACTGAATATGATGAATTGAGTCATCAAGATGAATTGAGATCAATTGAGGTTAAGACGTTCTCCAGTACGCATACACTTCATGTCTGGAAGCACAAATACATAGCGTTTCCACCATGGTTTGCACTGCAAAGGTGGTACCACTCTGCTGGTCTGGAGAGGTCTGTGAGGAGAGCCATGTTTTTGTTCTAATGGTGAACATGATGATCTATGATGATCTATGACATTTTGAAGATGGCTCATACTATGCAAAAAAAAAGCACGTGAACATCATATGGTCATGTAAAAGGTCTATGACTAAAGGTCTCTATGATTTTGGTGAATTTCTTCTCAAAGTGTAGATGTTTTGGGCTGTTGACCTGTGGTTTGACCTGTGGTTTTGGGCTGGGATCAACTTCTGTTCTGGTCAGGACCAGATGATGCTCACTGGATGCTTACCAGAGCAGTCGATTTCTTAGTGTTTATGGGGGCCTAGGCTGATGGTCTGTCGTCATGTGGAACTCCGTGTATCGCAATGATAATGACAAGAATGATAACATTTGCATGATAATATATGATGATATATGATAATATATGATAACATATGATACCATATGATAATCCATGATAATATATGATGTTATTTGATTATATATATATATGTGATAATATGTGATAGTTGTATATGAGAATATATGATAATAGTACAAATCAAAGTTGCGGAAAGCTGGGTAGATTCTGAAAGTCGTATCTGGACGTATCTGGACCACTTGGGCGATCCTTCGGAAATTTGGATGATTTGGGCTATCCATGGATATCCTCTTTTCAAGAAACCTCCAGCTATGCTTAGATGCTTAGGAATCTTAGGATGGCTTTGAAGGACGTGAATGAATACTCTCTAGGGAACAAACGTATCCACTTTTTTTGTGGGAAAAAAAAAAAATGGATACGTTAGCTGCTGTGAACATAGGCTATGATAAATACCCTATACTTGAGACATGTTAGTTGAAAATCCAGAATGGACATGTTAGTGGAAAAGTTGCCCCCCCCTCTGGGGGTTCCCGGGAAACTGCCAGAAGACTACCGCCCCGGACGCCCCAGCATCCTTATTTCCAGACCCCGGTGGAGAAAAAAGGGGCCCCAACTCCTTCCGGAAGAGCGCATCATAGATGATGCTCGTGGGTGGACAGGAAGATTGGGTGTGCATTCCAAAAACCAGTTGCATTTAGTAAGGGTTGGATGACTAGCCACGGAAAGCACCCACCTAACGTGTCCGTGTTGTTCAGAGGATGTGGTTTTGAGATATGTGAGTGGTTATTGGCTGAATCTATCCCCCCAAAATAGCGAACATATCCCAGATCAGGGTCGAAATCCAAGGGCCCCAATTGCAGGAACTGAGACATGTTAGCTGTTTTGGGTCAATGGTCCCCAAAAAAGTTGCAATGCATTCCCCAGGAAATCCAGGAAAACGCCGGTACCGAGTGGACATGTTAGTTGATACCTGAAACGGTAGCCCGAGATACGTATCCACTTTTTTTGTGGATTTTTCTTTGGATACTTTAGCTGCTGTGAGCATAGGCTATGATAAGTGCCCTATACTTGAGACATGTTAGCTGAAAATCCAGAATGGACACCGGACACGTTAGTGGAAAAGTTGTCCCCCCCCCTCTGGGGGTTCCCGGGAAATTGCCAGAAGACTACCGCCCCGGACGCCCCAGCATCCTTATTTCCAGACCCCAATAGGGCTCAAACCAAAGACTGCATTGATAACAAAACGGTGGAGAAAAAAGGGGCCCCAACTCCTTCCGGAAGAGCGCATCATAGATGATGCTCGTGGGTGGACAGGAAGATTGGGGGTGCATTCCAAAAACCAGTTGCATTTAGTAAGGGTTGGATGACTAGCCACGGAAAGCGCCCACCTAACGTGTCCGTGTTGTTCAGAGGATGTGGTTTTGAGATATGTGAGTGGTTATTGGCTGAATCTATCCCCCCAAAATAGCGAACATATCCCAGATCAGGGTCGAAATCCAAGGGCCCCAATTGCAGGAACTGAGACATGTTAGCTGTTTTTGGGTCAATGGTCCCCAAAAAAGTTGCAATGCATTCCCCAGGAAATCCAGGAAAACGCCGGTACCGAGTGGACATGTTAGTTGATACCTGAAACGGTAGCCCGAGACACGTATCCACTTTTTTTGGTGTTTGTTTTTGGATACGTTAGCTGCTGTGAGCATAGGCTATGATAAATGCCCTATACTTGAGACATGTTAGTTGAAAACCCAGAATGGACACGGTAGTGGAAAAGTTGTCCCCCCCTCTGCAGGTTCCCGGGAAACTGCCAGAAGACTACCGCCCCGGACGCCCCAGCATCCTTATTTCCAGACCCCAATAGGGCTCAAATCAAAGACCGCATTGATGACAAAACGGTGGAGAAAAAAGGGGCCCCAACTCCTTCCGGAAGAGCGCATCATAGATGATGCTCGTGGGTGGACAGGAAGATTGGGGGTGCATTCCAAAAACCAGTTGCATTTAGTAAGGGTTGGATGACTGGCCACGGAAAGCGCCCACCTAACGTGTCCGTGTTGTTCAGAGGATGTGGTTTTGAGATATGTGAGTGGTTATTGGCTGAATCTATCCCCCGAAAATAGCGAACATATCCCAGATCAGGGTCGAAATCCAAGGGCCCCAATTGCAGGAACTGAGACATGTTAGCTGTTTTTGGGTCAATGGTCCCCAAAAAGTTGCAATGCATTCCCCAGGAAATCCAGGAAAACGCCGGTACCGAGTGGACATGTTAGTTGATACCTGAAACGGTAGCCCGAGATACGTATCCACTTTTTTTGTGGATTTTTCTTTGGATACTTTAGCTGCTGTGAGCATAGGCTATGATAAGTGCCCTATACTTGAGACATGTTAGCTGAAAATCCAGAATGGACACCGGACACGTTAGTGGAAAAGTTGTCCCCCCCCCTCTGGGGGTTCCCGGGAAATTGCCAGAAGACTACCGCCCCGGACGCCCCAGCATCCTTATTTCCAGACCCCAATAGGGCTCAAACCAAAGACTGCATTGATAACAAAACGGTGGAGAAAAAAGGGGCCCCAACTCCTTCCGGAAGAGCGCATCATAGATGATGCTCGTGGGTGGACAGGAAGATTGGGGGCGCATTCCAAAAACCAGTTGCATTTAGTAAGGGTTGGATGACTAGCCACGGAAAGCGCCCACCTAACGTGTCCGTGTTGTTCAGAGGATGTGGTTTTGAGATATGTGAGTGGTTATTGGCTGAATCTATCCCCCAAAAATAGCTAACATATCCCAGATCAGGGTCGAAATCCAAGGGCCCCAATTGCAGGAACTGAGACATGTTAGCTGTTTTTGGGTCAATGTGTAAAAAAAAAGTTGCAATGCATTCCCCAGGAAAACGCCGATATAAAGTGGACATGTTAGTTGATACCTGAAACGGTAGCCTGAGACACGTTTGTTCCCGGGAGTGTATCTCTTTGCGTTTGTGACCTGTGGATATCCGTGATATCCCGTGATATTTGCTTCGAGGTTACCGAGCCGCAGGGTAATTAGACCCCCTTTTCATCCCTTTTCATCCCTTTTCCATGTCTAGTCTCTGCTTGAATCCCCTGTGTGTATGTTTTTTATCTGCTTGAAGTCGTCAACAAATGTTTGAAACAGCTATTAAAAAGTGATCGAATCGCCCAAGAAAGATGGGATAAACAGCTCCGCTATACACTACACATGGTTTTGCAGACACTTCGCTTGTCAGACCGGCGTGCAATATATAGACATGAAAACCTCTCCTTTCAACGAACGCAGCCAAAGATAGTGGTGAACCATGACACTTGGGCGGCTGGGGCCCAAAATGCGTTCAAAAACTGATTATATGACGAATTCAAACTGGAAGATGTTACATACACACTTGTTCTGCGCCCGGTTGCGCGAAATTGCGTCCGGGTAGCTGTGAAAAAAGCGGCCAAGTTGCACCCTACAAATCACTGGGGAAGCCAAACTCAAGACCCCGGATCGGTTTCCGGTTTAGGCGCGCGTGCACCAAAAACGAATCAACATGTAAGGTCGGACGTCCCTATGAACTACCCTCTGGTAATTTATATAGTTGATTTAACATGATTTACCCATTAAAAATGGTGATTTTCCATAGCTATGTTAGTTTACCAGAGGGTAATTAATTGCAATGAGACCTGCAGTCTTCAAATGCCTGGCGTGGCTGGTCGTTCAGAAATTCACATCTTGTTGGGATGGTTGGAAAGGGCAAAGTGGTCGCAGCCTCGTGTATCAAAACCCAGAAAAATCAGAAAACTCTGTAGCAATTGGTCCTCCAAAGAGCAGAATTTGCATATGATGTTGTGTAGAATATAAGCCATAATCAATTTGCATATGATGGGAGTCAAATATAAGCCATAATCAGAATCAAACCATTGATTTGCATAAATGGCTTATTACATCTTATTACCCACCCAGCATATGATGTTTTTTAAAGCTGTTGATCAAATCAGAGCACTGCACCATTGGCATTTTACGGGACCAAGGCCAGGAGCATAATTCCGAGAAAAAAAAGAACTATGAAGGGAAAACACCATGAAAAAACGTGCCATTTGAACTTGAAGCTGTAGGATATATATATATATGTATGATTGTATGAATGTATATTATTATTTTTTTAAATATCTCCCACATTATATTATAATATATATATGTCCCAGCGTCTGGTGGTCCCCCCCTCCCCCCAAGATGCTGTTGGTCCTTCTATGTATATGTAAGTTATATAATATATATATATATATATTAATATAATATAACTATTCTTATATATATATATAGAGATAGATAGACAGATAATTAGATGTATCAAGCCTGTCACATTTTGATGCTTTGACGAGGCCATGCATAGCGCCGGTGATTGAAGTTACGCCCTGCTTCTATGACACCTCCAGTTGCCAAGGCGACAATGACCAGACAGCACTCAGCAACATTTTTTGCAAGAGACAACTCGACATTTTTAGCAACATTCATGGTTATATGGTTAAATGGCTATATGGTTATATGGTTATGTTATTTTAGCTTGGATCTTCGGAAGGCAAACAGAGATTGGTTTGCAAATGTTTGCAAGCACTGCGTCATGACACCGTCTTCAAAGACGTTTGTGAAAGAAAATTTCAAGAATTTTCATGAATTTTCAAGATATATCGGGAGCACTTCACTACGACCTTGGCTAAATTCGTTTCTTGACATCGAAAAAACATGGAGAAACTGGAACTTCCAGTGCAATCGGAGACACGTGAGGCGTTCCAGCGGGTGGGTCTTGCTTCGTGAGATGCAGCGCTCCCTATTATTTGGGCAGTGTCAGGTCAGGCTCTGGTGATTGTCAGGATTCTTCATCTTTCTGGAGCTCAGCTGAGTTTCCATATGTTTCCATATGTTTCCATGGTTTATCAGTATTTTCTTCATGGTTCCAGACCAGAATTTGCCATTTTCAATAGGTCATGGGGGACGTACCCCCATTTTCACACCCAGATTCTGGACCCAGTGTCTTCGGGAAAATCATATCTGCACCAAATCTCCACCAACAATCATCGGATGAGCGATACGTCCGATACGTAGCTCGGTTTTTCAGCCTTCGCGATCTCCACCTTCGCTCGTCTGTACAGCGATCTTACATTGAATACACACATAACATTAATCTTCAACCATCATACTCATCATACTCATCATATCTCATCATAGTATTCCATAGTCTTGCAGGCCAGCCTATTGCCCTGGCAACAACACTGATCCCTTGGGCCCTGCAGAGCTCAATGTGCGGCCCGTGTGCAACTGGAATCCTGCGGAGCTCGGGGTTTCATGGGAAAAAAACAACGGTGACCCTCTGGTAAACATACAAAAAACTATGGAAACGCATCATTTTTAATGGGAAAACTATGGACAATAATCATTTTTGATGGGAAAACTATGGAAAAACATCATTTTTAATGGGCAAATCAACTATTTCGACTTGGCCATGTTCTATGTCGCAAACTCTGAACGTCATTACCAGAGGCTAAGATGTTCCCTGAAACCCCAGTGAGTGTGATCAGTTTTTAAAGCGACTGGCGCGACTTTTGGAACCATCATTTTTCGATGTTTCAAGACGGGGATCTCAAAAACAACAAATGGGGGCTGTAATTTCCTATGTCATGATGATATTTATGATATTTGATGTCATACGTTTAACATCGTTTAACATGTTTGTTGGGGCTCCAAGAACGTAAAATTCTCGGTGTGAAAGTGGGGTGTATCCCCCATTCATGATATTCATGGAAATCTTAAGGAACATGATGTCAAACCATGGAGGGGTGTGGTACCCGCTACTTAGAATTTTTTAGACAGGCCGACAGGCCCAAAATGCCCCAAAATTACTGAGGATTTCAAGTATTTGTTACCTGCCATTGTCCATGGATGAAGTGGTGGAAAGGAACGATGGCGGGATTGATTTACCTTACCCCCTGGTAAACATACAAAAAACTATGGAAACACATCATTTTTAATGGGCAAATCAACTATAAATGGCCATTTTTCAATAGCAAACTGTTAGTTTACCAGAGGGTACTCCAAGACCCCAAATTGGACTGGTATCGATGCGACTTTTTTTTGGGTCAAACATGGCAGAAACCAGCATCTGGGACCTGCAGATATTAGCGGCACCAGCATCCAAAAGGGTTCCCTTTTGGTTGTTTACAATTTGACTGTTTGATTTCCATGGTTGGGTTTGTTAAGAAATCCCCGTCAATAGGCCATTACAGTTCTGTGCCCTGAAAATCAGCAAGTTCGCTTGCACAGGAGTCCTGTCCAGACCCAGACACATGGCCAACAGGCGAGGGCGGCAATCCCCAAACCTTGGAATATTTTTAAAGATAGAAAGATAGGTGAATTCGAAGGAACTAAGTTAAAGATGCTTCAGGATGGTTTTTCAGATCATGGGTTTTTCTGGAAATTTGAACCAAATATCTATCTTTTGTTTCTGAAGCTCAGACAAGGCGCTTTTGAACATGACGATGGAAGCAAGCTAGTCGGTCCCATCTGTAATGGACAACAGCGATGATTGAAACCGTTACGGCTGCATCGTGCTGCACGAATCGGCTTTGATCCGTTGGCCATGCTGACTGAAGCCGACGCGATAATCATATATACTCGTAACATGAGCAAACCAATACTATATATATATATGTATATACACTATATAAAGCTTGAATTTGATGTATACTATTCATGAGAATATGCTGGAAAGACGAACATTGTATATACATGCAGCAGTTCCACATTGCAGTATATTTGAAGCGACAAGTCCATTTGGTCATTCAAATCAACATCCGCAACAGAACTTGGACATGGAAAATCTACATCTGCTCGCTCCAAAGAAAACGCATGAGTTCTGCTTTTCCAGGCTACGCGTTTGATGACCAGACCGGCACATGGATGTGTGCGCCTGGATATGCCGGGGAAGCAGCGGGGGGCCCCAGTATCAAGTTGTCAATATGGGGGGGTCCATAAATGGGGATATCCCAATAATCCCCAATAGCTGGATGGTTTATTAATGGAAAACCCTCTGAAAAATAGATTAAAATGGATGGTTTGGGGGTACCCCCCATTTTAGGAAACATGAGATGAGAAACCATGTGAAACACTATGTCTTTTAATATGTAAGTATACGTGTTTGTTTCTTTCGATACATCTTAGGATAGATTTTGTTTATGTTGGCCATGTTGAGAGCTTGTCCTATATTAAAGACCCACGTGGTATCCAAAATGATCTTGTTTCGCACGCGTTTGGCAACCATGGCTAAAGTGTTGTTTTAAAACAGGAGGTTTTCTCTTGTGTTTATGCGCTTTACTATGGATATCTTGCATATATTATCAAACTAGATATATCTAACTAGATATATCTAACTAGATATATCTAACTAGCTATATCTAACTAGATATATCTATAGTATCTACTATTGACATGTAATGTACTTATGGTTACCTCGTACAACATCCTGTCAGTCTGTCCATCCAGTTTCATCCGAGATACGCAACTGCGCCTTGCGACCCCGACACAGCGCCAGTTCGCAGTGTATCCCGGAGGCGTCGCCGGCAGATTTTTTGGGATCGGAGATGGGGCTGAAAGCGCTGAAAGGCTGCCAGGTCGGAGTCCTAATTCCTTATCACAGATTGGAAAACCACAAGAAACTTGGACACATACCCTCTGGTAAACGTCAAAATAGCTATTGAAAATCACCATGCTATTAATGGGAAAATCCACTATAAATGGTCATTTTCAATAGCTACGTTAAATTACCAGAGGGTAATATGATCATTTTTTGTGTTGTTTTTTTTGTTTAATAGGATTTGATTGTTGGGTTTTTTTTTGCGGATCACTTTTAATTTTCAGGATTTTATTTGTTTTAAAACTTGTGGCAGCTATTTCTTGCTTTTGAATCAACGCTTGTGACTGAGGTTGAAACCAACAACTAGACAAAGAGTTAAACCAATTAGACAACTGGAACTGGGACCGACAACATATCTTGAACCCGGTAAAGTACCGCCAAGCAAAACTTGTGCAGCACAAGTAGTGGCATGGAAAAATGCCCGTTTTTTTCGAAATTGAAAAGTGTGGTCTATGATGGTTTATCATGGTTTATCTATCTAGGTTTTGTAATGTCCAAACTGGCAGTGGCAGATATCATCAGATATGCTGCAGAAAAAAAACGTGGTGCCAGACTGTCCGTAAACTAAATGATGTGTAGCCATACCGGGTTTGCAGCCATTTGAACAAGCATCTTTCAACCGCAACTCTCAAACAGTATCAGTCCATCACAGATTTGTGGTAACCTGCTGAAACATGGCTATGACATGGGTATGGGTCCAAAAAAAGCAGCCAGCCAAAATGCATGGTTCATACATGTTCATACTCAACGGAGGTTTCCATAGTCATGGGGATCTCCGAAATAGATCAGAATAGCCGGATTCCGTTAGATTTCATGGAAAATCATCTGAAAAAATTGGAGGATCAATTGGGGATCCCCCAATGCCTTACCCTCTGGTAAACTAACATAACTATGGAAAATCACAATTTTTGATGGGAAAACTCACTATAAATGGCCATTTTCGATAGCTATTTTTGACATAACCAGAGGGTAGGAAACCTCCAAAAATCGCATAGGATTCGAATCCAGGCAGTGCTGAGTGGATGCTCTCCTCTCACCCCTTGCATCGAGCCACAGCTGTGCCTCGGAGGTGTCAGTGAAAACTCGGTGGTTTTGCGATGAAAAAAACGCTGGTTTTGCAGCATCTACCCTCTGGTTATGTCAAAATAGCTATTGAAAATGGCAATTTATAGTGGATTTACCCATTAAAGATGGTGATTTTCCATAGTTTTTTGTATGTTTACCAGAGGGTAAAAGCATCCAAGACTGAATTCGAAGTGGGAATTAATTCATGAATATTCTTGGGAAAGCCGAGGGAAGTTTCTTCCACTTTCCCTCCATTTCCGCTAAGGAGGGATTGTAAATTCAACACGACGGCGGCGGCGAACCTCACGTACCTTGGCGTGTTGCCTCACATGGAAGATGCTACTGTGGATGGGCCAGCGAAATCCTGCACCACCAATTTGGGATGGTTGAACCCCCCAAAAAATACTTGGATAAACCACCAACTGGTGCAGGATTTCACAACCATCCACAGTAGGACTTCTAATTTGATTGCAAAGACTTTGCGTTATTATCGGGTCAGCTGTGGGCATCCAAAGTAACGTCAGAAACGCTGTCAGCGCGGTGCACTTGCATGGTTCAGAAGTTTCATTTCTTGGAGTTTGACGGTTTGACATCCCAAATCACAGCACCTGTGAATACCTTTTAAAAAATAATGCAGCATTAGCAAGATGATTGGGTCAACGGTTTTTGACAATTCTGAGCCAATAAGTTAAGACATGTTAAGACATCCACGCACCGGGTGCAGTGTTACATGTCAACTTAGCATGCCACAGCCATAGCCAGGCCAGGCAGCATTGGCCTCATCTATTGCAATGTGTCTTGGCCCAGCATTACCTACCCAGCGCCCAGCGAATCCTGTGGATAAATAAAAAGGACCAAAGCTGGCGACGTCACGTGAATGATGGTGAGTAAGAGTAACAGTCCCAAAATGGTTTCAGGTGGGTGAAATATGAGTTATCCAGAATGCAGGAGAGTGGACAAAGAATATGTCACCATCATCATGACATCCAGCGATTGCGCTCGGCCGCGTATGGCTCTCTAAGTTTTTTGACTGCCGACCGGAAGGTTTATTTTGGATTGCCGCAGTCAAACCCATGTTTATCAGGCAACATCAGTTATCTCTTCTTGTCGGTTCATCATCAAGGATGATGTTGATGGTGGCGATGACAATGATGAGAAAGATGCTAATGAGGATACGGAGCAGGAGAATGACTGCCGTAGATGCTGGCTTTGACATGGATGACGACGATTGTGATGATGCTGACGAAGATGACGACCATGACGATCGGCTGATGATTTCTATTTAATTCATTTGTTATGGTGATGGCGTTTGCCCACACGTCAATTGATTGTAAAATAGTCATTTATATGATATACTTATATGCAATGTCATGGGCAAAACGCCACTTCTGGTGAAAATTCAGGGTGTAAGAGGACACGGTTGAAACCTATTGCAACCAATTCTCCAATTGTTGGAGAAGCCCAGGTCCCTTACGATGGGGTGCCAACGCAAGCACAGTGTCCGTGGGACAACAACCAACCTGGTCAGGCAGTGGTTGGAGGGTTTGAAAGGGTTCGTTGAAAGGTTCGAAGGTACGTGCTCTTGTTCTCAACAGAGTTTGAAGGTAAAGTCATGAGTCATGATGATGACGTTGGAAGACTCCAGTCCAGTTAGCAGATTTTTTTGCGAATTCTGCTCAGGCTTCTGCCAGGATGCTTGTAAAATTTCTGGATGGTTTACAGCTGTTGTTTTCTCGCATGGTCAATCCATAAATCAGTGGATGCTGCGGCCTGTTGGGTCCTTGTGCATTTTCCTGACTTCATTGCTTGTTAGTGAAGCAGCAAACCAGCGATCTTTTCATTGTGTTTACATGTCTTTACACTGTAACTATTTATAATAATATATATAATATAAATATATATAATATTATATAATTATACCACCATTTGTGGTAAATTTGGAGATGCTTTACTATGGTTTACCAACATTGTTTTCAATCTTGCCAAAACTCTACCTGTGCCACTAGATGTAGATCCAAACGGCAACGGAAAATCCATGAGCCACATGTTTTTTGCCGCCACGACTGAGTCGCATGAAAAACTTCCGAACATCTCTGAATGAGAGGCACGATATGAACATTGACATTTCATGATATGTCATGAACATTAAGTTCTTCATCAAAAAAACATTAATAAAAAAAACATTCATGATAAATGTATATAAATGTCATGGACATTGATTTGTTCACGGATTCTGTATCGTCCACCGGTCACAAGGAGCCAGAGTTTGGTTTGCCTGTTTGCGAGCCAGCCTGTCCTAAAGCTGTGGGACAGCCGACCCCGCAGCTTGGCTTTCTGGGGACGGTTTAGGGCTTTAGGGGTTTAGCACATTGATAGGATATGTATATATATATATATGTATATATATATGTATATATATATATATGGTTGTCCCAGAATCTGGTTTGTGATCATTCTATCATATGTTATATATATAATATTATGATATACTATATCTTTATCTATACATCTATATATCTATATCTATATCCATTAGATACACACATTGTATATCATTCTATCTCATTTTCAGTGACAAAAAACCCTGCCTACCAGGACTGGATTTCTGTGGATCGAAGCCGACAAGGACTGGCAGTGTCTGCCTGGCTATCGTTCACCTGCACAGGCCCACGACGTACGTGGAAAATCACGATTTTCAATGGGAAAACTATGGAAAATCACGATTTTTAATGGGAAAACCATGGAAAATCACGATTTTTAATGGCGAATGATGAAATCCATGGAATCCTGGTTGGTTGTGACTGGAACCATGGAATTTTATGACTTTCCCATCATATTGGGAATGTCATCTTCCCAACTGACTAATATTTTTCAGAGGGGTAGGTCAACCACCAACCAGTAGAAATCCATGGGAAAAATGGGATGTTTACCACCTAGAAATGGAATAAAGCACTGGTGATTGAAACCCTAGAAATCATGGGATGTTTACCACCGTTTTCAGGTGCCAAAAAATCCCAGCTATGAATTTGGAATCTCCGAATCCGAATTCCCCTAGATTCCTAGCATTTATCCCCGATGATTGCTGGCTAAATCCCGTAGATTCATCAATATCTATTTGGAGATGTCCAAAGTCATGACAGTCCCCAATTTATCATCCATTTTTTTCATAGGATGTTCCATGAAATAAGTATAAAGCATCCAACTTTTGGGGTACCCACATGACTTTGGAACCCCCCAGCTATTGATATTCACTGTGTATGATCCTGTAGCCTATCCCGACGGTATCAAGCTGTAAAGCCCAGAAAACCCTCGTTTTCAAGCGGCTGCAGGTGAATTGCACGACCAACATAGCTTGCGAGTGGATGCTGGACTATGGTGGTTGCGAAAAATTGGAGCCGCAGCATGGCTCAGCATGGCTCAGCAGGGCCTAAGGGTGAAGCCTTTTTCAGACTAGCAAGGACTCTCATCCCCGCAACAAAAAGAAAACTGAGAGAAAACTATTGTTGTTCTACCAACTGTGGATGGTGTCTTTTAAATTGGCAAAGGATTTACTCCTGATATCCGGGTTGCCTTCAACATATTTCAACACTTTGTCCTTACCATGGCCGTTGGAAAGTCTCTTACAGTCTTGGCCCAAGCCGCTTTTCTCAAAACTTACTACAGTCCTGCGAAGACACTTCGTGTGATCAACTGACTCTGCATTAAAGCGTGGGTCACATCTTTATGTAAAGAAACATCAAGTTCTACTGATCCTTTTAGGCTTAGTGTCTATATCTATTGGCTCTAGTAGCTACAATGAGGCAGGTGGTGTCAGTACCTATTTTTGGCTCGGCCAATTTTCACTGACCACCCAGGTGTGCAGATCTCAACATCTCCAGCTGTGTCGTAGATACCCGGCCGAAGGGATTGTCGACATTTCTCCTTTTTGAACGACCAAGGTCCCAAGGTGTTTTTTCCAAAATCATTCAGAACGGAATATGAGGGAACTACTAATATAACTATATAGTATGTAGTTGCCTGCATACTCATATTATGTATAACATATTTATATATATACACATGTTATTATATATTATATCATATGATCTCATATCATATTATATCATATCATAGTGTAATATGTATTTTCTCATTGTATGATAACCTACACATATGTTATAGTTAATTATAATTGATAATTAATGATTTTATTGTACCTTATTCGCCTGAATCCTTGGCCGGGTCCGTTCCAGAATCGCGCAGGGGACGGTAGGTCGCCTGTGGCATGTGAGATGAAAAATATGGTTGCTGCTCGTTTTCTTATGATAAATGGATATAAATGGAGCGTTTGCTCCATTGGTTTATCTGTGTTTATGCGGATGATAAACCATAATTTCATGAGTATAGCTACTCAAATTTCAGTTTTTCACAGTTTATCCTAATTTTTCCTATCACAATTGCATACTTTCATTGCTATGTTTGGGCTGGGTATCTCCCATTTGTTGTTCCGTATCCGAGGAGACCAGTGGCTGCAACAACCTGCAGGAAGGAGAGAGCTGCACACTGAGCTGCATTCCGTAACTTGGCGTATTTTAAATTGAGACATTAAAGATACCATCTGGTAAACTAACAATCGTTTCTGATGAAAATAGTTCATATGGTGGACATCAATGGTGATTTATGGTAAACTCATTGAATCTCACTGGGCGCTACGACCTTATGATTTCACCCATGACATAAGCCATGATGGGATACTGTAATGACATAACATATATTACCCTCTGAAATAGTTGATGTACCATTGCAGTGGGGATCACTGTTATGGCCATGATTTTTTGCCAACCTTACTGGAATTCTTCAACTGAGGCCATTCTACGTTGGGAGCAGCACCACAGCAGTTTGTCCGATGGGGAACATTGCACCTTTGCCTATGCCTAACTTGGTGATGTCAAAAAGTGGAGCATCCAACAAGATAGGCAATATGGTGTGCTCCTGGATATTATATGGATATTATATTCTATGTTGAAAGTTGATATTTCAAATGTGTCGATGTATCTACAACTACAAATTTTTGGCAGACATTTGCCTGCTACAATCCACGCAGCAAGCGCTGCAACGTGGATCGTTCTGCAGCGGCCACATCCCAAAGAGTACAAGGGTGATCCCTTATGAGCCAATACCTCACAGGAGAGATCATGGAAACTACATGGAAACTACCAAATGTGGCAATGAAATGCAACAAAAACCGCAGAAAAACCTTGTTCAACCATCAATCATCATCAATATCATCAATCTGAGGACCCGGAAAAGTTGCCAGACTACACCATGCCGTTCTGCGAGGCGATGAAAGGATAAAAATAACGGGTCCTATGGGACGCCCCTTTTGGATTTTCCACTAAGCATCTATTTTGGGGTACCCCCATGACTATGGAAACCCTATGGATTTATATGGGCAAAGAAACTGTGAATCTCGAGAATTGTGGGAATTGTGGACTCAGAAAACCAACCAGTTGGTAACTTAGAAGTTCCTTTTCAGCAATTCAGAGACTCTGGTTGCCAAGTCAAATTTGTTATATTTCAAAGATATGTTCAAACTGTATACTTTTGATGATGATCATGTTGATTGAAATCAACCTTTGAGATTTCAAACCTTTGATGTCGAAGATGTTGAAGCCAGGTGACATGCCCGGATCCCAGCAGTCCGCCAGCTGGTTACGAAAAGGCCAATGCCAGCTTTGGAGCGTGGCTCGTTGTGACGCAACTGATTCTTCAGTCGTTTCAAGTTATGATGTTCATTGATTTTCTATCCCTACTTTCGAGGGAGATGATGGTGACTAATCTGGAACATGTTCAGAAAAAAACAAGGATGGCTTGAGTTTGAAACAGCTGGATGGTGTCGATGGGATAGCTGCAGAATCCTGCAGAGAACTTGTGGCCAGTGACCATTTGTAGACTTTGACACGCAGGATTTCGCAGGCAGTTTGGATTTGGTGCATTTGACTTTACTGGTTGATGGCTTCAAACATGTTTTATTTTCCATAAATGGGAAGGATTGTCTATTTTGAAGGTGCTATGTAATTATTCCAGATTGATCATATTCTCATGAATCATCATATTTCTAGGCCGTGCTCAGAGGATGGGTGAGGCGTACAGAGACATTCAGCAACCACTGGACTCTTTTTCTAGCTGGATACCCGTTGTGATCTTGTGCCGCATCAAAGTTATACATATCAGCAATGTATATTATATTATATAATTGTATATACCACTACATTAGTGTGATAAATACTTTACTATCATTATCACTATGATTACATGATTACTACATACTGTTATTATCACTGATATTTATCATTGTTGGTATGATTGCTATTTCAATTCGCACCCCTGAAGTTGGATCTAGATGATCTGGATCCTCAGGTGGCAATGTGCAGCTGGATATTCCGGGACTGCCAGCAAAAGCTGCCAAACTTCCTCGCAACTTGACGATTCGACGAAAACCTGGACCCTGGGAGGGGTCGGGGTCGGGGTCTGAGGTCCAAAAAAAGGTCCAATCCTTGGCAAAGATCCTATGTTTGGGTCCCAAAAATTGATACGCATGATGCACCATCTGGTTATTTAACATAGCCATGGAAAATCACCATTTTTAATAGGTAAATCATCTATTTCTATAGGCCATCTATACCATGGCTATGTTAGTCATAACCAGATGGTAGTTTCCCTCAATTTTTGGCCCCAGATTTTCCATGAAGATCTGGAATTGGCCCAAACAATAGTGGTCGCCTCGTTCAAGTGGCTCTGCGTTTTGTTTCGCGGATAGCCGAAGGACAAAGACAAACCGGGGGACTCGTTACATCTCCTTACTTTCTTCAGGTTGAGAAGTCATCTTCTGGTTGACTAGTTTCTCAGAACTGCATAGGCACACATTTCACCATGGAAGGAATGAATAGAAGTGATGGCTGGCTATGTATTCCGCAGGAAAATTCTCCAAAAATTCCCATCGGAACTTCCCAAACTACGATTGCCTCCTGCCGCCCAGCATTGTTGTTCTCTACCTCCCAGATCTGTTGGAAGTGGATGATATCTGATGCCAATCATGGGGACTCTTGCGGAGTCTAACTTTCAGAATTTCGGATAAGACGTTTGAAAAGGTGTTTGTAGTTTGAATATGTGTGAATATTCGTAAAGGTCGAAATGCCGTGGGCTATCATAGCACTATTTCTCTGGATGAGTCTCTAACCGGGTATTTAAAAACAACCACCCCTGGGCTTGAGTATGACATGTCATATTCGAGACATTCCGAGACAGTGTTTTACGGAGTTTTTCAACAGCCGTTGCCCCGCCACCAAGCCCCATGCCTAGCCATCGCAGGTATGAAGATGGTTGCATCACCTCGACTGTCTTGAGCGGTTGTTTGCTAATTGTGCCCTGTGCAGCTCTCAGATGTGGTCACCACATGTCACCGGCACAGGACATGTTCCAGGCACTACTTAAGAGACATCTGACGTGACTTAAACGGAACTGAAACGTCTCAAACATCTCAAACTGTGGCGTTTCAGAGGTAAACTGCTTGGGATAGTTCATTGTTGTTTGCTTTGCTGCAACATTATGACTTCCATCTTTCTATCCCCTAAGCTACCCAACTGAAATGCCCAACTGATCCACTTGATCCATCTTGATCCCACAGTTGTGAAGGTCCCATGAAGTTCATGTTCAACAAATGACAATATTGTGGCATACATAATAAATGAATTTAACAGACATATACCATTTGTTCGTGAAAGTGATTGGATAATTTGCATACTGATATTATTTACCCTCTGGTAAACTAACATAGCTATGGAAAATTACCATGTTTAATGGATAAATCAACTATGTCAAAGGCCATGTTCAATAGCCAAAAGTTATTTAAAAAAATTACCAAAGGCAAAAAAAATGACCTTAAGTCATTCTCCCATGACCATTCTCCCATCACTTTCCGCGAAGATCCACTCCACTGTCGCAAGGTAAAGATCCCGATCCTAGGACACAGCCGCCCTGTACCTTGGTCACCGAGCTTACCGAGCCATGCTGTTTTCTTGATATCTCTTGTTATTTCCAGAAAAATAACCATCTATATATCCTACCTAGACGAATATTAAAATATGTAGAAAATTGGAGAACTTTAAAAAACATATGAATATTTGTTGACTAGTCATGAATAGATAATATAGACAATATATGATTAGTAAACATGTTTGTCTTGATGTTTTGAGATGCAGTTAGATGTTGCAACCGTTGAATGCTGATGCATCCAGTAGCTGCTGGATCCCCAATGGCACCAGCCTGGTTTCGATTTCCGAAATGGGACTGACTTAAGGATGATTGGGCATGACCCGTTTTTTTGGGAACCGAAAATGATGTTTGAAGACCGGTTAAATGATGTTTGAACATGGGTGAAATATTACCTCAAAATTTATACCCATACCGTATGTGCAACTTGGCTGTCCCTCAAGAAAGGGCTTGGAAACTGTCCCTTTGTGGGGATGTGTTTCAGCATCCTTTACCGTGGTAAACCCAACAAAAAAAACATCCCCTCTGGATCACCATAAATGGGTCTATCAACCGGTTAATCTATGGTTAATCTATGGTTAATCTATGTGATGTCCAAAAAAAATTGGACATTTACCAACCTTTGCCGACCCCTGAGCTACAACATTTCTGGGTAAATTTGATCACGACCTCACTGATCTCCCGAACCCTGGAATCATGGTTAGTAAGGGGAACATCATCCCCATGTGAGGCCTTATTTGGGGTTAGTATTTATGATAATTTGCCCAGAATGATGGTAAGAATGATTTATGGATTGATGATTTATCATGATTTATCCATTTATGATGTAAATCAATCAATCATTTATCTGGTTGGTGGTTTCAAACATTTTTTATTTTCCATAATAGATGGGATAATCCTTTCCATTGACTAATATTTTTCAAGATGGTTAAAAGTTAAAACCACCAACCAGTTATGATTTGCCCAGTCATTTACAGGTTACTACGACACCTCAGCTTGCTACGGTGTCTTTGCAGGCACGACTTGCTCCTCGGTCAGAAAAGTTCCACGGAGCGGAGCGGCCAATTTTTTTTGTTTGTGCACTTTCTGAATTACCATGTTTTTAGATTATATACTGTATATGTTCATTATGTTCATTATATGTTCATTATATGTTCATTATATGTTCATTATATGTTCATTATATGTTCATTATATGTTCATTATATGTTCATTATATGTTCATTATATGTTCATTATATGTTCATTATATGTTCATTATGTTCTTGTCTTATCCTTTGTTGCATCAAGACAATCTAGTGAAAGAAGGGATCAGATATGATCAGATGATCAGACATTGATGTGAATATGTCTTGAATCCCACGTTTCAGATCCCCGAAAAGTGTGCACGTGTGCACAAAGAACGAAGCGCCCTCTCCTCGCAGATGAGGTTCCATTCCGTGTTTGTCACCCTATGTTGGAAGTGCAGCTTGGCCGGTGGAAATATCCACCATAGCTTGGTGAGCACAAAGTCCGGTGATGCGTCTCTGACTGGTGATGCGCCTGTTCAAGTGTCGACATGGTCAGCCTCATACCTGTGACAGGTTGGCAGCGCCTTCTGTGCCGTAAACAACACAGATCCTTACAGGACTGGGTGGGACAGTGCCTTTCCGTCACTGGACGCTGTTGGATCTGCTGGTTGATCTACCTGGATCAATAGCCAAAGCTCTTGGATCTTGGTATCCAGTAGTCAGGTACCGTGATTCCCCCCGCTCAGCCTACGTTTGAGATTGGAGGGTGAGGATTCTTAAGTTCTTTCTATTGCCATGGTGACTAGCAACTAACGGACATGCAACTTTGACACACAGAGCAATGATCCTGCCTACCCACAGTCAAAAGAAAAACATCTTGGGAGATGTTTCAGGACTTCAAAATCAGTGACTCTACTATGTGTTTGTTTCTGAGAATTTCCCACTGGAGACTATGGCTGCTGAGCGTTTTTTTTCACCAGTATTTGGCCTATCTTGCGGCAGGCCATTGGTTTGGGATTGGCCGGTGTGTTCATTGGAACCTTGTGCTGCAAGACATTACCCTCTGGTAAACATACAAAAAACTATGGAAAATCACCATTAAATTATGGGTATATGAACTATTTCTATGGCCATTTTCAATAGCAAACTGTTAGTTTACAAGACATTTTTCTGTGATGGCTCATGATGGGTCACTGGGTCTTTGATCCACCTGACATGGGATCTTTCAACCCAATCTGATGTAGCGACTGTCAACGCGGAATCAGCATGAATCAGCAAGATTTGAGCACATTGGGTTTGTTTCTTGAAGTCAATGCAATAGCAAAGCCGCTCTTGCCACGCGTAACTTCACATGCTTGACAGTTTGAGATATCGAGATCGAGGAGAATCGTGTTGGTTATTTTCACTGCGAAACATTGCGTTTTCATTGCTTATTTAATTGCAATTTTACCATAATTTATAGTTTTCATATGTATTTATAGGGTCACAATTTGCGAATATGGGGATATGATTGACAAATATAAAATCCCTTGGAGACAGTGTGTTTTTCACTATTTGAGACAGCATACTTTAGGTGGTTTGATACTGGAAGAATCAGCAGCAATGTTGATCCACAAGAGGCGGACAAACTACAACATCTGATGTCATCGGAGTCATTTGAGAATATGAATCTATGAAAGAACCAAACATGTCACTTAATTTTAATGACTCAAAAGTGTTCGCTCTCTACGGGATTAGCAGGCTGGCCTCAGTAGGGTGCGGCAAAAACATACATTGACATGAATTATTCAGAGATGTCTGTTTAACCTAGCCATGACGGATTCTAACGGTGCTGGTATATATAGTGCTCCATGGATCCCATCAACAAAAACCCCAGTCATGTTAGCATTAATATACCAGCACCATGGAAAATCACCATTTTTAATAGGTAAACCCAGGTAAACCATCTATTTCTATGGGCCATGGATCCGTCATGGGCTATTCTTTGCCTTTGTCTTTTGCGGCTAATCCAAGGATCCTTGTCCAGATCCTGCACTGATCCCAACGGGCTACGTGAAAGATTTAGGCCTGGTGCTGGCGACATCTGGCGACGGTTGATCCATTTGCTGGAAAAATATATAGGGCCATGTTGTTAAGTTAGTTAGCTCACCTAGATATCCGTTCTGGGAGCTTTTTGAGATTTCATCATGCATGCGAGCGTCATGATGCAAACCTCAAATACATCGCTGTCAAATGTTGTGAGCGCAGCGTCGTTTCATCGACAGCATGGATCACACCAATATTTCGTCATACAAAGATTTGAGCGTCTTAAGTTGCTTCGTCATGTTTGCGTGCGTTGATACACCCCAAGAGACGTGCTGCAGTTTTCACTGCAGTGGTCTATAGTTTGCCACTTTTCGCACAGGCAACTGGACATGTGACGAAACTTGGCGGAGCTCTTTCACCCGTCCCGAGAGGTTCCAGTCCTTTTAGGCAAGCTAAAACTGCTGCATGGCTAACACTCGGCATGTGTACTCTCGAGTTTGCTAGCTCTTTGGTCCTTCAGATGCTCTTAATGTGTCTCTCAACATATCATAGCCTAAGAAAGCAATCAACAAGATAGAAAAAGTGGTTCCCACGAGGTCAAAAAGATGATCTTCCCCCACAATCTCCAGGATTTCCAAGGTATTTTCGTATTTTCAGCATCTACTTTGGGGCGGCTATAGGATTGTTGGTCTGTAGGGAGTCCATGGGCCAGGTGGGATCATTTGGGCGTGAAAATCGGCGACCTCTCCAATTCCAATGGATGAAATCATGGATGAAATCATCATTTTCCCTATAAATAATGGTGGTTTATATCATATGGTTCAATGCTATGGCCATTTGAAGGGAACTCAAGGTATAACTCCTATTTTCAGACAAGGTTCCGAAAGCTGAGGACGGCTTCGTTGGTAGTGCCTCACTTTCGTGTAGCTTGGCTTCAGCTGTCATGGAAGCAACTTCCAGAATTCTGGATTTCAAAAAATGTTGCTAATACCCATAGCATGGAACATTAATGATTGTCAACATGCATTTGCTATTGAATTGTAGCTGTTTGGTGGTTCGGAACATTTTTTCCATATGTTGGGAATGTCATAACCCCAACTGACGAACTCCATCATTTTTCAGAGGGGTAGGTATACCACCAACCTGTTTAGTTAAAGTATGTTAAAGTGACAATTTGTATCCAGCGGATTTCGGGATTTCGCCAGCATTATCAGGCAAAGCCACGCCACTCATAAACCGAACAAGCACGTCCCCGATTTGTAGGATCATCCCCTGTAAATGGTTCATAGCTCCAGTTTTGTTTTGTAAAAAAAGTGGGATAGTTAGTACATGTTAACCCCCACGAGTTTGGTAACACAATGTGGGATTATTATGGAGAAGAAATAACCCCAAAGAATTAAAGACAAATTTGACCATAAACCATAGTCAACACCTAGTTATAAACCTTTGTGTTATCCAAACCTTGGTATAAACCTTGGTGTTATGGATAAGAATTGGAGGTTTCCTAAAATTTTGGTACCCCAAAATCATTTATTTTAGTAGGATGTTCCATGAAATAGATCATCCAGCTCTTTGGATACCCCAAATAAAATGGAAACACCCATATTTTTTGGATATTGAAGATGGGATTCCGCAAATATAAATCTGATATATATATATATATATACAATGGATATTATAGACATACCCTTTGCTTATTTAACGTAGCTATGGGAAATCAACATTTTGAATAGGTAATTCATCATGTTTATCATCTAGAAATGGGCCATGGCTTCCATAGCTATGTTAAATAACCAGAGGGTAAATCCCATTAACGACCATCAATCACCATTGATCACCATCAATCACCATTGTTCACCATCAACCGCCATTATCAACCATTATCAACCATCATCAACCATTATCAACCACTATCAACCATCAATTGTCCATTTCTGCCTTTGATAATCATAATGGTGATTGATGGTGATACCTGTTGATACTGGTTGTGCTGTTGATCACCATCATTATCACCATTATCACCATTGTCAATACCTGTTTTCATAGATAATGGTGATAATAGTGATAATGATTGTGATAGGGATAGTTAGATTGTGTTAGATTGTAATTTTCATATCATTGATAATAGTTGATATTAAATGATATGAAAATTATAATCTAACATCAGATTTGGATCTATCTGGATCAATAATACCTATTAATATCATTTAATCATTTAATCAACTATGGTGATTAATATCTACTAATTAAGATTGTGATTAATTTATTGATTAGCATGAACCATTTAGGTCTATTAATATCCTTACTGGTGCTTAGTAGGGAATGGATGGGAATGGGGGTTGCTGGGATGATGAAATTACGAGTGATGAAATGGATCATTACCGAAAATTCCCTGCGTAAAACGCACCAGTAAGGATCATTTAATCGATCACCATATTGGTTCATGGTTCCACCAAGGTATTGCCAGCGCCATTGAGCCTGGAGCAGGTGGCTGTGGCTGCCGCTTTTCGCGCCTGGAGAAGGGGATGGGATGCGACCTTCATGACTCGCAAGAAGAAGATAACACATGATGAATTTAGACACATCTATACCATGAGAATTTATGATATTATATATATATTCATCATTATTCATCTATTTATGTATGTAAATAATAATTATCATTATTATTATTGTATACATTATAACATATAATGTATACGATCTATAAACATCCGCATAAACATGTATATATATACATATCTGGTAGATTCAATGTGGTCCTAACTCAATTCCCTTTTCAGATTTGTGGGATGGATCGAATATCTTGGAAATTGTTAGAATTGCCAAGGAAAAAACAATGATAGTTGATGCGATTGAAAAAGGAGATGATGAGATAGAGCCCAATGTTTGCATCATCTCATATTATGAATATCACACTTAGAGATGCTCCACGTTTTTCAGAAGTAAAAGGAAATAAGAAGAACTTTTCTCTACATTGGACACCCCGAGAGGTGTGCAGTGCAATGTGAGCAGCATTCTGAGTGGCTGCTTTGGGAAGGCCCTTTGAGCTGCTGCTTCTGCTGTTTTTTTTTTTTTCGGGATTCCCCTATTGGATGATTTTATATTAGCCAATAAACAAGATATAAAGGGTAGCATAACCCCCTATAAGAAATATTGGATTATATTGGATGATTTTAACCCCCTTTTTTTAATCAACCAACAGGGCTGCAGATTGATCCAAAAATGACCTCACTTTGAAGGACGAAAAACAGAACCACTTGCCATGTACGGCGAAAACTCTGTAGATTGTGCCCACTGAAAAGACGAAAAAAGGAAAAAAAATGCAACTGACTACTCGGACTTTTGGATTATTAACCATTATTAACCATAGATTAACCATAGATTAACCATAGATTCCCAAATCGACTGCATGTTTCGCCAGATGCCTTGTGCGCCGCTTCCCTTGGACGCCTGTATGCTGGATTCTTCAAATTGCAGCGATGGAGTGCCAGTCTGGGAGCCCACTCTCAGAGCCCTTGGGGGGTCGGATTTCTGGGAGCCCTGGGAGCGCTTTTAAGGGTCCAACCAGTGGGAGCCCGATCTATTAATGGTTAATGATGGTTAATAATAATGGTTAATAATAATGGTTAATAATAATGGTTAATGATGGTTAATAATTATTGTTAATCTATGTTTAATCTATGGTTAATCTATGGTTAATCTATGGTTAATGGTAATCCTTCCCGATCCTTCTGAACTTATTGCCGCACTAGCGAGGTTTCTGTCTAGGTTTCATATGGTTTCATACAGCTGCATACAGCTGCCCCTTTGTTTATGGCCTAGGCACTAGATGGAAAAAGTTCTAAAGCAGCCAGCGCAGACAGGTGCTTTCCAGTGAACTTTGCCATAGAAGTGCAAAGGCGCTTTGCATATTGTGAAGGGTAGTCACCTTGAGTTCTTTGCCACATACAAGTTGTCTATTCATATGCGACATCCAACAATCCCTCATTGTCTGGAATGAGAAGACGTTGGTGCAATTTGCATACATTCATATGTACATGAAACCATGTGTACATAAAACCATGTACATATTCACAAAAGCAGACATGCACACATGCAGACATTCATATTTGTGTGTTTGTCCATTCACAAATACATTTGCGTCAAATCATATGAGTATAGAATGTGATTGTCATTGTTACATTTTAATTCATGGATTTTTGAACGATTTTTCAGTACCAGAAATACGTTCCCATCGTTTTTTAGATCTTAAGCGATGAACGACTTCCGAACCACTGAGGCTGGTGGTTCTTGCGATGTATTTTGCAAGTATCCCTACGTGGGCACGCCTGGAGAGGTGCCCCGTTATGCCTGGAAGGTCTTGGTTATGACCAGTATTGACCGGTTATGTATGTTGTAAAATGTTGTAAATATGTAATCATATGTATGTGTACATATAGATCTGTAGCGATATATATATATATTATATGATATGTATACCAGGCCCCTCTGAGTGGCGCGGAATGGGTTTTGGGTGCTTGATTTTGATAGGGCTGCTGTTTGGCACCCCTTCCAGGGTCCAAGTTGCGAAGGGGTGCGTGTTGGACAAACCTTTGAGGTTGCCGGTATATTATACACGATTTTAAATAGTGTATGTCGACTTAATCATGATAACCCATGTATTCTATATTGATATGTAACGTTTCCGTTATTTGTACCATATTTGACATACCTCGATTTCATCCAATGAATAATACTCTAATCCAATTAATTAATATGTCATAGTTCCATTACAAGTACATAATCCAGTATTATATAATATAGTACAATATATATATATATATATTTTAGATGTATTAGTATTAGCCGAATCCTTCATATCCAAATACTGGTATTTAGAATGATACCATAGTATAGTTTGTTATACTAACGATAAACTGGATTAAACTACGAACTATAATATACTATATTATGTATACTGTATATATATACTATAAATACTATTAGTATAATACTGTAAGTCCATATCTCAATGGGAATTTCAGGATCCTAAAATGGAGGTACTGTACCATATAAGGCAATATTTTGGGGGAATATTCCCTTACATAGGCCTTACATGGGCCTTATATATGGTAGGTACCTCCAATTTAGGTTCCTGGAATGGCCATTGAATATCCTTCGATCTTGTCATGTCTTGTCATGGCTCCGAAATCAGAAACCTTTAAAACAACATGTCATGGCACCTCGACTGTCCAGGCCACCTGTCCTGAAATCAACACCGAGACTTGGCCCAAACCACAATGGGAACGGGAATGGATGGAAAATGATGGAATTTTTTAATGTCTTTTTTTCAAGCAATTCCCATGGGACTATTTAAGGATTTAATTTTCTATTTTATGTCCCACAATGCCACAATAAGGATAGCAAGCCCTACTGAAACTAGATTTTTGGAGCTTTTTTGTTGAACATCTGTTTTTGGCTACTCTAATATCGAAACAATTCGAATGTTTTGGACAGTTTTTTTTAGTATTCCTCAGGTTGTCGGGGTTGTTCAACATTGCTACCTTAAGCACCATTGGTTGAAACCATGGAAACCTAGGGGTTGGAAGATGAGTTTCCATTAAAACTGGGCTATTTTCGGGGTCTATGTTAATTTACCAGAGGGAAAATGTTTTTTTTGGGGGTATGGAACATGTTTTATTTTTCCATATATTGGGAATAAAGTTGAACAACTGACTTTCATATTTTTCAGAGAGGTAGGTATGCCACCAACCAGATATATATATATATATATACGCGCAACGCCTGGGTTCTGCCCAGGCGTTGCAGCGTATATATGTCCCATTCACTAACAAATGATGTTGCAAATTACCGTAATTCCTATGGGAAAAACAAACAGGTACTAGAGACTATCAAACAAACAAGGTCAAAACACCCGAAATTCCTATGGGAAAAACAAAAACGGCATAACACCTGCAATTCCTATGGAAAAAACAACAAAGGTACTAGCAAATTTTAAACTCTCAAATCGTGAAAATTAAAATTCAATTAGGAAGATCAACAAAGATATTAGGGAATATTAAACTCCCACCCCCGTTAAACCTTAAATTTCAAATTCCTATGGGAAAAACAACAAAGGTACTAGGGACTATATAAAAAAAAAAGTCAAAACACCCGCAATTTCTATGGGAAAAACAAAACCGGTATTAGGGAATATAAAACTCCCGCCCCCGTTAAACTTTACATGCAATTGGGAAGATCAACAAAGATATTAGGGAATATTAAACTCCCACCCCCGTCAAATTTTACATGCAATTGGGAAGATCAACAAAGATATTAGGGAATATTAAACTCCCACCCCCGTTAAACTTTACATTCAATTGGGAAGATCAACAAAGATATTAGGGAATATTAAACTCCCACCCCCGTTAAACTTTACATGCAATTGGGAAGATCAACAAAGATATTAGGAAATATTAAACTCCCACCCCCGTTAAACTTTACATGCAACTGGGAAGATCAACGAAGATATTAGGGAATATTAAACTCCCACCCCCGTCAAATTTTACATTCAATTGGGAAGATCAACAAGGATATTAGGGAATATTAAACTCCCACCCCCGTTAAACTTTACATGCAATTGGGAAGATCAACAAAGATATTAGGAAATATTAAACTCCCACCCCCGTTAAACTTTACATGCAATTGGGAAGATCAACAAAGATATTAGGGAATATTAAACTCCCACCCCCGTTAAACTTTACATGCAACTGGGAAGATCAACGAAGATATTAGGGAATATTAAACTCCCACCCCCGTGATGATGATGATGATGATGATGATGATGATGATGATGATGATGATGATGCTGTTGATGATCATGATGATGATGATGATGATGAAGATGATGATGATGATGATGCATCGCCCGTCGTCATTGCGGGTCCGGGCAAAACCCAGGCATTTGCCGATAATATATATATATATATATATTTGTTGGGGGGTATCAAGAATTTGCTCCACAACATGACGCACTAATTCCAACCATCACAGAGAAGTTCACAGAAACAGCAGCGCCTCAGCGCGCCTCAGCGCGCCCCAGCGACTGAGGATCCAGGTTTTTTGCCAAGTCTACAATCACCCATGTGTATGATCGTGCCTGGTCCAAACGATCCGCTGTGTCCAAACGGTGGATCCAAGATGAGCCGCGATATGATGAGACACATGTGGCTGTGTTAAACAATGGTGGCATTGAAAAGATGCTTAAAGGAAATATGTTGCGCGCATGTTCCTAATCCGATTCGGTATGTTGAAGCTCAAGTTAGAGGCCGTAGGTTGTTCCGAGATACGCTTTTCTTTCCAGCCTAAAAGCATGATTGGTATGTCTATATCGTACATTGAAGATCATTGAAGCAGATATATCCAACTATATCACTATGGCATGTATAATATTGAAGATGATTGAAGCAGTTGTATGTCTATATTGAGTCTATATGGTACATTCACATGCAGTCTGCCAGGATTGCAGTCAGCTAGAAACCGTCGAGCGTGTTGGCTACAGACGCAAGTCCAATGACACTGGAAGTGGTTTTGAATGCGACACTGGCTATTCTGGCATCGTGAAGGAGGATTGTTTCCTCGAGTTTGATGGCAGTGCCTGTATCTTGGCAGTGGTGGATTTTGTATGATTTTCTAGTCTTTGAAGACCCGAAAAAAACAAAAAAAAAAAGTTGTATGAACCTGGTCCCGCTTCAACTATTAGCTGGTTGGTGGTTTCATGTGGTTTCAAACATTGTTTACTTTCCATTTCATATATGGGATGTCATCCTTCCCATTGACGAACTCATATTTTTCAAGATGGTTAAAACCACCAACCAGTTAGATTGTTATGATCGTTGGAGTTTCTCACGATGGTTGGTTTATTCTTGACATTCTTGAAACCAGATCAAACATCCCTGGCCACGGATTCAGTGGCCGGTCTCCAGCTGTGATGAATCAGAAAGGACACCTAAAATGTGAACATGCTGGTACAGAAAAAATCGGTTGCAGATAAGCTTGTAATGATTGAAACATATGTTAATCTGTCCGCCCCATCCCAAATCAGTGATATTCTCAATTTGGATATCAATTCTTGCAGAAAGTACTGCAAGTCTTGTCCTCACGTCCTCAGCCTTTTTGCAGTGCAACGCACCACGGTATGAATTTCGCAAAAAATGAACTGTAGTATTGAGAGTGCCAGGGTTTCATGGGTTTGGGATCTTCAACTTTAAGGACCGTACGTGAATTGAGAAAAGATACCCGGAAATAGGGGAAAATAAATCAGATCAGTTCAACAACAGTTTAAGCTCATGTTATACAATGATGTTATATCAGCATCCTCCAAATCAGGAAAACAACGCATGTAGAGGTCCTGACTCTCACTTTGCGTTCCCCTTCTAATTTGCATGTTCTGACGATTTGATTTGTGTGCAAACAGAGTACCGTTGTCCCCGCCACTGGCAGATTTTGTCGAAAATGATGATTTTAATCAGTGCGTTGAAATGGTTGGCCCGTTTTCATGCAAACCCAAGATATCCCAAGATCATGCTGGTGGTTTTATCATGTTTTATCTTTTTCACTAGATCACACTAGATCCCAACTATATCCCAACTATATCCATGGGTGAAATCCGAAAACTCAGGTGGTACACCTGCTCTGCTGTTGACTGGCTGTCGGCCACTGGTGGATTGCATGGCGCCCATGGTGGATTTGTGCCAGTTTGATGTGCTGCTTGGCTGGTTTGGTTCGAGGACTTCGGGCCGAAGCCGTACATCCCAGGGCCAGATGAGTGTCCATGGATTTACGGGAGGTTTTGATCACTTTTTTCCATGGAATCCTGGTTGGTGGTTTGGAACATGGCTTTTATGACTTTCCATATATTGGGAATAATCATCCCAACCGACGAACTCATATTTTTCAGAGGGGTTGAATCCACAAAGAAGTTTTCCATGGAATCTCTTTCAAGATTTTAGAGCTAGAGTTGTTTTTCGCAGTTTCTACCCAAAGTTACATCACAAAAAGACAGGTTGGACTCTTGGTCGATTTCAAGGTTGGCCTGGAGGTATACATGGCACCTGTTAGCCGGGTATTCAGTGACTGTTTTTTTTTGGGCAGAATCAAGATGGAAACTCTCTCCAAGCAAGTTGCAGATAAAATGTTTGGAACATGACATCATTTCTGGTTGGTGGTGTGGAACATGGCTTTTATGACTTTCCATATATTGGGAAGAATTATCCCATTTGACTTTCATATTTTTCAGAGGGGTAGGTCAACCACCAAGTAGATTTGCATGAAAGTCCTTCCCCGGATGAACGCACAAAGACTCCAAATGATGCAATCGGATTGAGGAGACCGGGAGACCTCTGACCTGGCACTGCGCAATATCTTTTGGGTCACACTCTCTTGCTATACCTGCCTCTTTTTCAACACAAATCTAGCCCGGAAGAGACTTTGAGGTGAAATTTCCCAACCAATTTGCTGTGTTCTTGACGCAAAAACTGGAGCACTCCTGGCAATTTTTTTTGCCAACCACCTCCCAGAGAAAGCTTTACCTAAGAAATCCTCTCGTATTAGTTGCATCAAGGAGGTCTTACATGATGAATCATCACAGTGCCACAGTTTTGCATGATTTCCTTTCCCATTCTTGTTTTCAAGGGAACTCTCTGCTCTCCAAAGATTGAACCACTGAGATCAAAGTCGGTCAGTAGGTCCAGGAGGCAAATCCATATGCTAAAGCCCCGTGCATAAGAAAAGATAGAAGTGGAACAACGCGCACAGGGTGGTCGGGACATGTCGGGGCCAGTTTTGTTGGCAACTGGCAACATCTGGCAACCAGAAATTTGAAACTCTGCAAATAAATAGAGAGATCTGAGATTGTTGATGATTGGCCAGTATGTCTACTAATCACGACCTGCAAATCCCGACCTGCTGATCTTTTTGGCGGCCGATGGAGCGTCAATTCGATAGAGCCAAGGTCCTTGTGCCAACAGGTGAATCGTGGAAGTTCGTGCAGTATCAGCTGCAGATTGCCATACACTGGCGTGCTCCCTGGCATGTTGAAGATTCATGAAGATTCCAAGATGAGCCATTCAGAAAACCATGTTGGTTATTAGATATTCTAAATGTAGGTAAATCCATTATTACTGGGGTTACTACCTGATTTACTAGGGACTATACTAGTACTGATCATTATGAATCATCATAGTCGATAATTGGGATAGCGACTAACCAACCAGTATAACATGATGATGTAAGGCTGAGTTTCTTGCCTCATTTCTTGTTGCCATCATCAGTTTCTGTGTTAAGACTGCAATGTCTGCCTTGCCTTTACTTCCAAGGACGAAAACTGCAACTTGCCCAATGAACAACACAGATGCGTTGCAAGGGCTTCAAGTGGATTTGCCGACGCTTTGGCTGTTGAGATCCTTGAGATCCAGGATGTGTTTTGCCCATAACTACTCCAAGTCCATCCTTTTGTCCCTCAGTGACTTTGTGATCTTTTGCGCCTACATTTAAATCATTTGCCTGCGTGTGATTGTGACAGTTGGTATGTAGGATATATTGTAATGATCGAAGGAAGTTTAGAAGTGAAACTTCCGACAATATGGACAGTTGAAAAGCAGAGGTGAGAAGAGTCAGAAGAGAAAAGATCAGAAGAAAGAAGATGCAGATGCGCGAAAAGGTAGGAAAGTCGCGAAACACTGTGTTTTTCCAATGATTTGGGGCTTCGGAGGGTCGAAAAGTAGGCTCGCTAAAGCGGCGGGTGCGGAGCCAGCTGGCCAGATGAGAGATGAAAAATTGCACGCCGTTGTGGCGCGAAGCACATTTCGAAGTCAAAATGTACAAAACACAGCGTCGGACCACTTTTGGAAGTTGAGATGTCGAAAAAGTGCACGCCGTTGTGGCGCGAAGCACATTTCGAAGCCAAAATGTACAAAACACACCATTCTCGGACCACTTTTGGAAGTTGAGATGTCGAAAAAGTGCACGCCGTTGTGGCGCGAAGCACATTTCCAAGTCAAAATGTACAAAACACCTCAGCTCGGACCACTTTTTGGAAGTTCAGATGTCGAAAAAGTGCACGCCGTTGTGGCGCGAAGCACATTTCCAAGTCAAAAGTGTTAAAAACTGACGGTCTCGGACCACTTTTGGAGGTTCAGATGTCGAAAAATGTCGAAAAAGTGCACGCCGTTGTGGCGCGAAGCACATTTCGAAGTCAAAAGTGTAAAAAACTGAGGGTTTTGAGCCTTTTTTGACGTGAAGATGTCGAAAAAGTAGACACTGATTAACTTAACTAACTTGACTAACTTAACTAACTTCACTAACTTAACTACCCTAACTTCGACGACAACAGCAACAGCAACAACAACAACAACAACACCAACCACAACAACTACAACTACAACAACTACAACTACAACAACAACTACTACTACACAACAACTACAACTACAACTAGAAGTACAACTACAACAACTACAACAACAACAACAGCAACAACAACAACAACAGCAACAACAACAACTACAACTACAACAACTACAACAACAACTACTACTACTACTACAACTACACTACACAACAACTACAACCACACAACAACTACAGCTACAACTACAACAACAACTACTACTACTACAACAACTACAACTACAACAACTACAACTACAACTACAAAACAACTACAGCTACAGCTATATGCCTGCAACTACACTACACTAATTACATTACACCACAACTACAACTCCACTACGCTACAACTACAACTACAGTTGCAGTACATCACACTACATCCAGCAGCTGTGGGTGAGGTGACCGCTGCAACCATTGCAACCACTCCAGCAAACACAACTCCAACCACCTTTCGGTCAATCAGTGGCTTCGCTCTGCCATCCCTGATTCACAACCACCAACCTCTCCTATAGGTTTCCTATTTTTGAAACTTCCGCCACCGCCTTGTGCGGTACTACTGGTACTTTGTTCACATACACTGGGTCACTACACTCTTCCCCAGTATGTGATCGAGAAAGAGAAAAAACAACAAAAAATAACAAGAACTCTGGGTAGTGGGTAGACAGAAAGTCACACCAAGTTTCCTTTTCTTGTGCTTCGCCTCCAGTGCTAGGCAGTTGTTTGTCGTTTGTATACCCCCGGTTGCACCACTTGAAGGGTGATCAAACTTGGCAATGGACAATCCCCATCAATCCACCATTTATAATTGTTTTTCCCATTAATTGTCCCATTAATACTCTATATTTACGGGGAAAATATGGGAAAATATGGGAAACCCTATATATAATATGTTCCCATTTATTTACGCACAGGAGTTTCTATGGTGATGTTCTCAGCGAAGTCTTGAAGCATCTCAGGAGTTGCAGCTTCCCTACCTGCCCTGATCCAGCACAGTTGCCGTTGGGCTATGTGTTGCATCCGTTGCTAAACTGAATGGCTGGCCTTGGCTTTCGGGTGGCGTGAGGTCATAGCCATGTATTGAAATTCAACGCGAGTAAATCTAGTAAATCTCATATTGTGATGGCAAATGATTTTGGAAAATGTTTGGATTTGAAAAAATATATCGCAACCCCCGAAAAGATGGCGAAAAGATGCCGAAACCTGAAAAAATCCAGATGCCGAAAGGTCCGCCATGTCCTGAGGAATGGTAGCTACGCTTGTGACCGTGACTACATAGGCACTACCGTGGGACCCCAGGGACACCATGACTTTCTGTGACAAGTCATTTGCGACCGCTTTGCGAAGGGAAACTTCACATTCCCATGACGGATCCTAACGGTGCTGCTATATATATGGTAACATGGATCCCATCAATATACCCCAGTCATGTTAGCATATATACCAGCACCATGGATCCTATGGGATTTGATACATTTGTTCAACAAAACTCTGCCAGCCTTGTTTGGTTTGTGAAAATATCTATAGGAATTAGCAGCCTCTTATGGATTTCGCCTCCTCGCACTGGATTGACATGCGGTCCGGAGATGGAAAAGGCAACAAGTTCATCCTGGCTGTCAAACGTTACCCAACCTCATAGTGGCACACTATGATTTACCCGGTAATCAAACTTGACGATCAATTAAATCCACCATTTTATAGGATGATTTTCCCATATTTATTCATGTTAATCGAAAATCCAGCTATTTTAAAGATGATTTTCCCATGAATTAATCAATTTTAGATGATTTTCCCATGATTTTCCCATGTTTTTCCCCTGATTAAAGCCTCCACTTCAACTCAATTCATAGAGGATTCCCAGGCACAGCGCTGCGCCGCTGCAGCGCCTTTTCGGATCGGGCACTGGGCAATGCGGCGCAAGGCGAGGGGTGTTGACACATGGTGAGGACAGTGGGGGTACCCTCTTGAAAATCAACATTTATAGTGAAATTTCCCATGAAAAATGGTGATTTTCCATAGCTATGTTAAATTACCAGAGGGTATCACACATGGTGTGTCTGAAAATAGTGTACCCCTAAACCCAATGGTTTTGCTGATCATTATCCCTATTAAATGGCTATTTGTTTGGGAATATACCCTATTTTCAGACAAACCCACACATGATGGGGACAGTTGGGGGTATCTGAGGATATCTGAGGTATCTGTGTGTTGAAAAGTATCTGAGACTTTGAGAAGACTGAGAAGGGGGACCTTGTGGCGAAACAATTTTTCGAAACTTTCGCCTCGCTATCATCGATCAGGTCCAGAGTGCTATACTGAAGCAGTTTTTTCTGGTTGCAAGGTGCGGTAGCCCATGGCTTCGGCCCCGGGACAGGGCTCATTGGATGACTGATGTTCAGCGACGGTTGACTTGGGCAGAGTTTAGTGGTGCCCGTCATGGAAAAATTGACGCTTGTTGAATTATGATTGCTAGGTTTGAACATGTCTAATGTTTGAACATGTTTGAACAAACATTGATCATTTCAATGATGTTTGGCATTTGGAGCTTGAACGAAGATGGGAGCATGAGACCTGCTGTTGAACCGACCCTCTGCTAACCACCCCTAATGCCATCCAAATCCCAAGCCCATACCTAGCTTTGGTCCACGTGACAGGAATTTTCAAGTGGATGCATCTCGATGGGTATTCACTATGAATGAGTGACATATTGACACTGCAGATGACATGATGACTGTGATGGTGAGAGGAAGAGCCTCGCGACACCCATCCAGGTGATTGCGGAAATTGTTCCATGTCAGCCACCAGTGGTAAACATTTGTTGGGAGCTCAGCACTGGAGTCGTACTGAGTCCTTCTTTGACCTGCCATAAATGGATCCTGGATATGCATTGTAATAGCATGTTTAGCTAGGTATCCAAGACTTGGCTTGTTTGTTTGGTTGGTTGGTTTGTTTGTTTTCTCCTTTAGGGTAAGACGGTATGAATTGTAGAACAAAAAAACATGGTGGATGTTGGAATTGTTGACAAACCATTGCTGAACATATGAACTTTGGACTTCAGAGAATCCCATTGTTTCGCGGTTTTTTCAAAGTACTGTGATGTCAACCCTGGATTAATAAACCCCGTTTACCGGCTGTTTAGTTGGGAGGGTACCGTATCAGAGAATGACTATTGGAGGAGTACCCCCCTAATTAATAAATCATGGTTTATTAATCCGGGGTTGACATTATTGAATTTAATGATACGAATAGCAACATTCAAACACTGAAATCTGATGTAGCCGCTCCAGGATTCCGCCAGATGCTTGTGAAGTTAAAAACCATGTTTCACAAGATCCAGTTGCTGCGCATTCTCATTCACATTTTTCCATGTTGAATCCCCAAAATTTCCAATCCCCAAAATTTCCATGTTGTTTTCCATGTTTCAAGATTCCCAATCCCCAAAATTTCATCCCCATTGAAACTCCCTCTCATTTCGATGATTTTCTCAGCTATAAACCTCTATGGCTAGTTGGCTGGATTTACCAGCCATGTTGACACTGGAGATCCCCAATGGTAGATTGTTGCTATTTCTTGCTAATATATATATATATATATTATAAATACATTATTTTATACATATTATATTATATTGTATTGTATTGTATTATATTTATTAATATTATAATATATTATATTATATTATAATATTATATTATTATATTTTATTATATTTTAGTGTGTTATGTTATATTATATTATAGTATATTATGTTATATTATATTATATTATGTTATATTATATTATATTATGTTATATTATATTATATTATATATTATATATATATCATGCAATCTAACAGATATATCCCATTATATCCCCAGTAAATCCCATTCAATCACCATGGCATGGATATAATGGGATATATCTATTACTATGGCAATTCGTATGCTAGAGTTTTCCTTACTGGAGGGTATCATCAGGATATCATGGATAATTCATGGATAATAATAGATAAGTCTTATCAGTCAACATGGAAGACCTGGGGGACCACGTGTTTTTTCCGTCTATTTTAGAACTAACCAACTATGGGGGGGTATACCCAATTTTGACATTTTGAACCATTTCCACATGAGGGTTTCCATAATTGGGGTACCCAATAGCTGGATGGTTCATAGGGATAAATCTTATTTTTCCATGGGCGATTTGAAGGTACCCCCATTTATGGAAACCTCCATATATCACCATGGACCATAGTACATAGTGGTAATATACCATGCCATGGTGATTGAATGGGATTTATACCTACTATTATATATGGGTTATAGTAATTGATGGGATATATCTATTACTATGGCATGTATACCCTCTGGTAAACTAACATAACTATGGAAAATCACCATTTTTAATGGGAAAATCCACTATAAATGGCAATTTTCAATAGCTATTTTGACATAACCAGAGGGTATCACCATGGACCATGCTTGGTTTCATGACTCTGGATGGTATGATTTCTGCCCTCAGGTCTTCATGACGCCTCCTCATGTGGAACTGTGGATCCGGGTGGTTCATGCCAAGTGGACTGCCTCCTGCCCTACAAAGGCACCGGTTATAAAACAACGAGCGACCCAAACAAAACCATGGGAAAAATGGTGGAAAAAAACATGGAACATGGGATATCAACCATGGAAAACCTGGATTTGCGGAAGCTGATTCAACTTATTTTCCGATGTTACCACCATTTAGATCCATTCAGTAATTTAGGGAATCGTTTTCACGAGATGCAAAGAATGTGAGAATTTTCAAATCCTTGGCGCCACCATGCGCAACTCCCATGGTTTTTGGTGCCTGGGATCGCGGCTTGGGACCAATTGGGATCTGGGACAACAGGCACAGCATCCATTGCCACATGCCCACTGGACAACATCAACACCACTGGAGGACGGCGACAGGAATAGGTGGTTTCATGGTGGTTTCACCACATTTTTGGCTGGGCTTCATGAAAAAGGCCATTATGCAACCTTGGTTAGTTCTTCAACCTTTAGCTATCAATGGTAAAACGTACTAACCAGCTATTTTTTGACAGGTATGAAAGATTCACCATGATATAATCATAATATCTATCTATATATATATAATCCATATCGATATATGAGAGTTTTTCTGAAGCTTTTGGCACCTATGTTTCTTCACAAGCCCCATTTTGAAAAGGGTTTCTCAGCAGTCGCAGAAGTTTTCAGGACTGGAATGGACACCACCTCAGTGTAGTCGGGGACCTGGACGGCAATCCTCCCCGGGGTGGGATGCAAAGTACTTCGGAAGTCTCAACAGACTCAGAATGACCTATGCTTGAAAAAGGCTCTTAAGCATAGAGGTCATCGTATTAAAAACTGTTAGAAGGAACCATGACGCCTCCGGAAGTTCCGAACCGTTGTGGTACATGGCCTCGGAATGCCTCGAACATGTTCAAAGCGGTGATGTTTCGTGGGGAGTGGTACCGGGGTTCCAAGAATCCCTGGAAATAAACCTCCATCGTCCTCCATCCTTGTTCCATTCTCGCCATGCCCCAGCTCAATGTTCGTTGCATATATCATATTAAATCATATTAAATCATATTAAATCATATTAAATCATATTGAATCATATTAAATCATATTAAATCATATTAAATCATATTAAATCATATTGAATCATATTGAATCATATTAAATCATATTAAATCATATTAAATCATATTAAATCATATTAAATCATCATATGTCCGAAATGTGTTGAAAAGTGACTGCTTGCAGCTGCCAATGGTTGCCAACCAACATGTTTCACACCATGAAGCACCATGAAACTCTCCGCAAAGAGAAATGGCAGTGTGTCAAAACGTTGTACCCCTGGTGAACATCAAAATAGCTGGTAAATGGATGTTCATCCCCCTAAAAATGGTATTAATAGGTATTGATCCATACCCAAATGATTGAGAAATTGAAGAATTCTGGGACTTCGACAAGGCCTTTGGTGTCCAGAACCAACTTTGGAAGAAGAACCCGCTTATGGCCGCAACCCAGAAGGTGTCCGAGGGTTTTTCACAAGCCGGGAATGGCACGAAAAGATGGGCAGGAAATGGATAGATTGGATAGCATGCAGTTAAAAAGCTTGAAGATGGGCTGGGGGTACGAGCAGTATGGTACATTTGAATACATGTGATATGTTCCCCCTTCGAGAAGGCTTCTCAAAGATGTGTCGCTGGGATCATGAAGTTTGTGGTGAAGGATGCTAGGGAAATAACGAAAAATGAAGCCTGTATGTGGCCAAATTCTTCCGACTTCACCCACATTCCATAAAGCGAAGATGTTGAAATTAGTTTCCACATTGTTTTTCAAGATTCTAAGGGTATCCCTCCTTGTAACAATTCTCAACTATGGATTGAAAATAGATGAACTAGATTTGAACATAGATGAAATGGATTAAGAACTATCAACATGGGTTAATCGTGATTACCCTCTGGTAAACGAAAATAACTATGGACAATCACCATGTTTCATGGGGAAATCTACTCTAAATGGTTTATTTTCCATAGTTATGTTAGTCATTACCAGAGGCTAATCCTTCCTTTTAAAAAAATTAACATCTAACAACTGTCAGCTGAATCCCCACTCAGTGGCCTGGCAGACGCGCACCAGTGGCAGGTGGTAGCAGCCAGGACAGCAGTGGCTGGATTTGTAATCCTGGCTATGCGGGCAGCGCCCAGGCTGCGGCTGGAGGAAATCGCTCAGTTGGTGCAAATAACTCCAATAACTATGGTTTATGGCAGATACATCTCTACTTACTATGGTTTATAAACCAACTTATAACTCGGGGGGCACCACCTTGTATGAATGTGGGTAAAACAATGTCATGTTTACCACCCATGACTTGGCAACTTGGCAATGGTTTCTACATAGCACCTATATATTGATGGTATTTTATGGTGATGATTGGGGGATGGTAAACATATGACAGCCAGTTTTACCAAGATTGGTGAATCAGAGTATATCAGAGCAATTCCGCGATGGTGATGATTGGGGGATGGTTTCTACATGACAGCCAGTTTTACCAAGATTGGTGAATCAGAGTAATTCCGCCGGAATGATCCATTATGATCGAATACACTTACTTGACACATGTTAACAAATGTTAACAACATATAATGCAAGTTGAGATATCTATGATCTAGATGTTTGAGGGGATCTCCAGGAGACTATTTTGGATTTGCCCCTTTTACCTTTGCAGCATGTGGGTTGAATGCTTACTCTCTGCAGACGGGCACGAGTAAGAATGCGCGGGATAAAACGTACAGCAATGGTACTTACGACAAATACCACTGGTGCAGACTGACAACATGATTGCGTTCAGAGAAAGATTCAGTTATTGATATGTGCCATGTCCCATAGGTTCCATGTATGCTATATATTGGTATCATTTACCATCAAAATACCCCAAATGTTAGCATATATACCATAAATGGATCCTATGGGTGTTGTGCCATGGTCAAACATGTCAAAACATGGTTTATTTTCCTGGTGGAATGGAGGACCGTGAACTTATGGCAACATATGGCAACCAACTGAGCCTCGAAGGTATTCAAATTTTACAGTGTTTTTTTTTGACAACACGTGTCTCCGTTCCAGGTTCTTGTATCATCGTGTATCATCTTGTATCACTGAAACTCCAGCTTACAAAAATGAACCAAGTCAGCTGATTCGTGAGGACCTAGTACAGTATATCAAGATCCTACACCAACGGTATCAAGACTGCCTTCCGCCGGAGCAGGTCTTTTGTCAGTTGCTTTCGCCTGTAGCAGTGTGGAAACCTAGACTTGCCTTGGCAGATGGTGGCATGCGCCACATTTGATGAGGGATGAAGGGTTTGGAATCACTGGATGCTTGGATTTTTACTTGATAGTAAATGTAATAGAATTTTCCAATGGCATCAGCAAAGGGTGGACGCAAAACCAAAGAGGATACCGGCGTTTGAAAGTTGTTGTCTCCAAAATGTGTTCCTGCTACGTTTCCACTGTATCACCTGCATTCATACTGACAATATAGTGATAGTGTGGCTGAAACAGTCGAAGCTACAGAGCAAATTTAGGTTAGCATGCAGCAACCCCAGCTATCATAACATCTGAAGAATTCTGAACATTTGATCGATATATGATATATGTTCATGTTTTTTCATGATAGCCTGGCTTATTTGTTACATTGTTTTACATTCTTTTACAGCAACCCATAGGATCCATGGTGCTGGTATATATGCTAACATTGGGGGTATTTTGATGGGATCCATGTTACCATATATAGCAGCACCGTTAGGATCATATGGGTAAGTTCCAGTCACACTTTCTGAAAAACAATACGATTCCCCTGGGATTCCCCAGCTGAAACAGGGAGCGCGTTGTGGAATTGCAAGGCAGGGAGACGACAGACACGTGAAAAAAATGGAACCGCTGGAACTGTTCCTTTTTCATAATCACACCGCTGTATAACAAGATATTAGTTATTCACATTATTTTGCTATGATCAATGTTATATCAATTTTATATCAATGCTATTCATGGTTGTAAAGTAAGAAGCTTATTGCACAGTTCTAAATTCATTAAGAGTCTCTCTGTCCGTTTTTTTGCAAACCATGAATCCAAGTTGCTAAGCCAGTGTTTCGGAGCTGCCTTGGGCATGTTCTGTGCTTCCCCATTTTGTAGCGAGACAGACGGCAGCTACAAGTTTGGCAACTTTGCTTGCGAAAGTAGATCGTCTATCAGGTTTGAACTTTCCGCTTGCAAAGGTCGAACAGTTCAATAATATCTGTGTGTTAGGAAGAAAAAGCTTCTGCCACCAAAAAGGATTGAATTGCGAAAATGATGATAAACCTTTGAGTTGTTCCGTAAAGAGCCACCCCTTTCAGGTGCATGATGACAGCGCAGCCCTACCCTAACCCCTCAAGAGAAAAAGGATCCCATTACGAGCGTGTTTCTCAACAATAAACCTTTGCTAAAATGGGGTACCCCATTTTCAGACGCACCTATCTCCAGGTTCCAGGTTACACTCGACCTTTGCCCCTTCCGCAAGGCTGCAAATGTCTGGCTGCAGCCGCTTGGAATCCTGTGTGCCACTGCTGGCTGCCACCCTGGACTTTGAGGACTGGCAGAACTCGGTTCAGTTTCAAAAATGGGGGACAAAAATCCACACGATGATTATCATTTCCTGAAATGATATGATACTGTAAGAGCCATAGAGGGGGCGATCGCACATCTTCGAACCCATTCTGTTGAGGTATTGAAATGAGTTCGTGATTGGTGGATCTGTGGATAATATATCACGATGTATGATGACATATGATGATATGATGATCTATGATGATATTCTGCGTAAACTGCAATTTTAAAAGCACCTGGAAATATGATTTCATCGGCCAGGGCCAGGGCCAGTGCATGGGTGTTTGGGTTTTCGAAAAGACATGAAAACCCGACTGTCAAGTAAAAGCTAGATTCGTTGACTGCGTTTTTTCAAGAAGTCTATCCCGTTTTTAGTAAAAACTTTTGTCGGAACACCCTGAGGTTAAAGTTCTTGAACCTCTGGGGAATGGCAAGAATCCTCCCACACAGGCCTACAAAAGGCAACAACAGCAGGCCTTCAGACTCAGAACTACAAAAGGATGCCTTCTTGCCTTCTTAGGATGGTATGTTCCTATTGATGTTTGCTTCAGAACACCAAGATGTGCCACGTGAACAGCGGCCCCGGCAGGTTCGTTTGCCAGCACTTCCGCCCTCACATGAATTTGTGCTTCATGACCGCAAGGGCATTGGAAGATCGACAAAACCCTGGTTTCAACAGCCAAGGGGTTTATCAATCCGGGGTTGACAATTAAGATTTGGCTTGGAACATGATGAGCACAAAATGGGACAAATGATGATGTTGATGTTGATGTTATGGCGTCATTTCCGTTACAGTAGGTGAAATCATGGTGTTTAGGTATTTCATATCTTGCATATCTTCACCTCATTCCCTCATTCCTGACTAAAGCAAGGCTAGTAAAGGCATGTTAAGATTGTCGTAAAATCTGGCATCAGGATGAATTCATGAATCTGATTTTCGCTTCTCATTACTAATAGTGACTAATTAATCCCTTTCCCCTAATGCTATGACATATTCAAATACTTCCCTAAACAAAACTTTCTTCAATGATGTTAAACGGATCTTTAATGGATTAGAATGTCTAAATCCATTCATTTCAATGAAGAATCGCTTCCAAAAATGGCCGTTTTTCCATCGTTTTTCGACGAAATCGCCACGAGGTTACGCCGGGGCGAAGGTTTTGAGCTCGATGTGTCTCCGGGCTGTGAAAACCTGGGGCCTGGGCAGACGTGTCTCATCGGTTGCCGCTGGCCATTTCTGGGCCGAGTTGTTGCCGCCCAATGTCCGGTGGGCAATACGGATCGATTTCAGGTGGGAATGGTGGTTTAATGGGATTTTATGGTGGTTTAATGGGATTTAATGGTGGTTTAATGGGATTTTAGGGTGGTTTAATGGGATTTTATGGTGGTTTAATGAGATTTTAGGGTGGTTTAATGGGATTTTAGGGTGGTTTAATGGGATTTTAGGGTGGTTTAATGGGATTTTATGGTGGTTTAATGAAATTTTAGGGTGGTTTAATGGGATTTTATGGTGGTTTAATGAAATTTTATGGTGGTTTAATGGGATTTTATGGTGGTTTAATGGGATTCTATGGTGGTTTAATGAAACTTTAGGGTGGTTTAATGGGATTTTAGGGTGGTTTAATGGGATTTTATGGTGGTTTAATGGGATTTTATGGTGGTTTAATGGGATTTTATGGTGGTTTAATGGGATTTTATGGGATCTAATGGGATTTAATGGGATTTACCCTCTGGTAAACATACATAAAACGATGGAAAGATTCACCATGCTATTAATGGGAAAACTCACTATTTGAATGGCCATTTTCAATTGCAAACTGTTAAATTACCAGAGGGTCAAAAGTCGGAATGGATTTTGGGAGGTTTTTCCAGATTTTTTCAACATGTGATTTTGGACCATTTTGGAACATTGACAGTTTGAATATGTTGATTCCAGGCTTAGAAAGATGGTTCTCGCAGACTCTTTTCAGCCCTTGCGGATTATTTCGCATGTAAGAATTTTCTTTTCATCCTTGGCCAGGATGGCTTGACATTGAGATGATATGATTGAGCCTTTGGACAATGCGTTAGGTTCTGAATCAGAAAAGTAGGAGTGAGCAGACGTCCAATTTCCAGTTTGAAGACTCGAAAACTGATGCAGCTAATAATATCGGAAAGCGATCTTAGGCAATATTGCCATGGTCCCAGATATTCCTCATTAAAACATATTAAAACCCACTCTCAAGCAAAAATTACATTAATATTTCTGGGAATTCATGGTTTGATTTGAGGCTTGGTTAGTTCACCAATCGCTAGCATATCTGTGAGATTGGGTGAGCCTCGGCAGGTGCCTCTGCTGAACGCGGCTCCCTTCTGCGAGTTACGCTGTCCTGATCCAGAGGGTCTCGCACCAAGGGGCTACCGCCTGGTGGATCCCAAGCTACCTGGACAGTGGCAGTGCACCCCTGACTACACGGGAAACTTGGCAGTGGCGTTTTGTGACTGTTGGTAGATTGGATGTGTTGGTAGACTCAGAATACTCAGATGGGGTTGGGTCAATACCTATTAATACCATTTTTAGTGGGATGAACATCCATTTACCAGCTATTTTGATGTTCACCAGGGGTACAAGGTTTTGACACATTGCCAGATCATTTGAAAGATTCGGAACTCTGCACACTTTTTCTCGGAACCCTTAGTGGAAGATGATCATGAATCATTAACTCTATGGTCTTTTGCATTCATGTGGCCTCATAAGTCTAGCCCGAAGTTTCTTCATTCCATTCCCAGTCTGGTTAACTTCTGGTAGAAGTCGCCAGTGACAGAGTAATGTATCTGCAGGATTCTACAATATTCTGCATGTCAAAAGTACATGATTAGCATTCCCAATATCATTCCTGCAGATCTTACATAGTCTTACATATTTGCTTTCACTTCAGACATTGATTTGCCCTACATTCCAGTGTAGCATACCTGGAAAATCCATGAAAATCCTCTTTTTTTCGTGGCAAACTGGTCAAAGATTGGTAGTTTTTCATAGTTTTTCGCATCAGCTCTCAGGTGAGCCATTGAAGTACTGCAATGCCTCAGCGGGATGCAACGAAACAAATTATGTGCAGCTGCTTGGAATGGAAATTTCAGGGGTGGTAAATCATAGAGGATCCACATGAGGCGGTTTTCTGTGATGTCACGAAAGCTAGCGTCAGCTAGCTGGAGTCTTCTTGCTTTAGCAAGTATTGGGGGGGCTGCTCAAGGACATCACGTGATTTTTCACGCGAAAGGGCCCCCCCCCCTCCCCCACCACCACCACCATCACCACCATCACCACCACCATCATCATCATCATCATCATCATCGTCATCATCATCGTCATCATCATCGTCATCGTCATCGTCCTCTCCATCGTCCTCGTCCTCGTCCTCGTCATCATCATCATCATCATCTCGTCATCATCATCATCATCATCATCATCATCATCATCATCATCATCGTTATTCAATTACATTTTATCATTATTGGCAATTATTGTCATTCTCACGAAAGCTAGCGTCAGCTCGCTAGAGTCTTCTTGCTTTAGCACGTATTCCGGGGCTCCCCAAGGACATCACGTGATTTTTCCCGCGAAAGGGCCCCCCCCTGCCCCCTCCCCCCATATATATCATTGTTATATATCATATATCAATATATCATTGTTGCATCCTCGTTGGGACGAACAATGCCGCGACACGATGATGACAGTCCCTCCGCAACTCACCTCTTCCCTTCCTTCTTTCTCCTACCCCGCTAGCTTTCGTCATCCACCCCCGGCCTCAAGTTTTCTACATTGTTTGTACTATCCTCTGGTAATTTAACAGTGTGCTATGGAAAATGGCCATAGAAATAGTTGATTTACCCATTAATAGCATGGTGGTTTTCCACAGTTATGTTAGTTTACCAGAGGGTATGTGAACTCAAACCAACATCATTTGATACAGCAACATACCGCTGCAAACAGCTACTGCGGGTAGCGTTTCTGTTGCAGGATAAAAAACTGTACCCTCTGGTAAAATTTCATCAAAACTGTACCCTCTGGTAAACTAACACAACTATGGAAAATCACCCTTTTTTAATAGGAAAATCCACTATAAATGGCCATTTTCAATAGCAAACTGTTAAATTACCAGAGGGTAATCCCCTAATTTTTGTGACTGATAGGAACGGTTATAAGTTATGAAAAAATGTGCTGATTTTTCCTCGAATCTCGGCTCGCTGTCGTTCGTAGGCTGGATGCGGAGGGCAACTGCGCCAACATGGTGGAGCTGGAGATCAGTTTCAGTGGATGTGCCAAACGCCAGCCTTGTACTGGACCTGATGTGAAGCTCGGCTGTAGGTTTTGCCATGGGATTTTGCCATGTTGATTTCATAGGATGATATTCCTGTGGAATTTGAAATTGGGATATACAGTATACTCATGTATGAAATATAACTTATTAACCAACTATAAACTATAGTTCAAGCATTGGTATATTTTTCCATAAAGAGGACAATTTTCTCTTATCCCCAATGTTTTTATAGGGGTTCATCGGTTCTTCAAAGACCCGTTTCGTGGTGAATCGGAATCCCAGTCATGCCGGGTTTCACCATAGCTGTGATCCCTGGGTTGTTTCTCATATTCCATGTTTAAATGGATTGGTTGATGGGAAAATCTACAGGAAACCATGGTTTTTAGTTTTTTACACGTTTTTTTACCATTAAAAATTAAGGGCTTTCCTGTAGATGTTCCCTTCAACCAATCCAATGAATGTTGATGTCCCATGAGAAAGCCATTCCTACTGAGATCCTCGTGTCAGCTGGAGAGCTTTGACTGCACAGACGTGTTGCAGCCTGGCGAGTCCTGCGAAGTGCATTGTCGTTTTCCTTTCATTGGGTCGCCGACTGTGGCACCTGGGCGTGGATGGGTTAGGCTGGAATACCCTCTGGTAATGACTAACAGTTTGCTATTGAAAATGACAATTTATAGTGGATTTTCCCATTGAAAATGGTGATTTTCCATAGTTATGGGACAGTTTACCAGAGGGTATGTTGAAGTTCAACTGGGGCTTCCGTAAATGGGGTACCTTTCAAACTGGATGGTGCATAGATGGCATAGTGTTTATGATGGAAAATCCTATTGAAATGGATGATTTGGCCCTACAAATAAACCCCCATTGCAGGAAACCTCCGGCACAATGTGACCCAATGCAGAGCATGAAGCGTTGATTTTGATTGATTTAGCCGATTTAGCTGACTGCGCATCTAGATGATGTCAGATGGAAAATCCCAGGGCTACAAATCTTGTTTTAAAGTGGATGTTCCCCAAATTGCCCTTTTTCGCTGCACATGGAAATTATCAACCAGTGGCATAAAGTTCGTAGCCTTCTCTGTAAAAAACTTGTAACATATACTCATACTCACATGATCCAATATAGTTTCTGTATCATCAAACGTGATACAGGATCGCTTCTAGACTTGCTCTTTGCACATAAAACAATTGCACGTCATTGTTTGCCGCAAGCATGACTCGTATGACATGATATCAGAAGTTTCCTGAAATGCGGATAGCCCCCCAAAAAAGCATCCATAGGTGATTTTCTGATTGTTTAAAAGATTCTTACTGGTGCGTTTTACGCAGGGAATTTTTGGGAATGATCCATTTCATCATTAGTAATTTCATCATCCCAGCAACCCCCAGCAACCCATCCATTCCCTACGTAAAACGCACCAGTAAGTATATTGGGGATGTCATAATCCCAACTGATGAACACATATTTTTCAGATGGGTAGGTATATCACCAACCAACTTATCCTGTCTCCTTACCAGTAAGAATATTTTCCATGAAAAACATGTCCCAAGCAGCTCGTGGAGATGGATGTCCAATCCGAGGCCAGTTGTCCCCGAGACAACATCCTCATGGATGGAAGGGGTCGCTTCGAGCTGCGGATCTGTGTGGGGGAAGGCATAGCCCGGTATAGCCATAATGAATGGCTATAGCAAGTAAAATATGGGAGAAATACGGGAAAATGTGGACAACATAATGATCAACTCTATTTAAATCTAATTAATAATCTAGGGGTAATTATAAGTAGTCTTTTTCAGACCCATCTGATATAATTAACAAGTATGGTATGATTATATTAATATAACGGTTCTTTTTTCAACCGGAAGTATCCCCAGATAATCCAAGTCATTAGTCATGTTTAATATGGAAACTAATGGTTTTGGGGTATCCCAATGTCGAGAAACATCCAGCTATGGTCAGATTGGATGGCAGTCATTTATACAGGTGTTTCGCAGCAGTACTGTACATAAGATACCTGTCCAATTGCGAGCTGTGCACACATATAAGAGTGATAAGGATTGAAAGACTGAGTCTGTGTGTTGCTTCCACTGGCTTTGATTGCTGAAAACACACGCCAGTGAATCAACACCGCCCTTTCTATGTCTCTATGTTGACAAGAAGTAGACAGACTGGGAGAGCTGCAGTATGTTGATTTGCTTGCCGTTAAACCAGCATGGTTCAGTCGCTGCATTTGATTTGCAACTTCACGCGAGAAGCAATGGATGCGCTTTACAGTATTTTGGAGCGATGATTATATGTGCTGGTAGAGCACCAACGATGAAGCAACAAAGCCACACTATGTGGCACACAAGATTCGTTGGTGCTCCGTTGCTACCTTGCTAGCTCTACTCATTGCAGCTGCTCCAAAAGGTCACATTCCATGCTTTCAAGGTATGTCCATTGCAGTAGCTGCGCCCTTCGGCCATTCGGCGCCTACCAGCTATTAAAACATCGACCAAAACGGGCGTAGCGCCACTAAATGGTGGTGTTTTGAGGTAAGGATCTCGCTTAGAGAGGCTTAGCTCACTGCCCTCACGTTCTCACATGTGCGAGTCCACTTGGTTTCAAATGTGGCTGACAGACGAGTACAGACGAGAACAAGTCAAATAAACCATGCAGGTGTTGTGCATTCACTGTAGTTGAGTGGTATATCATGGTGCATAATGACTGTAGATATCTGTAGATATAATACACACAATTATATTATATATATATAATTAATTATATATATATACGTACGTATATCCATATAGATATATCCTCTACCAAATAAACCCAAAAGGTCAGTGCCAAAGCAAATAAACCATGCCATAAAGATACCGTCCTTTCCTTGTAGTTTAGTGGGAAGTCAAGGTAACATCAAACAACTAGATGCGTCGTACCTAAGGAGCTTGGACCTTGATGATGTACCATTTTTTATTGGTAAATCCAATTTAAGAAGCTGATTGATCAAACAAGAAAAAGACTACCAGACATGTTGAACACCTCGATGCACTGTGAGATATTGAGAGTTATTGACATATTTCTGTATTTCCATCCCTAGATGATCAAACCATATCAAATCAATGAACATAATTAACATGAACATTCTGAGGACAAGTTCAAAGCATCAGATCACAATTTTCATATGTGTTTGCCATGAAAAACCATAAACCTATACCAAACTTGGAAAACGTAAAAAACATGGTAAAAACCATGGTAAAACATGTAAAAAACAGAGAACAATCATGGTAAAGACCATGGTAAAAACTATGGTAAAAGCCCATAGAAATGGTGATCCTCTTGTGGGATGACGGACCTGTCCCTCCAGGTTTGGTGTGGGAAGCACCCAGTTGTGTTCTGCCAGACTGTTATGACCCTGTGCCACCAGGTCGTGACGGACTGTCGCGTGGTTGGTGGTTGCTGTGATGCGGAGGATACCAATAGTTGTTTGTACCGCATAGCATTCCGGAACAACTGACAACTCGGAAATTGGTTTGTGAGTGTTTTTCCTAGTTTGTGTGAGTCTACCAGCTGGCCCTCCCTCAAAGATTGCGAAACGTAGCGGGTTGTGTGTGCTTTGCCCAACGCGTCAAACTTTTTTTGAAACAGTTTTCCTTTTGATTTCCATCCTCGCGAGAGGTGAAGAATAGTGACATTCATCAAATTTATCTACTTGGAACTAACCTAACTATGGAAAATTGCAATTTCTAATGGAAAAATCCAGTATCAATGGTACTTTTCAATAGCAACTCTGACATAACCAGAGGGTATCTACTTGGAACTAACCTAAGCTCATCATTTTTTGCTCACCACTGTGGGATTCACCGAGCCACTGCGACTGCGTGCAGGTTATCAATTCAATGCCGATGGTTGGTCCTGCTCTGAAGGTGGGAGGGATAGATAGCCATGGCAGGTGATTTTTAGCATGGCAATAAGGTTCCCTGCACCGAAAAAAACATAGAAAGAAGAATTCCGGAAATGTTAAGTATATCAAATTCCCAGCGTACTTTTTTCTTAGTGATTTTTAGTGTTTTTTTAAATTGAAACCTGCCGCATAGGTCCAATTTTGGTCGCCGTTCAGGTTTCTTTGGCTCTGCTGAACGCTCCTGCGGTAACTTGCTGATGGGATGAGGAAAGATGAAGAAAAAAGTGCAGGATATCCAGTGCTTACCATGACACTATAACATTTATTCAGGGTCTCAAAATGTCTGAAAATTCATGTGAATTCAGGTGAATTCTACATATATCATTCTGTATCCAGTTGGCTCCTATTCTATATCCAACTAGCTCCTGGCACCCTGTGAAAGAAGACGTTACTTTCGGAAAGCACAGAGAGTCCCATTTCTGCGAAACTTTCAGGAGATGAATAGTTGTTGCGTTCTGCCATTTGAATACCGGAATACTATAGCTGTAGCTCTTGGGAAAGAACAAACTCAAGATCAATCAGAATCAATCAACAATATCAAAAGCATTCAATGGCATTCCAGGCCATTCAACATCCAGCAACATCCATCAACCATGGGGCACGCTAGAACCATGTCATGCACCTGGCCTCGAGGCACTGACAGAAACTGCGAAAAGGAGATCATGCTCACAGGCAGACGGATCGTGGAGGGATCGGTTTTCTATGACAACCTCGCGGGACTCGTAGAATCAAAGGACTTTGTGAGAATCATACATATATAACAATACCAGTAGTACCGCACAAGGCGGTGGCGGAAGTTTCAAAAATAGGAAACCTATAGGAGAAGAGTGTTGCTGTGGCGCAAAAATGGCAGAGCGAAGCCACTGATTGACCGAAAGGTGGTTGTGTGTTTTCTTCTGACGGCACGATGGCGCACGCCAGCACAGCGGCAGCCGACGATTCCTAGTGTTGATACGCAATGAATTACGGATGCTGATACGCCATCGTGCGGTCAGAAAAGACACACACGCTGGCCCGCAACGAATTCGAACTGCTGCTGCGCCATCCTGCGGTCAGAAAAGACACACACGCTGGCCTGCAACGAATTCCGTGTTAACTTGTGCGCAATGACCAGCAAAAGGCCCAGGAATGCATTACCGTGTCAAACCTTACGGATGCTGCGGCACCGTACTGCGATCGGAAAACCTACAGTGACTCATCCAACCGTGACGAACAAGATCTAGTGACTCAAATAATCCGCCTTTATTGTTTCATGCCACTTTCCAATACCAGTGTGGAGCTCCTCCCTGCTGCATCTTTGTGTTTATCTATGGATCTAGCGGTCGATCAATGTATCTATATGCCTGTCTCTCTGTCAATTTTTCTATCCATCTATCTATCTCTCTGTCTATCTATCTGTTTATCTGTCTATCCATTGCTTCAATTCTCTCTATGTGAATCAGAGATGACAGAGCGAAGCCACTGCTGGACCGAAAGGCCCATGCTCTCTCTCACTCTTGTCTACCTGTCTATCTATCTATCGATCTATCTATCTATCTATCTGTCTAGCTGTCTACCTGTCTATCTTTGGTGTAGTAGTACATGTCGTGTAGTGTCGTTGTGTACTTTTACTTGTAGGTGCAGTTGAAGCGAAGCAACCTCTGCACCGCCAAACGTGGTCCGAAACCCGACTGTTTTTAACAGTTTAACTTCCAAATATGCTTCGCGCCACAACGGCGTGCGCTTTTTCGAAACTCCACATCTCAGCCTCCAAAAGTGGTCCGAACCCCTGGTGTTTTGCACAGTTTGACTTCGAAATGTGCTTCGCGCCACAACGGCGTGCACTTTTTCGAAACTCGACCTCTGAGCCTCCAAAAGTGCTCCGAACCCCTAGTGCTTTTAACATTTTGACTTCGAAATGTGCTTCGCGCCACAACGGCGTGCACTTTTTCGGCATCGCAACTTCCAAAAGTGGGCCGAGGTTGCGGTGTTTTGTACATTTTGACTTCAAAATGTGCTTCGCGCCACAACGGCGTGCACTTTTTCGACATCTGAACTTCCAAAAGTGGTCCGAACCTGGTGTGTTTTGTACATTTTGACTTCGAAATGTGCTTCGCGCCACAACGGCGTGCACTTTTTCGACATCGCAACAGCCAAAAGTGGTCCGATCCTCTAGTGTTTTGTCCATTTTGACTTGGAAATGTGCTTCGCGCCACAACGGCGTCCACTTTTTCATGTCTCATCTGGCCAGCTGGCTCCGCACCCGCCGCTTTAGCGAGCCTACTTTTCGACCCTCCGGAGCCACAAATCATTGGTAAAACACAGTGTTTCGCGACTTTCCTACCTTTTCGCGCATCTGTATCTTCTGTCCTCTTACTCTTTCTCTTCTGATCTTCTCTCTTCTAATCTTCCTCTTCTCTCTGCCTCTGCCCTCCTCTGCTTTTCATCTGTCCATATTGTCGGAAGTTTGACTTCTAAACTTCCTTCGATTATTCAATGATATTCATACATTATCATATTCTAAATTCGTATTTCTGAGTCTCTGACAGTCTCTGATTGTGAGAAGCTTTAGGCTGTCGAGTTTCCGTTCCTTCGGTTCCCTTCGGTTCTTTAGGCTGTCAGCAGCTGCAACCTTGTCGAATTCCAGTGGCCAGTGAACGCTGTCGATATGCCTCTTGGTCCCGGAAACCTGAGATGCTGATTTTTTTCAAAGATTCAGGCTGGAGACGATCGTTTCCTGGGTCATTTTGATATATATATATATACATAATATATATATACATATACATAATATATATATATACATATACATAATATATATATACATATACATAATATATATATATATACACATATACATAATATATATATACACATATATAAATAAATATATATATATAGAATATATAGATATATATATTTACAAATATATCACCCCAAAAAAACATGACAATTTCTAGTCATCATCAGTGGTTTTTAAGTGAACATGTTCTTTTTATGGTTGTGTTTGGCTGGTGATGGTTCCAGATTGGTGAAGATTGGTGGTTCCAGTTGCTGGGAGCATGTGGGATCCCTGAGAGATCAGTAAGGATTACAGCTCCTGCAGATCCACCCTGGATGGAAACACATGTGGCTTGTCAACAGGAGCTGGATTGGCTTGTGAATCGCACTTGCTTGAACGGTTGACCATCGGGCTTGAACATTATATTGTATAGTGATTATATGATATAGTAATATTATATAGGGATTTAATATAGTGATTTAATATAGTGATATCGGAAATATTCGGAAATGAAAGAGAGGTAGCAAGGTAGCAACAGCTATTCCAGTTGCTGGTGCTGAGATGTGCTGAGTTGTCCCTTGCATCCTGTGTTTTTTTTTTGGCACAGGAGACAGGATAAGTATCATGGGTGCCAACAGGCAACTATTCTAGTTATTTCCAGTTCATGACCAATGAGGCACATTGTCATTTGTCGGTCTAGCATGCCTCGCCGTTGTCCTGTTTATATCTGGCCTGTCGACATCATCAGGCAGCTAGGAACAAAAACGTATTGATTCCGACAAAAAGAGCGTGATTTGAAAGGTTTGTGTTGGCCAACGTTGCAAGCTTGTCCTGTGCCTATTTGATCATTAAGTATCCAAGTATCTACTTACTGGTGCGTTTTACGTAGGGAATGGATGGGTTGCTGGGGGTTGCTGGGATGATTATTAATAGATATTGATAGTGATGAAATGGATCATTCCCAAAAAATTCCCTGCGTAAAACGCACCAGTAAGTCTATCTGGATAAGGCCTGATACTGGTGGAAGTTCAGGAGGCTCCATGCTGCTGTGAGTCTGAGGCGAAATCCGCTGCTTGTCGCCATTCTACACCTCGGCACAGGTTGGATGGTCACAACTGATGCAAAAAGACAAACGCAGTTGGATTCAGAAAAAATCCCCTCTGGTAAATAAACATGTTGACCCTGAAAATCACCCATTTTTAATGGAAACTAGTCTGAACCAACCCCGATGACTGCCAGGGTTGAACTGTTAATTTACCATGATATTAATGTCAAAAGCATTACCCTCTGGTAAACTAACATAGCTATTGAAAATCACCATAGAAATAGTGGATTTTCCCATGAACAATGGTGATTTTCCATAGCTATTTTGACATAACCAGAGGGTACAGCAGAATCGATCCTTTATTTCTTTGAGCTTTCCAAGGTATACATCTGCAAACCATGGTGCTGAAATATGAATCCCAACATTTGCCCGAACAAAATGGGGATGGGTCAAAACCCTGGTACCTAGTGAACCCCAAAATAGCTGGGATTTATGGATGTGAATAACCCACTAAAAATGGTATCTATAGGTATTGACCCATAGCCAAATCACCGAGTTTTGTAGGTAAATATACCATACATAGAGCATATGGGTATAGTTTTTTCAGATGTTTTTTCAGATGTTTTTTCAGATGTTTTTATTGGACGAGCGCCGAGCAAGAGATCCCCACAGCAGCATTTTTTTGAGACACTGTCAAGAATCAGGAAGCACTATGATATCTATCTGATTGGTGGTTTCAATCATTGTTTATTTTCCATAATATAATATAAAATAATATATAATATGTAATATATAATATATATGGGATAATCATCCCATTGACGAAGTCATATTTTCAAGATGGTTATTGCACCACCAACCAGCTATACTATGTGAAAAAATATGGGAAAAATCCAGATGTAGCTCAAGGGATTTCATCTGACTTTGTTGCCTGATGAAGGAGTGTTGGTGAACTAGTGAGTTCTGCTCAGCCATGGCCTACATGTGACAGGTGGGACAAGCACGCTGTCCCGCTGGCAATGTGAACCCAGAACAGGAGCTTGAAGTGATCCTTTTGCCAAACTGCTACTTGGCAGAGGTGTTTTCGAAGAAGTTGATCAGGTGGAAGTAGTTTCCTCGCAGAAAAAAAAATCTTAGAAACCCTAGCCTGCAATGTGAGGCCCCCAAGATATAAGTTGGCTTATAAGCCCCAGTAACTATAGTTATAAATACCATAAACCATAGTTATTGGAGTTATAAACCAACTTAGCTATCGAACGGGGGCCTTACATTGTAGCACTAAATGTCATTCAGTATCCCTAGACACCCTGGCTTTAGAATTGGATCCATCAATTTTGGAATCCCTTTTTTTTGGGACATTTTGATAGGAGGATGGCTAATATGATTCGTTTCCGTTTGCACCAATCGATAGCCATGGGATTGTTCGGGTTTTCACTCTGAAAAGGAACCAACACTCAGGCAATATTCATCCAGCCAAGACAATCTACGTGGCTGTTCACTACTCCCAAAGTGAGACAAACAAATTCTATCCGTGGGAATTCACAGAAAAAAGACATATTTGACGCGACATGTCTTTATAATCTTTATATAGATGGTGGTGTCCATAAATGGGGATACCCCAATAGCTGGATGGTTTATAAGGGAAAATCCCAATCTAAAATGGATGATTTAGGCTTACCCCCATTTTAGGGAAACCTCCATATTAGTCTTTGCAATGGGCCAAACATCAGCTCAGGTGAAGCTGTTTGTGATCGCTTCCCTCCTCCAGGATACCAGGCCTTATCGCCCTCAAGATGGCAATGTGCTGATGGTCACACGTCAACGAAAAATGGCTCTGGATCTCTCCGATTCGGAGCCACATGAGCTGTGGTCAATACTCATGGTTAATAACCATTAAAAACGGGGCTAGTCATCCAATGGTGATTTAATGGGATTTATAAAAACCATTATTTTTGGATCCTTATTATGGATGGGATGACCATCAACCATATAGTGAGTATTGACCATGGCTCACATACAACTGATTCCAGGGTTTGTTTTGCCGGTTGATTCTGTGTCAAGCAATGCAACATGTTCGCTGCAACCCTGACGTTGCGCCGCGTCTGACTTCAGGTGGCTATGATGATAAAGTTGATGTTATTACCCCAATCAACATATTGTTTATAGACTTTCATAGGCCATAGGCGGTGGCAAATTTTGATCCCTTACGAAGATAAAGTTGATGTTATTACCCCAATCAACATATTGTTCATAGGGGATAGCGAGTTTTGATCCCTTATGAAGGTAAAGTTGATGCTATTACCCCAACCGACATATTGTTCATAGGGGGTGGCGAATTTTAAATGATGATGATCATGATGTGATGATGTGTTGTTGCTGTTGTTGTTGATGATGATGATGATGATGGATCATGATCATGATCATGATCATGACGATCGTAAGTGTGGAGCAACGTCCGGGTTGGGGCGAACATGGTTTTCATCAATTTCAGCAGTTGTTCAAAATGCATGTGATCAACATCAGTGTCCAGCAGCTGGTCCAGCACAAATTGAATATCGAAAAAGGGCCAGATGGAAAGCGGCACACTGTGCAGTTCCACCAGCTATACTAAGAGAAAGTCCCTTGTTGAATCCTTGTTTGTGACATGTTTGGTGAAGAGTTTCTGATCCTCCAGACACCATTCATTATCAACTGGTTGGTGGTTTGGAACATGAATTTTATGACTTTCCATTCAGTTGGGAATGTCATCATCCCAACTGACGAACTCATATTTTTCAGAGGGGTAGACATACCACCAACCAGTATCAGATGACATGTGTCTTTGTGAGGAACAATTCACTGGGACCGCTTTTCGGACGGCGTCTTGCTTTCAGCTCAGGTTATCTTGGAAGTGCAGAGGTGTCCTGCACAATCATGGATGCCTGGGCTGAAAGTTTCAGGCGAATCGGCAATTCCCAATGACGTTCAGGAACAGGTATGCAGTACTGCCAATAAGTGGATAGAGATGACATGAATCGTATTATATGATATTATCATGTATTCTCAATCTATATCAATCTAATGATTGTGGATATTGCTGGCACTTGGGTTGACGTTCCATTTTTCTATCATCCCAGACGGAATGGTCATTCCAGAGTGCAAGAAATCAACGGAACTGGAGACTTGGGACAAGGACAATGCCACAGAGTACAGGATCACAAGGTATTTCTTCCCACTCCATTCTGTTTTTGAGTGGGATACATCTACATATACATATACATATACATATACATATACATACATATACATTCATATAGATACATATAGATACATATAGATACATATACATACATATACATACATATACATACATATACATTCATATAGATACATATAGATACATATACATACATATACATACATATACATACATATACATACATATACATTCATATAGATACATATACATACATATACATCGCGGCGGACCGGAAAGTGAGGTCGTGAAAGACTGTTTTTTTTCAAAAAATCATCGTTTCGCCAAGGCGAAAACACAATTCAGCGATCACAAAAACTCTGAAATTCAGACGTCTGAATTTGGTGGTTTTTTAGATAAATGTGTATTTCGCCTAGGCGAAACGCAATTTCTGCTTCAAACAAGTTCAGGCATGCTCAACTGTCCGCACCGTCATTTTTACATCTCTTGCAGTTTGGACACCGTGGCTTTCGCCAAGTTTTTGTACGTGTGGATGAATCTCCATTGCCACATCTTGCAATAAAGAATCAAGTCCGCACTCCGGGCATGCAAACTCTTTGGCACGAATTTTTTGCAGGACGTCCATGCGGCATCTATTGTGCCTGTGTGCGCTTTGAGCTTTTCTCGGTTTCTTGTGACATCCTACCCCACCCCATCATCAGCATAGCATCAAGAACCTCAGCAAGTTCACACGAACGTTAACATGCCCCACCCCACCCCACCCCACCCCATCATCAACGTAGCATCAAGAACATCCGACTCGAAAAAGAAGCGTTTCGCGACCTCAGTTTTCGGTCCATAGGCATATACATACATATACATACATATACATACATATACATACATATACAGTCATATACATACATATACATTCATATAGATACATATAGATACATATAGATACATATACATACATATACATACATATACATACATATACATTCATATAGATACATATACATACATGTACATACATATACATACATATACATACATATACATACATATACATTCATATAGATACATATACATACATATACATACATATACATACATATACATACATATACATACATATACAAACATATACATATATATACATTCATATAGATACATATAGATACATATACATACCTATACATACATATACATAAATATACATACATATACATACTTATACATTCATATAGATACATATAGATACATATACATACATATACATACATATACATACATATACATACATATACCTACATATACATACATATACATACATATAATATCATATAAACATAGAATCATATACGTATACGTATACGTATACACGTATACGTATACATACACACATACACACATACACACAGACATACACACAGACATACACACAGACATACAAACAGACATACACACAGACATACACACAGACATACACACAGACATACACACATACAGACTCACAGACACACAGACACATAGACACACAGACACACAGACACACAGACAGACAGCCAGACAGACAGACAGACAGCCAGACAGCCAGACAGCACACGCAGACACGCATACACGCAGACACGCAGACACGCAGACATACATACAGACATACATACAGACATACCTACATACCTACATACCTACATACCTACATACCTACATACCTACATACATACATACATGCATACATGCATACATTGTATGCATGTATACATCTACATACATGGTATACATACCCAGTATATATAATATATATATATGTTTAATTAATACATACATAATATTGCATAAAATATACATAATATATTTGTAATGTATACACTGTAAATACATAATATACACAGAAAGTATACAAAATCATACATAATATGTACATAATATATACATAATATATACATTATATATATATATACACGTTCATATACATAATATATACACGATATTTGCCTAATATATACATATCATGTACATAATAATATGAGCACACGTTTATACTGGATGATTCTCAGGATGGTGTTGCCTTAGGAAGTGGATGGCAGCTGCATCTCGTCCTCCACCTTCTCTGGCTGCTCTGAACGAAGGCCTTGTGCATCGCCCAGGGATAAAGCTGCAGGATGCATCTACGAATTACAAGGCTGTGAAACCATCGATGCAGGCTCCACTAGCTCCTTGGAAGTCCTTGGCATGTTGCGTTTAAAAGACACAAACTTCACCGGCATGTTTGGTTTGTCAAAAGCCTCGGAATCCGGATGGGACCCTAAAAATCCCTGGAGAATGGATGGGATGTGGATGGATGTTGGAGAATGGATGTCATAGCTGGAGAATGGATGTTGATTCCAATATGGTAAGAATATGGTAAGAACAGTGCTTGACCCATCCCCTTCTGGCAAAGTGTTGACGTTCGCGTCTAGGGTCGAGTGTGACCCCCTTCTGATCTTTGTTGCGCAGGCACAATATTTTGGGGTTCAAACCCAAAAGTTTGTTTAGATACTTTGGAGCAAGGCTTCGTGGCAAATTTCAGACGTGTAATTGGGTGGAGGCGACCCTTCCCCACCTGCAAGACCCCAAAGGTAAATACTTGCCAGAGGTAGGGCCGCTGCAAACACTCTTTAGCGGTAGGGTCGAATGTCATCCTGGGGTCAAATGCGACCCCCTTACCAATTTGGTTTCAAGCGCAGGTGCAAAAGTGTGAACGATCCACCGCAATGAGAAACTACCGCGGTCTGTGAGATTACTCACGGAATACTGTATATGTATGGAATATACAGCATTGTGTTTGGACCAGATCAAAGGACGGAAGGGAGTGCAAATTGTTGATTCATGGCTGTAGTTCCTAGAAAAAGATGCACGGGATGACACGAGATGCCGGAACCGGGGCGCTCTTAGGCTGTGAGATTGGCTGCAAGCATCCGTACCGTGGGAGTTCCGCAGTGGCCACATGCCCAGACAACAACACCGATCCATTGCGACTTGGGACGACTCAGTGGGTACAGGTGTGGCCCACTCACATTTGCCCCAGTGAGCTGGGCATTTGGGCAATTTTGGGCATTTCATGCTGGTTGTTATGACATGTTATGACAATCCCCATAGGATGTAGCTTGATGCCTTTTTTTTGGAGGGAAGAGCATGGATTTTGCGTCATGACAACATCACCTTCCATCCAGTTCCATCCCACAACCAAGGAGACAAGCAGATGTCATGTTGCCGGAATGTGTTGTGAAAGCCCCCTGTCCTGATCCGGAGAGTGGAGTACCAGCAGCCTATCGTATCTTGGCTTCAGAGATAACTTGAAGCTTTTCAATAGAAAAACATAGAAAAACACAACTTGATCTCCCTATGGTTGTTGTGTTTCGATATTTTCAAACACTAGGTTTCACATGAGCAAAGTGCTTGGTGTGCAGAGCAAGCCACGGAAAAAACAGGTGTCCGACTCCCACCCTTGCCCGAATCATATCCTGTTTCAGCCCATTGTTGTCAGATTCGGCTAATGTATATATATATATTAATATTATATATATATCATATAGTGTTTCATGTTGTCAATTTGTGACATATAAATATCCGGCATGTTGTCTCATGTTGTCTCCCCAACGGAATCCTGTGGATCAGGCCACATCCGACACATTCTGAGGATACTCCGGCAACGTGCTCAGCCCCGTAGCGTGTGCTCCTGGATATCACGGTGAAGCGCTTCGGCAATGTGTCGCCAAGCCTCTGCCAGACAGCAACAATACTTGCTTTGCCGAAGGAAACTTCAGTGGATGTGAACCGATTCAGCCCTGTTTGGCACCAAGTATTGTGTCGACGGATTGCCACTTGGCTTGAATTTCTTCAAGATGTTCAAGATTGTGCAGTGTGCAGCGAAATGGTCAGGCCGCGTCAGGCTGGTTTTTTTTGATATTTTTTGGAGGCTTCATGGTGTAACATGTGTACTTGCAATGGCCTGCTTGTTGACAACTGAAGTGTTCCTCAGCCAAAATTAACGCATTGCCATAAAAGGCAAGACAGAACGGCGACAATAAATGAGAAGTGTCTGGAAACCACGCCCTCTTATCAGGCACCATTTTGCTTTTTGGGATCTCACTGTTTTAGGTGGTGGAAGTCCAATTTCAGCAAAGTCAGAAAATTGCTATCCATCAATATCCATCAATATCCATCAATATCCATCAATATCCATTAATATCCATTAATATCCATTAAAATCCATTAATATCCATCAACATCCATCAATATCCATCAATATCCATCAATATCCATCAATATCCATCAATATCCATTAATATCCATTAATATCCATCAATATCCATCAATATCCATCAATATCCATCAATATCCATTAATATCCATTAATATCCATTAATATCCATTAATACCCATTAATATCCATTAATATCCATTAATATCCATTAATATCCATTAATATCCATTAATATCCATTAATATCCATTAATATCCATTAATATCCATTAATATCCATTAATATCCATTAATATCCATCAATATCAATTAATATCCATTAATATCCATTAATATCCATTAATATCCTTTAAATCCATTAATATCCATTAATATCCATTAATATCCATTAATATCCATTAATATCCGTCAATGTGCAGTATCCATTGCAAGACTTCCAGCGGCAGACGCGTTGGAAGGTCGACCCATAGGTCTACGGACTTCAAAATATCAAAGCCGACCGGAAAATACGTTAACATCGATCGAAACATACGTTTTTCCTGCAAAACCAGATTTCGTATGGTTTCATGAGGTAGGAGATTTATGGAATTTTATGGATATTTTATGGATATTTGATATATTTTGATATCAGCTATCGGCAAGGCCGTAGCCCTTCAGCTTCCTTCAGGGTTTCCTCGGGCTCCAAGGCGAGTTGGAACACGATTGCCCAGAATCCATGCCGCCGGGATTGAGCTGCTCGGTGTTCGTGAAAAACCACCTTCCCATTGGGAAACACCGAGCAGCGGGATGCCCTTTATTTTTACATGTAGCGATTGCCGTAAAATGACCTATTGAACATAATCGAAAACCAATGAAAACCATACACCATGGACTGCTGTCTTTTTTTTAATGTCTTTTTGCTATTTGTTTTGCTATATTTAAGGGTCATTTGGCATGTCATTTTGGCTTGTTTTTTGTTGTGGAAAAAACCACCCATTGGTGGCACGCACGACCCACAGCCACGAATCTCAGGTTGTGAGATTCGATGTCGGAAGCCCCTCATTGGTGATCCCGCCGTGGTGAGGTGCCGCAAACTTAGGGATGGTCAACATTTGGTTTATAGGGATGGTATAGAATGAATGGCACCAATACCCTCTGGTTATGTCAAAATAGCTATTGAAAATGGCCATTGATAGTGGATTTTCCCATATAAAATGGTGATTTTCCATAGTTACGTTAGTTTACCAGAGGGTAGTTCACATTTTGATACATGTTGGACATCTGTGTATAGTGACTATGGTTTTCATGATGGACTAGAATTGAAGAGGTTTGGAATGCAGCGACTTCTTGCGCCATCGAAAGCAGGAGGACATTTCTGCACGATGCTGGGACATGCATTGCAATGTCACACAATAAACAGCTTTGCACCAATACAACACACAACATATATACAACATATATACAACATATATACAACATATATACAACATATATACAACATATATTCTGTACCTTGGTGCGCAACTATCTCCTAGCTATATATCCTACCCTATCTATCGATCCATCAATCGATATCTACATGGAGTAATGAACAACCGCAGCTGCTATAGCTTGAATTCTTCCAGTTTTCTAAATTTCCCTTCACATGTTTAGCATTGGGCTGGCATAAATTCCATCAAGTCGTAAGACTTTGCCTGGGTTTCGTAAGCAGTGCGAAAGGTTTGACGTATGCATTGATCAGAAACATATTGCCGTAAGCCATCAGGTCCTGCCTTGACTGAAACTTCAAGGATCATCTAGGTGAAGCACAGCACGTCAGCATTTGAATCGTAGTGGCCACAAGGTATCACAAGCAAAAAACATGTCAAGAATTGTCAAGATGTTTATGGGATTCTATGGGTGTTTGTGGCCAAATGCATGACCAAACGCATGCCAACTGCATCACCAAACTGCTTCAAGTCGTGCGGCCGTGCTGCCACCGCATCCCGAAGGTGTCCTGGCAACAACACGCAGCCGATGAAAGTGGCAGAGACTTGGCCTACACTCTACGTCATACTCACATAGACATACATAAACATACATAAACCTAACATAAACGATCATAAACCCACATACTCATCGGGGGTTGGTGGTGACTGGACCATGGCTTTTATTTTTCGATATATTGGGAATGTCATCATCCCAACTGACTTTCACTCCATCATTTTTCAGGATTGGACGCCTCCAAGATGCAGATGTCACTGGTTTTGGTCGGAGAAGGTGGTGGTGGTTTTTTAACATGGTGCCAGTGTGTAACCAACATTTAGCCAAGGTTTGTGATAGATATTTCATATATTTTAATGTATGTTAATATTGATATCCATACTTAAATTATAGATATACTTAATGTTCTTTCATTAGCTCTATAAAGCAATTGTATGGCGGGGGGAGTTCCAGAGCAGGGTAGATTTTTCAGACACAATTCTGCTTGGACCGTGATTTTCGGCAGTGCAGCCCATCTATCACCATTTTTCATCACCATTTGTCACCTTTTCATCACTGGGATGTGGGTCAAAATGGAAAACCTAGGGGACCACAGATGTTAGTCTAGTTTAGTATTCACCATCCAATTATTGGGGTACCTAATTTTGACCCATACCCACTGGATCTTTTGGTGATAAAAAACTAACTGTTCCTCTTCTGGTTCCGCTGGCGGAGTCTCATCCGGCCACCTAAATTGGGTGCAATTTAGCGTTGCTGGAGTTTCCATGAAATACAGTGATGTTGTTCCAACGGGCGTTTTTTGAGTTTGCAGAAAGAGTGAAAAACTCGGTGAATAACTCACTTCAACTCAGTTGAAAAGGCTGCATTCGGTAACTCTGTTGGAAAGGCTGCATCCGGTAACATGTCAAATTCACCTGCACGTCTTGTAACAATGTAGAAACAAAGACGCCAAAGCCCCAAAAGCCTAGAGATTGATACTGCAGTTGTGTTGTCGGATTTTTCACGCTACAGAAGGCCCCTCAAGATTGATGCCTCAAGGTCCAAATCCGCAGATGATTCCTCCTGGTTACCAGCCGGGCGCTGGGGACGATTGGACCTGCTTGGCTGGTTTTGTAGGGAAGGCACGAAAGGTCTGCCCCTGCGGTGGAGAAGCAAGCATCTTGAAGAGATCAAAGATCGTCATGTTTTTACTTTACAACGTGATGACACTTGATGAGACATAATGAGACATGTGGAAACATGACTCACTTGACAGAAATCATGTCATCTTGTGACAAACAGCTCCAATCCAGAACTTGACGGTGGGGTGTGAAAGGTTGGATTCAAAGGCAATCATGATCCTACATGGTCCTACATGAAGCAATAATGTCAAATAAAGTCATACAAGGTCATATAAGGTCATTATTTCAGTCTTGTTGTCATGCTTGCATTATTGATTTGTTAGCAATCTTCAGAGATCTTCGCACCCCAAATTATAGAATTATAGCCCTATAGCCTCTCAGCATCTTGGTTTTTTAGGCATGCTAATGGGTTGCAATGCTCCCATCATTTGCGGTGCTGCGGGATTTACGGACACCGATATGCGGAATGGCTACGTGGGTGGCGAATTGCGATTTGGACCATCCACCATCGCTGGGCGGATCGATGAAGATGGCGTGTGGCTGGGCGGCAGGGCTTTTTTCAGTGCCACGGTCAAAACATGTTCGGTGATGTTCCACCCAGAAATACCATAAATATGAATATTTATGAGTGTTCGGATTCCCGTCTAGAATGACCATACTCGATTTTTTCCATTATAACGCATCCAAAAAATGCAATGTTTTGCCCATAGAACATATGGTTCGATACTGTTCTAGCTCTTGACCTTCTGTCCCGGTAGGAGACCATAGGTTTATGAGCATCATTCATAAGAGCTATATGGTATGGAGGTTTCCTAAAATAGGGGTGCCCCCAAATAAAATCATGTTAATAGGATTTTCCATGAAATAAACCATCCAGCTATTGGGGTATATACCCCCATTTAGGAAACCCTCACATGTATCGATAGTGTTGTTACTGGTACGCACTCCTCATGACACTCCAGGTATCGATACCAAGTCTTTTGGGCAGACGACTGTGGTGTGCTGCTGTCCAGCCAGCCAGAGCCGATTTTGTCGTTGCCTCCACGAACCATTGGTGGATTATCAATGAACCTATGGCCCAACGGATGTTGTAAGACGGACCCTCAGCTGAGCCATCCAACTTGGCCCCACATTGGACATTGGATTGCTAGGTGAACTTTCCCGCATCGAACTGTTAACCAAAGTGTGCCCAAATATGTAAATGGCACCACTTAGACGTTCTTTTTTGTTTTTTTTACTGGTACACAATACACTACTATTATACACTATTATGTACTATTATATAATATTATATACCATTATATACTATTATATATACTATTATATATACTATTATATATACTATTAGATACTATTAAATACTATTATATACTATTATATGTACTATTAAATACTATTAAATACCATTATATACTATTATATACTATTATATACTATTATATACTATTATATGTACTATTTTATACTATTTTATACTATCATATACTATTATATACTATTATATACTATTATATATTATTTTACTATATTAGATACTATTATATAATGCTATATACTATTGCAGAATATATATGTATATATTCTATTGCATATACGATTATGTACTATTGCTCTATTACATATGTTTTATATTATGATATACTGTTATATGCTCTTATATACTATTATATATGATTATATACTACTATATACTATATACTATTACATACTATTACTATTATACAAGATTGTTATACGTATAGATTGATAGATAGATGGATGGATGGATGGGTGGATGGGTAGATCGACAGACAGATAGACAGATAGAAGGATGGATGGACAGGAAGACAGATGATAGATACATTGTATTTATTGGAAATACATATGTATATAATATATATACAAAAATATTTATGTGCTTCTGTGAATTTCACTCAACTCCTAACAGGCCTACCACCTGTTGAACCATGATTTTGCCGCAGGATGTTTACATTGCTGCACTGGCCCCATTGCAACTGCCTGGCGACGCTCGGACGTTGGTCGTACAAGTCTTGACGAGCTCTGGCCCCGCGCCGGATGCCTTGGTTGTGCCTTTGGTGGACGAGAGCTACCAAGCCACTCGCCCGAAAAATGGCTCCGATTGACCTGAAAAATGACTGACAGTTTGCTATTGATAAACCATAGTTACATAGTGAAAATTTACTTATTCAAACTGGTGATTTGCGCTTTTTGGTGCTTTTTGTATGTTTACTAGATGGTACGTATTTTTGTGTAGTAAATCTTAAAATATACATGAGTAAACTTCGAATTTCGGAGGCATCTCTTGATGTTTATTGATGCCATCTCTGGTGATGTTTGCGATGGCTTATTAGTGGGTTTACCGGTTTACCATTTTACTATATGTTAATTATGATAAAGGCATCTTTTTTGCTGCGGAAATGGAAAGAGAACACAAGAGCAACATGGTATGGTCTACACAGCAGCTGTGTTTAGAATTTTGAAGCTCTTCGTCAAGGACCAACGTTTTCCAACATATTTGCATATTTCTTGATCAGGGTGATTCTATGCTGTTTTCAGTTCAAGGGTGTGCTATACAAGTTCCAGCAAACACAAGCTACATAGTCAGGTGTCAAGATGCCAATAGCCACAATTAAGCATCAAAATAAGTTTGTAAGATGTTGTAAGATGTTGTAAGGCATCATGAGATCTATATCTTTGACAATCAACTATACATTTACCGAATCTCATTCAGATGTAAAAACTGTGGCGAGCTTGGCCAGTGCTTTCCACTGGCCTATGACTGCGATTTACTCAAACTTCCATACCCATAGGATCCATGTCTGGTATATATGCTAACATTTGGGGTATATTGATGGTAAATGTTACCATATATAGCATACATGGATCCTATGGGATATATATATATATTATATAAATTATACATATATATATATATAGAATGCATTAGTAGTCAGTGGAATTCCTGCCTAGTCACAAGAAGAGTGATTGTCAGGCGAAATTTTGTATGTTCAGAACATATTCGACATGTTCGCTGAGCTTCCCGACCAATGTATTCATGTGCTGCAAGAAAATGGATGGATATAGTAATGATGACGAAGCAGATCTTGCAGACAAAACACGTTTGGTGATTCACTGCAAAAGAGAGCAGAGGAATACTGGCGCCACAAGAATAGAGAGATCACCAGACATGTTGCTCCATGTCTGATATATTGTCTACCACAGAATGGGCAGATTTTTTTGCAGTTTTGAGCCATTTTGAGCCTCAACTCGCGTGCACACATTTCAGGACACGGTGACGAGCCCTCCCAAAGGGACTGTTGGCAAAGCTTCATCGTTCCTCGCCGTGACATGGGTTATCGGGATCCGCCAGCAGAAGCTGAGGCTCTTTAGCCTTTGTGTCTGCAGCCTCAGATCATCTCAGACATCTATATATGCATATATAATGTATATTATATATATACAGTATTTTTTTTTAGTTTTTTCGTCCCTTTTATGAAGAAGCTCCATCGAACCACAGTGGCATATTTCACGTCGCAGTTTGTTCTGCTTAAAACTTTGACACTAGGCTAGAACCTCTGCATGATGATGAACTTTGGCGCTGCAACATATATTCTGGTTTGAACACCAGACATGGAATGCCAACACCTACCATGATCTCATATGTATGTGTGCGAAACATGTCTTTTCCTTCTCAACCTGATGTTCCCTTCGACGATTGTCTCTGTGTATCAGAATGTATCATGAGTCTTTTGCATTCTCCATATCGGTGTCGGAGTGCCCGGGTTGTCTGATCCCCTTTGCCCCTCAGGTGTGCTTTGAATGTTTTGGTGTTTGGATTTCTGTGGCTACGCTGGTATCGTGGCGATTGTGCATCCTGGGACAGGCTGGGGGTGAAAACGGTTTGGAACGTAGGAGAGTGAAAAGGTGCGCAGTGTTGAGCAAATACACTTGCGACCTTTAAGATTGGTTGATGAACGTGTGTTGCAGGTGTAGTACATTGGCAACCATATTTGTCCTTAAATATTGAAATATAAGCACTGATGTTCCGTTGGCAATACTCCATTCCAAGGATTTAGGTAACAGTCCAATGGTTTGAAGAATGCCACAACACTGCAAATGATGTCGACCCTTTCTGTCAGTTCGCTTGTTTGTAGATTGTAAATGTGGCAGGTCAGACGTCCTTTTTTTGAAAGTATGTCCTCCATCATGGCCATATATACACTCGAACTAGAGCTACGCCGTTGTCGTCGTCGTTGTTGTCGTCGTCGTGGTTGTTCTGCTTGTTGTTGTCGTTGTTTCTCGTCTTCTTGGTCTTGTTTTTGTTTGGGTGCTTCGGTCATGTATTTTGAAACGCCAAACTGATTCGGTCGCGTCGTTTTCTGTTGCTGGCCTCAGCACCTTTAGTTTCTTGTTGGTGACTGTATGATGGTGATGCCGCTGATGATGACAATATGGTGTTGCCGCTTCTGATGACCATCTCTGACAGCCTGGGCGATATTGGATTGCGTCGTGACATTTTCTCCTTATTATAGAAGCGGGATGAAGCAGGATCAAGAGCACGCGCTAAACCATTCTTCATGTATTTCTCCAGGTCCACAATTTCTTCCGACAATCTGAATCTTACCAGGCTGGAACAGTTATGGCACAGCTGAAAGCATGTCAGCAGTGACCCAAGAGCGATAGCCGCCTGCCGCCTCCCCCCACATCTCTGTCACACACGATTCTGTCATGCACGATTCTGTTACACACGCCACACGCTGTCACAGACAACTTTGTCACACGCACACACACACACAACGACGGCTGCTGTTGCGTGGCAAGTGCGGCATTTCGATCCGCCTTGGCTTTGTCGAAGTGACGCCAGCTGCTGTTCCATGTCAGATGCGACATGTCAAGAAGTTGATTGGCTTGACGCCGGCTGCTTTTCCGTGGCAGGCGCAGCATTTTGAGAGGTTCGTTGGCTGGGGTGGGCCGCCGGCGTTTCAAGAAGTTATAGTTGGCCCGGGGGGAGCGCCGTGGCTTGCCTTGGTCTGAAGTGGCGCCGGCTGTTTTAGCGTGGATGACGCTGCTTCTGCGTGCTACGGGGGGCTACTTGACTGGCATGCTATAGGGTTTCGCTGCCGTGGCGCGCCCTTGATATGAAGTTACTTGCAAGAGATCATACTGGAAGGCCGTACGCTTGGTCATCAGTATTGTCACACAGAACTCATTCACACAGAACTTGGTTATGCGGTTATACACATAACTGGTGTCCGATGATCGCTTTACGCAGGTACGCAATACATTCTCTTCCTCACTCCGTCTTTTTTATCGATCCATCTTCCACCTTCTCGCCTGTCTTACCGGCTTTATCTTAGCCACCATGTGATACAGTATTGGTTGGAAAAGTTAACCTGTAAGGCTATGCAGCCCTTAATTGTTAATTGAGCTCGACGCTACCATGAAACAGACATGTCATAGTCAAAAGATTTATCCCCATGGATGGTTCAAATTCCCACTGTTCAACCAGTACCCGGAGGCATTGTAACACGGTGCTGACGGGCTACTGCAGTGGCTGTAGTGGGAATCTAAAATCCAGAGAAGCATCACCAGATTTTTGCCAATGGAAAAATATGAAAAGATAATAGGGATTGATATATATGTCCCTTCGTCCCCGAGAGTAAAGAGTAACCACTAACCTGTTTTTACTTCCCTAGCGTTTTGGCTTAAGTGTTGATGTCTTGCTCCACGTGCCGGGTATTCAGTGGCCCGGTGTGTGGAGCGTGCAGGGCTGCCCACCGCATCGTGGGGATCCTTCAGAGTGGAAGGGTCCCGCCCTCCGAGGAGCGGAGGGTTGTTGGGCTCCTGCGTGGAGTCGCGGGTGAGTTGTCTGACTTAGTCGAGGCAGCTCTCCCTGAGAGGACTCCGGGGCCGGGAAGGGGCCCTGAGAGTAAGGGGGAGACACAGGACCTTACCCCCGGGTCTACAGAAGCTGGCCAGCAAGCAGTGAAGGCCGAGCCAGAAAGCAGTCCGGGCAGTGACCAGGAGGAGGAAGACGAGGAAGAGGAGCCACGAGTTACAGACCCTGAGGCCGAGGGTACCAGCAAGGAAAAGACAGCAGAAGAAGATAAGAAGGCCCCACAGGAGGACCAGGCCGATCCTACTCGGAAGGGTGGTTGGTCAGTTTCGAAGGACGGGAAGGTGAGAGACAGCCGGGGCGCTGTGATCCACCCTGCCGTTCTGAGTGGGAAGTTTGATCCCCACTATCTCACTAAGGCCCTTCATCTCAGACCAGCAGGAAAGGCCGCAGCACGAGCTGGTAGGGATCGAAGCCGCTCTCCCAGGCGAAGTGCGGGAGAGGCAAAGGAGGAAGATCGCAGGGAACGAGGGGCTCCTAAGGTAGTTTCAGGAGCACCCGCCAGGTCAGGTCACCACCACGACGAGAGCCGAGGCAGAGGAGAAAGCAGGGACCGAGGCACCCACGGCAGGGGAACCAGCCCCGAACGACCGCCCCTTGTTCGACGGCCACGTGAGGCAACCTCTCACGACCGAGGGAGTCGCCAAGGACCCAAAAAGAAAAAGAAGAACAACAAAGGTCAGAAGAGGAGAGACAGAGGAAAGAACTGGAGGAGTTCTAAGGCCACTGGGAGTGGCCGTCGAGGGTGGTAAGGATGCCACCGAAAGCGAAAGCGGGGGCCAAGGCCAAGGCCCACCCCTTGCACCGGCCAGCAGCAAGGGTGCGCGTCAGAGGAGTCAGGAGGCCAGCCGCGGGAGGCGGGGTACCTCCCTGGGATCTTGGGCAGGAGGTAGCCCTTGCAACTATACCTCCTGGAGACCTGGGACCGGGCTGCTCCTTGGTCATCACCGAGGGGTACTACTATGGGGGGGAAGATGAAGATCGCAGGCGATGTCACCAAGCTGGAGATGGAGGGCGGCGAGGTCAACGTGAAGCTGAAAGTGACAGGGACAGATCACGAAGGGCTCCTGAAGACCAGTTCTGCTCACCCACAGCAGCAGTTTCTGTGCCATCTATGCGGAGCAGGATGCAACAAGATGGATGTAGGCGAGTTCAGGGTGCATGCAGTGAGGGGGCGGCGCCGGAAGGCCGCAGACGAAGAAGGCTGGGTGACAAACCTAGTCGCAGGAGCCGCACCAGAAGAGGAGGACGAGAACCAGGAGTTGCGGCAGAGGGCTGCTCTCCTAGCAGGTCAGGGAGGGGAACCGGGGGACCCTCCCGGGGCAGAGAAGGAAAAGCAAGCATCCCCACAAGACAAGGAAGAGGAGTCAGGAGAAGTAAAGAAGAAAAAGAAAAAGAAGAAAAACCGGAAGAAGGAGAAAGAAGTGGAAGATGGAAAGAGGCCGACCGTTGCTGTTCAGAAGGATCTCAAGGCCGTCTTCGGCGGTACCGGTTTGGATCCGAGAGAAAGGATCCGCCGACGGGTGGCATCCAAGGCGCAGAAGTTTGCGTCTCGGAAGAGGCAGAAAAGCGACAGCGGGTCATCAAACAGCAGCAGTTCATCTTCGAGCACCGAGGAGGAGGACTACAAGGGACAGTTGGCAGTCTTCGCAGAAGAAACAAAGATCAGAGGAGTGGCAGAGAGGTTCCCAGGAGCATTGACCGTCGAAGCAATGGGAGCTATGAAGAGGTCGCTCCTGACCACCTCGGGCGAAGAGCTCGAGGAGGGATCACTGCGGCCAGTGGCCCTCCTTTACTTCAGGAGCGTGCTCTCCCGCCGAGCCAGTGGTCCCCAGGCACGAGAGATGTTGAACATCTCGATGGCGCTGGACCACCTGATCAGGGGTCGTGTGGCGACTGCTGCAGACATTTTGTCTCAGCGGTTAAAGTCCCAAGAGAGTGCATGCCACGGAACCCATTGGTCGATCTCCCAGCGCCTGGAAATCCCGCCTGTGGAGACCGAAGGCTTGGTGGCGAGGGGAGAGTTGCAGAATGCCAGAAAGGACGAGTACGACGAGGCCAAGACGCGCTGGCAAGCTCAGGTTTCGAGTGGAGGCAAGGCCGACGGAAGAGGCAAGTCCAAGAGCCAGAAGGGCGATCGAGAGACGTGGAAAAAGGACGACAAGAAGGAAGAACAGAAAGGCAAGGGCAAGAGCAAAGACAAGAAGTAGGGCGCTCTCCTGATCATGAGGACAACAGGAGGGTGCCAGGTTGCGAGAAGGGGGCTCCTGAGGCTATGACAGGAGCCAGAGGTATCACCCAAGGTGACCGGGCACTTTTAAATTGCCCAGGCCATCATGAGAGTACGGAGGATGGTCGGTTTTTTACACCGGACCTGAAAAACCTCCGGTTTTTTCCTCCAGAACCTCCCAGCCAAATTTCGGGAGGGGCTGTAGCCGGTGACACATCGGCCTTTTTTACGCATGAAAGCTTGGGTGGCGAAGACCATTCCACCGTGGGTGCACCAGTGACTTTTAGCGAGTGCAAAAAGAGTGGCATTGATGATTTGGTAGGCAAGAGGCTGCATGAGTTGGGGTCAAGGGTACACCAGCGACTTTTGGAAGTGTTATCACTCCGCAGCACGTCCACGGGTAGGAGAGCTGTTGCTGATTTGTTCCCCCTACCCACTTCTGAATGCCGTCTGAGTGCACTATTTCCCCAATTAGATGCATCTTCTTTGTGCTGGTTACAGGCTATTTGTATGTCCTTGAACTCGTTATGGGGTGGCGACCTATTTTATGAGGGAGAGGTCCATGCCGTGACTGTTGATTGTTTGACACTACTTTGTAGGGATGTTGAGCGTTTCAGAGGTATGGATGGTGTATTGGAAAGTTTTTCCTGGCCTAGCTTTTTCAGTACACGTGGGGTGGACTATAAAGGAGATGAAGTCAAAACCGCAAAGTATTTTGAATGGAAAAACATTGCACCGGCCCTCCCCGAGGAGATCGGGAGGGTCCCACTGGAGCAAGTGTGCACACTGGGGGCCCAGCATTACGTGGAAAATTTTGATTCATTTATCAAAGATCCATCCGAATGGGATATCCCTAAATCGCCTCGTGTAATGGTACCTGACGATCAGTGGGGTGATGTCTGTACCGGACTAGTGCAAGCTGGTGTGTGCGTCTTTTTGCCAGTTGAGGATATTTTCGATACGGGCCGAGGGCCGCTGCTTAACGGGTTATTTGGAGTTTCAAAAGACGAGTGGGTGGATGGGATTGAGGTTTTTCGGCTTATCATGAACTTGGTGCCGTTAAACAGTATCTCACACCCACTCCGAGGAGACGTTGAGACTTTGCCCTCCTGGGCGTTGATGAATCCCTATTTTTTGCAGCCTGGGGAGAACCTGTTAGTTAGTAGTGAAGATGTGCGCTGTTTTTTCTATACGATCTCAGTTCCGCCAGCATGGCACAAGTACCTGGCCTTCAACAAAGAGGTGCCGGATGAGTGTCTCCCTGAATCCCTCAAAGGTCGGGAGGTTTACCTATGCTCGCAGGTATTACCTATGGGATTTTTAAACTCAGTGTCCCTTGCACAACACGTGCATCGGAATCTGGCACTGTGGAGTGGTGCCCATGGAGCACCTGCTGAGCAAATTAACCCTCCTGAAGCCGAGATCAGGAAGGACCGCTCTCTCACCTCCTACAATCCTTCTTGGCGGGTCTACCTTGACAACTACGATCTCTTGGAGAGAGTCCAGGCCCTTGGAATCGGGAGTTTAGAAGGCAGTCTAGCTCCCTCGATCCTAGCGCTGAGAAGTGAATATGAAATCTGGGAAGTACCCCGCAACATGAAGAAGAGTGTCTCCCGCCAACTACATGCCGAGGTTCAAGGTGCTCAAGTGGACGGCGTGGAAGGGGTGGCCTACCCACGGGAGGGGAAGCTGCTGAAGTATGTTGCGGCCGCACTCTCCCTGATGGAGGACCCACTGGTCACTCAAAAGCAACTACAAGTAGTTTGCGGAGGTCTTGTGTACTTCTCGATGTTCCGTAGGCCGCTTCTGGGGTGTCTCAATGGGGTGTGGCAGTTCATTGAGAGCTTTAACCAAGGCGGGCCGCCGCAACGTGTGTTGCCATTGCATTGCAGAGCAGAAATCATGAAGGTCGTGAGCCTGATCCCCTTGGCGCGTCTTGATTTTAGGTTGCCTTTCCATGAGCAGGTTACCTGTAGTGATGCGTCAACCTCTGGAGGTGGCGTTTGCGCCTCCAATGGATGTTCTCAATGGGGTCATTTGGTGAATCAAGGAAGACTCCGAGGAGACTTACCGGAGTTACGGCAGGAACATCAGGTACTCACCATCGGTCTCTTCGATGGTATCTCAGCTCTGCGCGTTGCAGCTGACTTGTTAGGACTTCATCTCATCGGCCATGTTAGCGTCGAGGTGGACGTGCACGCTGCAAGGGTAGTAGAAGCCCACTTCCCTGAAGTTCGTCATGTAGACCAGGTGCAAGACGTGGATGACAAGATGGTCCGGGAGTGGGGACGGGCCTACTCCCAAGCCTCAGTGGTTTTGATCGGAGGCGGCCCTCCGTGTCAAGGAGTCAGTGGACTCAACAGTGAGCGAAAAGGGGCACTTAGGGATGAACGATCCAAACTCTTCACCCATGTGGAGCGCATCCTTGCCTTGGTTAGGCAACATTTTCCCTGGAGTCAGGTTCACGGGCTCATGGAGAGTGTTGCGTCGATGGACGCTTCAGACAGGAAGGTTATGTCCAAGTCCTTTGGAAGAGACCCGTGGAGGTGCGATGCCAGTACCATGACCTGGTGTAGCAGGCCACGCCTGTACTGGCTCACTTGGGAGTTGCGTGAAGGTCCAGGAGTCCAGTTGGAGTGCACCAGGACTCCTATGGAGGTGATTCTGATGGCCAATCAGAATTTGGATCATGTTTGCCAAGAGGGATGGATCAAGGCCGATCCTGACCGCTCATTTCCCACATTTACCACGTCAAGGCCGCGATCCCACCCCGGCCGCAAGCCTGCGGGTGTCTCTACGTGCACCACTGAAGAGCTGCAACGGTGGCAGGAGGACCAATACCGCTATCCTCCTTATCAATATACCAACAGGAACACCATGGTAAACAAGCACAATGAACACAGGCTGCCATCCATTGAGGAGAAGGAGTTCATGATGGGTTTCCCAATTGGGTATACCTGGGCATGTATGGGCAAGCAACAACGGAATACTCAGCGCCACTTGGATGCGCGCCATTCATTGATTGGCAATAGTTGGTCTGTACCTGTTGTTGCCTGGTTAATGTCACAGCTGTTTGGTCAGTTGGGATTATGCCCAAGGTATTCACCCCAGGAGTTAATGGACTTACTAACTCCTGATGGCCAAATCTACATGCAATCGCGTCTCTGGCGGCGACCTCTCCGGCCGCTTCGGGAGCGACCCCAGGGAACAGGGGCCTCCCTGGTTCAGAAGTTAGCCAATATGGTCAGCATAAAGGGTGAGGATATATTGCTCACCACACCATCCAGTCAGTTGTGTAAATTTCATCGGCTCCGTGCCTCCGTTCCGTCACGCTTGTGGCGCTGGAGGATAGTCACAGGATGGAAGTGGAATGGAAGTCGGGAGCATATTAACTCCCTTGAACTTCGAGCAGTACTCACCACGCTCAAGTGGCGCCTTGGTCACAAGAAGCAAATTGGATGTCGGTTTATCCATTTGGTGGACTCACTTGTGGTCCTACATGCTCTGACCAGAGGCCGGTCCAGTAGCCGCAAACTCAGATCATCGTTGTCGCGTGTCAATGCTTTGTTGCTGTGCAGCTCAACCACGGCCCTATGGGGCTACGTTCACACCGATCAAAACCCAGCGGACAAGCCGTCACGCTGGGGAAGAAAGATCAAAACTAAGTTCAGGCATGCCTAAACGGCATCTCGAAGGAGCTACGCAGCAGGACAGAGCACAACAAAGACAACGATTAGGTAGTTTGCGAGACCTCACAGTGCAGCCGGCCACTAAGCAGCGATATCAGAAAGCAGTGGATGGGTTTCTACGTTACCTCCAGCAGAACAAGCTCACTTTACCTAAGCAGCGGCAACACCTTGACCCCTTGGTGTGTGATTTCCTGGAGCACCTGTGGTCGCATGGGTATGGACGCGCGGTCGCAAGCGACACTGTCGCAGGGCTCCAAGATCAGGATGCCAAGCTTCGTGGACATTTGCCCGGTGCTTGGCGCCTGTTAAAAACCTGGAGCCTCAATGAGATCCCAAACCGTGCCCCACCCCTTCCAGAACATGTATTACAAGCCATGGTTGGCTGGGCATGTTTCCACAACCAATTCAGTTTCGCGGTGTCCCTTCTCCTCGGGTATTACGCAATGCTGCGTACAGGAGAATTGGTGGGATTAAAACGAGCACATCTCTTCTGCGAGAAAAATCAAAACAAAGTAGTTGTGTCCCTTGGACTCACAAAAGGTGGGAAGCGCCAAGGTGCTTCAGAATCATGTATCGTAGGGTATGACATGGTGGTTAAATTCCTAAAGCAATGGATGTCCATTGCCTCGCCCACAACAGGCTTTTCGCCAAATCCTGCTAAGTGGCGTACTCTTTTTAACCAATCGTTGGAATCCTTACATTTACAAGATTTCCATTTCAGACCATACAGTCTGCGCCGTGGTGGTGCGACGTTTTGGTTTGGTAAGCACCATTCCCTAGATCAGATCTTAGTTCAAGGACGGTGGCAGGCGCCTAAAACGGCGCGTATCTATATCAACGAAGGTCTGGCTGTGCTTGCAGAATTGCAACTGCCCGCAACCTTACCCACCCTGTCACCTTTTCTCAAAATCTTTCGAACATTCTCTACCAATCCCTCCTTCAAAACCCTTGAGCCTCCTGGTCGAAGACCAGGAAGTTCGGGGGGACGTGGAAGGCAACAGAAAAAGCCCAAGAAGGGCTCCAAATCTCGTGTGAAAAGACTTAAACTGAGTGATCAGAGGTGAACCTTCGAAGGTTTTTGTGGACACTGTGATATTTCAGCTGGGTCTAGATGGTCAGAGGGACTGGCCCAGAACCATCTAGGGAGTTGAATTTTTGTGTAGCTACGGGACTGGCCGAGCACACAATGGAAGGCTTGTTTTTTTATGAAAGGTGGACTTGAGTTATTTATTTTATTTCAACAAATCGCTGCGGAGTGAAGGTAAAATAAAGGGCAGTGCGCTTACTCTTTGTCCCTTCGTCCCCGGGAGTAAAGAGTAACCACTAACCTGTTTTTACTTCCCTAGCGTTTTGGCTTAAGTCCCACACCTCCCTCCCATGGCTATCTACGGGAGTGGAAGGCAACAGAAAAAGCCCAAGAAGGGCTCCAAATCTCGTGTGAAAAGACTTAAACTGAGTGATCAGAGGTGAACCTTCGAAGGTTTTTGTGGACACTGTGATATTTCAGCTGGGTCTAGATGGTCAGAGGGACTGGCCCAGAACCATCTAGGGAGTTGAATTTTTGTGTAGCTATGGGACTGGCCGAGCACACAATGGAAGGCTTGTTTTTTTTATGAAAGGTGGACTTGAGTTATTTATTTTATTTCAACAAATCGCTGCGGAGTGAAGGTAAAATAAAGGGCAGTGCGCTTACTCTTTATATATATATATATTATAATATATATATATATGATATAGTTGAGGTTCCCATTAATTGAGGTTTTCATTCGAAATGATTAATATTTGCCATCAAAATTGAGGTTGTCCATAATTTTTTCCCTTTCAGACAGTCACCCGCCTTGACCACCTTCGACCCAGGTAAGACAAAGTTCCACCGGCCGTGCCTAAGAGGGCGTTGTCTTCAAAGCGCACGAGTTCTTTCATGCGGCGAAGTCTGTTATGGGCATTCACGATGTCTATGTTTTGTTATACAAGTGTCACATAACACGTAACACTATGCCTTTCATTGGTGCAACACTGTGTCACTTTTTTGAAGGTGAAAGGCAAAAAGCTTCTATCGCAACGTGGGTGGTGCATGGTGGTGCAAATATGTGCAAATTTGATTGGTCATATGCCCGGAGTATTTCGCGCTGCTGTAGTTAGGTCTTGCATACGGTGCAGCGAGATTTGCTCAGTTGATGGACCGTTTGCCGCGAATGTTTGTGCTGTTTGGAAGAGAATGTCCATGGAGCAGCCATGTTGCCCTTGTTTTTGCTTCTTCATCTAACATCTGTCTTTTCTATAGAGTTTCGACTCAGTCAAGTATGTGAACTGCTTGCTGGCCAGATATCACCCCTTGGTACGCTTCAGGCAAATTGAAAGCCTAAGTCTGTCCAATCGTAGCAGGTTGTCCACACCACGGGCATGGCGGATGGTGTGATGCCTTGCATTGAGTTTCTTAGTCCCTTCGGTTCCCTGGTAGACCCCTGTCTATCCGGTGACAGATCATGCACTCATTGTGTTTGTAGCTGAAATTTGGGCTTGGCCATCTGCTGTGCAGTTGAAGCATCAATCCTTTGAAAGGAGGAACGATGCCAAAGCATTCCGCGGGCAGTGATCGAGTGGTCAACTCGGTTGGCAGAAAAAGGTGTTCTTCTATATCTATATCATGCAAAAAGATGCAAAAAGGTATTTGAAGGTCCTTGTAAGGATTGTTCATCACAAAGAGTATACAACAAGAGATCCTGCGATTTTTTTGAAGTCGCGAAGCGAACGTATTTTATTTGGGAGAAAAAAATGATGAGGTGGTTTACCATAAAACCTTCTGAATGTGATACACAGGAATGGATTCGGCCTACACACCATATTGACAAATGGAATTGCGCCCAACACGATTCAGGTCGCGGATTCTTTCGGACGATTTATATTTAAGCGCTTATGCGCGACAGCCGGCCAGGGGCCCAACTATGGGCCCATTTTGTGGCTATGTTGGCCACATAGGCCTATGTTGGTCTATCTTGCGGGCAATGTGGGCCCATCTTGTGGCTATGTTGGCCTATGTTGGCCTCAGGTTGATTCATGTTGAGCCAAAAGATCTGAAAAATGGGAACAGCAAAAAAACACACTGTAAAACGCAGGATATTTTGATGGTCGGCGGCCTGTCTTGGGGCTGTGTTGGCCCATCTTGGGGCTATGTTGGCCGGGCTATGTTGGCCCATCTTGGGGCTATGTTGGCCCATCTTGGGGCAATCTTGGCCCATCTTGAGGGCTATGTTGGCCGATCTTGGGGCTATGTTGGCCCATCTTGGGGGCTATGTTGGTCCATCTTGCGGCCTATGTTGGCCCATGTTGACCCATCTTGAGCCACAAAGGCCGAAAAATGGGAAAAAATGCGACGAGCACAAAACACTGTAAAACGCAGGAGTTTTTGGCGACACGCGGTGGTCGGCGGCAGGGGGCGCGGCCCCTCTCTCCTACGGAGAGGAGAGAAACGCCGTACGGCATGCCACGGCCAGGGGGCCCCTGGCCGGATTTAAGCGCTTACGCGCGACAGCCGGCCAGGGGCCCAACTATGTTGGCCCACCTTGTGGCTATATATTGGCCTATGTTGGCCTCATGTTGACCCATGTGGAGCCAAAAGATCCGAAAAATGGGAACAGCAAAAAAACGCTGTAAAACGCAGGATATGTTGATGGTCGGCGGCCTATCTTGGGGCTATGTTGGCCCATCTTGGGGCCATGTTGGCCCATCTTGGGGCTATGTTGGCCCATCTTGGGGCTATGTTGGCCCATCTTGGGGGCTATGTTGGCCCATCTTGGGGCTATGTTGGCCCATCTTGGGGGCTATGTTGGCCCATGTTGACCCATCTTAAACCACAAGATCCGAAAAAGGGGAAAAAATGCGAAGAGCACAAAACACCGTAAAACGCGGGTGTTTTTGGCGGGCAAAGGTGTCGGCGGCAGGGGGCGCGGCCCCTCTCTCCTACGGAGAGGAGAGAAACGCCTTCGGCTATGCCACGGCCAGGGGGCCCCTGGCCGGATTTAAGCGCTTCCGCGCGACAGCCGGCCAGGGGCCCAACTATGGTGGCCAACTGTTGGCCTGCTTCTTCTTATTCTTCTTGTTGTTGTTGTTGTGGTTGTTGTGGTTGTTGTGGTGGTTGTTGTTGTTGTTGTTGTTGTTGTTGCGGTGGTTGTGGTTGTGGTTGTGGTTGTGGGCGTTGTTGTGGTTGTTGGTTGTTGGTGGCTGGTTGGTTGTTGGTGGGTGGTGGTTGGTTGTTGGTTGTTGGTTGTTGGGCCCATTTTGTGCCATCCTGGTCCCATGTTAGCCCATCTTGGGCCCATGTTGCGGCGTTCTTGGGGCTATGTTCGCTCATCTTGGGCCTATGTTAGCCCATCTTGGGCCCATGTTGCGCCCATCTTGGGGCAATGTTCGCCCGTCTTGGGCCTATGTTGGGGCCATCGTGGGCCGATGTTGGGGCATCTTGGGGCTATGTTGGGGCATCTTGGGGCTATGTCGGGCGATCGTGCGCGATGTTAGTGCAAAAACATGTTGAATGTCACAGGGCCAAAAAACACTGTAAATTACAGGCGGTTCTGTCGACACGCACACCCCACCGTGAGGTCAGGGGCAGGGGCCCAAATATGTCGGCCCATCTGTTGGCCTATGTTGGCGTATCTTGCGGGCAATGTGGGCCCAGCTTGGAGCTATGTTGACCCAGCTTGGGGCTATGTTGGCCTATCTTGAAGGCTATGTGGGCCGATCTTGAGGCCTATGTCGGCCGATCTTGAGGCCTATGTTGGCCCATGTTGACCCGCGTGGAGCCAAAAGATCCGAAAAATGGGAACAGCAAAAAAACACAGTAAAACGCAGGAGATTTTGATGGTCGGCGGCCTATCTTGGGGCTATGTTGGCCCATCTTGGGGCTATGTTGGTCCATCTTGGGGGGTATGTTGCCCCATCTTGAGGCTATGTTGGCCCCTCTTGCGGCCTATGTTGGCCCATGTTGACCCATCT